ACCACGTTGTAATAGAGCGTCGTGCGTAATTACGCACGCATCACGGACAACACAATAAGGGCGCGTAAAAGCAAAACTTTGCTTCAGTGTGTTTTTATTTCTTTGTTTAGAAGGGGAAACAGAAAACGCCTCAGGCCTACGTTCTGGGGTTCTGTTGTGAGTGATCTAGTGGTACTGCCTTCCCAGAGCGGACACCACAACGGCCAGGAACTTCTGGAAGGCAGCCTGCGTCTCTGCTGTGAAGGCGCTGCCCATTTTGGCGGCGATGACGATGGTCAGGCAGTCGCTCAGCAGCTTTGACAAAATAAAAAGAGAAAGACGTAAATACTTTGCACATGTAGGTTACCTTATTTAATTTCTGCGTGTATATGGATTTATTTATAATCGAGGAAAATTGCATGTTAAAATATATTATTGCTGCAACAAATGGGCCTGGAATAAACTATCTTATATTCTGTGGGGGTTTTTTCTTATAATCTTCTTTGCCTATGTGTAAATTCAGCATTTTTTTCATTTTTTATTTTATTTTTGTCTGTGAGTTTACAATAAAGAAAACGAAATGTTCTGAAGTTTTTTTTTTACCTTGAAGTTGTCGGGGTCGACGTGCAGCTTCTCGGAGTGCAGCACGCTCAGATCTGCATAGGTGGCCTTAATGTTGTCCATGTTCTTCAGAGCCCGGTCCAGACCGTGCAGCACCGTTTTGCCGTGTTCTGCAATGTTCGGGTTGCTCTTGATGGCCTCAGCGTTGTAGAGGTTGCCGAAGGCGCCGAAATACCTCTGAGTCCATGGGTAGACAATCAGACACCTGCAGCGTTAATAACAAAAAATAAAACATTTTATACCTCATGATATTGATTTAACTTTTAAAAATCCGTCTCAGTTGGGTTTCAGGAGCGGTCTGTCCCGTTACCTGCTCAGCGATTTTGGTCCGATGTCATCATAATCCAGGCTGGCGAAGATTCCGCTGATGATGGTGCGCTCCTGATCAGTCCACTCAACCATGGTGACTCTTTTTTTTCCGAGTTCAGGCTCGAGAGAAAAGGCTGAATGCCCGTGCAGCTCGACCCCAGTCTATTTAAATTATGAATGCACCCCGCCCTATAGAATGGGGCATGTGATAGGCCGGAAGAGTCTTGGCTAAACCAGAAACTCCCTGCAGAAGTTTTCTATCAGCTTATTACAGATCTTAAATAATGCCTTTAGCTGTGTCGATATGTGCGATATGTTCTAAGGTTGAACGTCAACAGCGGATGAAATGGGTCATTTTTTCCCATGCATTATAGAAGCACATTTTCCCCCCATTTAAAAAAAAAAAGAACATTTAATTTGTGATGGACAAACTCAGGTCCCTTTATTAAGTCTTGTTTTCACGTGTGAAACAAACCTCTCTTCCACACATAAAGGTCACACAGCCTACTACTGATTGATGCTAGATTTGGATAGCTCATCATATCCGCATTTTGTTAAATTGGAAGTGCTCTTTGTTTAAATGGTGTAGGTTATCAAGTAAACCCTTTAGTTTTACGATTCTAACCATTTTGAGTCGGCGTGGTAAGCGTCGTATGTAAATATAAAGCCTATACATAAAACAGATCAAGAAATTTAGCTTTGTTTCAATATGCCTTTATTTCTTTTTTCGGGGAAAAAACACACAGCAGAGGTCAGGTCTCCTCTGGGTGTTCTGTTGTGGTTGATCTAGTGGTACTGCCTTCCCAGAGCGGACACCACAGCGGCCAGGAACTTCTGGAAGGCAGCCTGCATCTCTGCTGTGAAGGCGCTGCCCATTTTGGCGGCGATGACGATGGTCAGGCAGTCACCCAGTTGCTATAAAGAAAAAGGAAGAAAATCATGAATTCCTGCCTCTTTTTATGTATTTCATCTAATTTGTCTTGATTTTTTTGACATGTGTAAAACTATGTAAACGAGTTTTTCGCTGATGTGTGAGAGCCTATGATAAAAAGAAACATGAGAAGAGCTTATTACCTTGAAGTTGTCGGGGTCGACGTGCAGCTTCTCGGAGTGCAGCACGCTCAGATCTGCATAGGTCTCCTTAATGTTGTCCATGTTCTTCAGAGCCCGGTCCAGACCGTGCAGCACCGTTTTGCCGTGATCTGCGATTTTCTGGTTGCTCTTGATGACCTCAGCGTTGTAGAGGTTGCCGAAGGCGCCGAAATACCTCTGAGTCCATGGGTAGACAATCAGACACCTGCAGGAAAGAAAACACAATTCACACTATTAAATTAAAGAAAACAAGCTTTTAACTCATAGCAGTTCGGTATGGGGGGGGGGGGCCCTATGTGTTCCGCACCTGCACAGAGCCTTGGGTCCGACGTCATCATAATCCAGTTTGCTGAAGATTCCAGTGATGATGGCGCGCTCCTTGTCAGTCCACTCAACCATGGTGACTATTGGTTATTTCGATTTCAGGCTAGAAAACAAAAAGGCTGAATGCCTGTAGAGCTTGACCACCGTGTTTTTAAATGTTTTCAACGCTCCCTGTCCTGAGGGAGTTTGGGCCCTGTGATAGGCTGGAGATGAAGAGTCTCAGATTAACCGCGAACTCGCCCATATTTTTTTTATCGGTTTATTACAGATCTACAAGGATGCCAAATGTTGGTTCAGGTCAAGCTAATTTGAGGCAATATGGGCTCTATGTTCTCAAGCTTAAACTCAATAAGAATCAATTGGGCGATTTGCTCATATGATGTAATCTAAGTTAACAACAATGTTAAAGTTTACGTTATGAAGGATAAACAATTGAAGAGCACTTTGTTTTCCTGTGGGGGGGGGGGGGGGGGGAATCCTCTTTTTCACAGAAACTGCCTTAAACAAAGCTTATATAGAGCTCACTATAACTCACTACAATACTATTAAGAGATATGTTGAGCTCATACTTCTCTTTCGTTGAAAGTTATGATCTCTTTTTATGATGACACTTTATTTTCAGAGTCAATAGCCTATTTTTGCTTTTAAACCTTCCTTTTAGAGCTCCTGTGAGGAAGACTAAAAGACTCCAGGTCTCATTTTTACCAAGTGCAATTAATACGTTAAACAACAATTAGGTATTTGTTGCTCTTTTTGCACTTGAATTGCACATTTGCACACATCCACTTTGCACTTTAATAACTTGAATTTCCATTCTGGTATGAGCTCTTGACTGATTATATTGCGCTGTTTTTATTTGGTTTTATATTTTGCTGTGTTGTCTGAATTTTTTTTAATTTGTTTTGGTTTATGTTTTATGGTGATGTTGTCCTTGTGTTTCTTGTCTTCTTTCTGTGTGTTCCTGTTGCAACGCAAATTTCCCCTTGTGGGACAATAAAAACTCTGAATCTGAATCTGAATGGGTACCAAACATTTGTATAGTGAAGTGCCATGCGTAATTACGCACGCAAGACTTAAAAAAAAAAAGGGGCAAACAAGTACATGTTGCTTCAGTGGGCCTTTATTTCTTTGTTGGGGAGACATAGAAATATCCATCGGCCTCCTCTGGGTGTTCTGTTGTGGTTGATCTAGTGGTACTGCCTTCCCAGAGCGGACACCACAACGGCCAGGAACTTCTGGAAGGCAGCCTGCGTCTCTGCTGTGAAGGCGCTGCCCATTTTGGCGGCGACGACGATGGTCAGGCAGTCACCCAGCAGCTTTGACAAAATAAAAAGAGAAAGACGTAAATACTTTGCACATGTAGGTTACCTTATTAATAAGGTAATAAAGAAAACGAAATGTTCTGAAGTTTTTTTTACCTTGAAGTTGTCGGGGTCGACGTGCAGCTTCTCGGAGTGCAGCACGCTCAGATCTGCATAGGTCTCCTTAATGTTGTCCATGTTCTTCAGAGCCCGGTCCAGACCGTGCAGCACCGTTTTGCCGTGATCTGCGATTTTCTGGTTGCTCTTGATGGCCTCAGCGTTGTAGAGGTTGCCGAAGGCGCCGAAATACCTCTGAGTCCATGGGTAGACAATCAGACACCTGCAGGAAAGAAAACACAATTCACACTATTAAATTAAAGAAAACAAGCTTTTAACTTATAGTAGTTCGGTATGGGGGGGCCCCTATGTGTTCTGCACCTGCACAGAGCCTTGGGTCCGACGTCATCATAATCCAGTTTGCTGAAGATTCCAGTGATGATGGCGCGCTCCTTGTCAGTCCACTCAACCATGGTGACTCTTTTTTTAGGTTCAGGCTCGAGAGAAAAGGCTGAATATCTTTACAGCTCAAACCCAGTCTATTTAAATGTTTCAAGGAGACCCCACCCAAGACCTCAGATAAACCATCAGACCCCTTTAATTTCTGGAAAGTTCTATTATTGGTTTGTTAAAATGAGTGTAAAAGTGAAATGTAATCATCATCCGTAGTAGTTACACTTTGATTCTTTAATTTTTTGTCTTGCACAACAACAACAAAAAAATACATGTCTGCACAAAATGTAGTCAGCTTTTATAACATTTAAATATGTTGTATTTGTAAAATCTTCCTAGAGTGGATAAGTCTTCTGATTTGCAGGAGCAACAGGCCGTGTTTTCAGCACTCAGGGCCACAACTGAACCTGGAAAACTTTTTTGAATTAGTTTAGTTTAACTGTAACAATTATTTGTGGAATATGACGAATAATGTTTTCAGTAATGTTTACAGGGCCTCCTTATTCTAGTTTTTATCATATGCACATGTGTTCGTATTTCCAGGAAAGCAGCCTAAACAACTCTTGGGCCTTTTCTAATCCATGCAATTTTTTATTTTATTTCAGCTGATGTCATTGACTTTGCCAAGCAGCAGCAGCAGGTTGTTTCATGCCAAAGTGTTATCTGTAGAAGCACACTGGCGTTATCTGCAGCAGCGCCCCCTCCACCCAGGCACGCGCTGCCAAAACCTGCATATGTTTTTGATCAAGTATGCTTAAGGCCGGTGATAAAGGGTATTCGTGGAATCCCCTCTTTGATAAGAACATATAGGCAAAAATGCTCGTCATTGGAGAAAAAAAAACACTTTTGGAGACATATCAAAACTTTAAATTTAAAGTGTGTTTGAGTGCATATGCTGTAGGAAGAGGAAGACTATTAAATAAACGTTCGTTGCGCATCTCGTGGTGCTTTAAAGCAGTCTCCTGCTTTCTTGTGACCTTTAGTCATTTTGACTGTTCTTTTAGTTGTATTTTATTTTACATTTTAAAGCTGTAGGAATGAAAAAAAAATCCACAAAAATTTACGTTTTTTTTTCGATGAAACAACCGTTCACTAGGTAACAGATTCTGTAACATCCTTTAACTCACTCCTTTAAACTCTCTGTTATAGACTTTCTTTTATGGGATTTCACTTTGAAATGCTTCAAATAATTGATCCCTTCCTTTATTCGTTGTATTGCTCCATTCTTAATCCTTCTTTTATGTTTCCATAGCTTTTCATTTTATTGACATCAAATCACCTGTCATGAGTCCTGGACATCCTCTCACAACTTTCACAGCTCGTAAGTATAGAAGGCATTAACAAATGCCTTAATACCATTATCAAGGGCCTATCGCTTTAAATGTGCAATTTTCAAGGTTGGAATTTCAACAGCTTTCTCATTTCTGAATTTATTGACATCACATCACCTCTCATGTGTCTTGGACATCCTCTCACAACGTTTCTCAAAAAGACCTTTAGTGTGTCAAACCACCTTAATCCACTTTCTAAAAACCCCTTATCTTTTCAATCTTGTATCTACTTTCATCCAGTAGTTCTCAGATCTTTCCCAATTTCTAGCTGCATTACTTTTTTCCTTCGATGCATTATTGGTTTCAAGTTTGTCAATGGAACCAATACAACTAGTAAAAGTATATTTTTCTGAGAATTACAATATTATCAATAATTAACTTTCAATAAATAATAATGCAGAAATAAGTATTAAGAAAATATGTTTAATTTAATTTATTTTTTAAGTATAACAATTCAACGCATGTTAATCAACACAAGAAGCCTTGAAGACAGCTTTAGCTCCAGCTGTGAGCTCTTAGAGACCTGTTAAATATAATAGTTACATCAAAGATAAGAATGATGAATGATGGTTTTCATTCTCTTTTCCAATGAGTCATACATTTAAATGATGACTTAACTCTATGATTCAACAAAAAGCACATTTCCAGTGTTTTTCCAAACATGCCTGGTATTCCCTGTGGGACATTTTTGTACATTTTCTGTGGTACCACCTCTTACATTCGTCACAGCCCATCTATAAGGACATTTATATATTAATAGCATATGTATATGGAGGGCAAGTCATTTTTGTGTGAATTAATTATTTATTTATTTTCACATCCCTTATGAAAATCAATCCATAATCAACTGATCTGTATGAACAAGAGTAAAGGGGCCACAATATGAAAAGCCCAACGTTTTTGAAAATGTGATTTGACAATCACAAAGTCATAAAGTGTATTGTAAGGTGAAAAGTTGGCTGCTTAGTTACATTCTGTATTGGCGAGAGACTTAGCTTTTCTATGTAAATGAAGAATAAAAAAAAATATGACAAAAATATATTACAATCCACAGAGCAAATGTGCAGTATAAAATTCTTTCTTTCTTTTTTTTAATATATGAATCTATCATTTAAAAATGTATGGGCCACAAGAGAGTGTGGTGTTTATCTCAGATGTCTGAGTTTGGTTCCCGCCTCTAAGAAAGCTTGTGAGCCAGTATCTTTACCATGTTGTTACCATACCCATTTCGGTATATTGGAGTCTCAGTTAGTTGCAAGTTTTGATACGCTTGTCCGACAGCGATCGGCTCCAGAGATAATGCATTGTTACATACTGTAAAAAAAAAAAAAAAAAATTAACTTCGTACTTTTCAAACCACAAAAGATTGTGATTGTGATTGTGAAGAATAAGAGTCTGAATTAGGCTCACTCAGACGAAGTATACACAATGATAACCTGGCAACTTGGGTTGGGAATCGGAGGGTCGCTGGTATTATTCCTTTTTTGGTTATTATCTACTGGATCCATTTTTTTTATTTCATTTATTGTTATGGTAATAACAGATAATGAATACCTGGTAGCACTGTTCCAGCTTTACAGATACAATGCAAACTCCAGATTTTTCTTGAGATTCCTTATCTACATTATTGTGAATACGGAGGGACTGCAACCTAAAGCAACTTTGTAATGATCACATTGTATTGATTATATCTATTTAAGTCCTGGCCTATCACTCCGACACACAGGATTTAGCCACTAAGTGTTTAAATATAAATCCATAAACCACATACTGTTACTGTCTATAATTCTATAAATGTTGCATTTTTAATAGAAGTATGTTTCATACTGGAATAACTGAGTGTATTTAGAACAATAATAGCAAATTATTTGATCAAATCGGTAGAGAAGGTATACTGATATTAAAGTTTTTGCTTCTTTCTTATGTGACCTGAGATGACCCCCCTTGACCTCAGGTAAAAAACGAAGCGTCGTCATGTCTCTTAACTCCTGACCAACCTTAATGTTTTGCCCGTTACACATAATAATATTTCTGCCAATTTTCGCCCACGATGTGAGCAGATGATAGCTTCTATCAGGCGGCCAGGGTGGCAAAGATCTGCGTCAGTGAACGCGGCTTGGCATCCTTTCTTGTGGGTGTGACTCTCAAGCCGAGTGAATTTAAATTGAGGTCCAGACTGACCGGAGATCACAACTGAGCCAAAATGAGTTTGACCGACAAAGACAAGGCCACAGTCAAGGCACTGTGGGCCAAAATCCAGAAGTCCGCAGATGCCATCGGGGCTGATGCTCTGTACAGGTAAGTGGCACTTTTATACACCTTTTCAACTGCTGTCAGAGTTGTTGTTTTTATCGCTGTCACGTTGTTGCTAGAGATGGCGCATGCTCAGGCTGATGAATCTCAGTTCCAACCTGCCTCACTAAAGTGGATTGAGTCCATTTTTTTTATTTTTAGTAACATGTTGTTTATTGTTTTATTTGTTGGAGAAAAAAAAGTGGGAAATCAGTCAAACTAAAACGTTTCAAAATAACAATTCTGACTGGAGGTAGGAAAAGAAACGCAAGGAACAAATAACTCTTACTCTGAATTTGCGACAGTCTTTCTTGTATTCAGTTCTTGAGTAGCGTTAATATCTCCAAGAAGTGCTCCAAATCCCAACGTCGACATCTCTCGGGTGATTACTGGATGTGTTTTTTTTTTTTTTTTTTTTTTAAATCTTCTGCCCCTCCACAGGCTGTTCACCGTGTATCCCCAGTCCAAGATCTACTTCTCCCACTGGTCAGACTTGGGTCCCAACTCCTCCTCCGTGAAGGCCCACGGAAAGAAGGTGATGGGTGGAGTCGCTCTGGCAGTGTCCAAGATCGACGACCTCACCAGAGGGCTGCTGGAACTGAGCGAGCAGCATGCCTTCCAGCTGAGAGTGGACCCGGCCAACTTCAAGGTGAGACATCTCATTGTCTTCATACTCACATCCTGATTAGAATAAATACGCTGACTAAGATTCAGGTCTATTGGTTACGTTAAAAGAAAAGCAAAAAAAAAAAACGGGATTTACTGGTATGAACGAGTAGATCTGATTGTACGAACAAATTAGGGACGCAAAGTTTGCAATCAACTTTACACACTTTACAAATAAACTCTGATATAAAATCTAAATTCATATTGATTTGATACAGGTTTTTTGAAGGTTTGCTCAAGGTGTTTCCTCTTTTATTTTGCAGCTCCTGTCCCACTGCATTCTCGTGGTGATCGCCACGATGTACCCCCAGGATTTAAGCCCCGAGGTCCACGTGTGCCTGGATAAATTCCTGGCCAACCTGGCTCTGGCTCTCTCCGAGAGATACCGCTGAGCTGCCAGCAGAGCGGAATGCGATCCGCCACATGTGGCCATTTTCGATTTTGTTGAAAAATGAAATAAAATCAACTGCATGTCGCCAAAAACAGATACTGTCTACTCTCTTTTGTGTCTCAGGAAAAAATGGTATTTGTAGGTTATTAAATACAATTAGACAGAAGAAAGCATACTAAACAATATGTTAGAAAAGATAAATTATTATTTCATATTGGTTTGCTTTGTTAAGTAAAAAACACACTTTAATTTCACGTCAGTTTGTACCGAAATTAAAAAGTTGTTATTAACTTTTTTTTATTTTGCATTTGATATCAGGCTGTTACCTCATCGGCCTGCGTGCAGAGGTGACGGAAACAGTCTTTGTGTCGTGGTCTAGAGATGAATGCGCATGTATGCCGTTTTTGTTGTGAGGACCCGATGCTTCTTGAGAAAGATAATCATAAAGAAACAGGCTACAGCAGCGGGAAGAATAAAGTTGCCCAAACGGAAGACAGAGTCCTCTGTTCATGGGTGCAACATGAGACAATAACAATATAAAGACTATCCATTTCTTTTTTATTTATTATTTAAAACGGCTATGGCACAAATAAAGCGACCTTTGATATGTCAACATCTTTATTTTATAACGAACAGCAAGTTCACATTTAAGAAAAAAAAAAAATCATCAAAGTGATGACGTCTTAGGCTACACATCAACTGCATTCACTTTTGTAACATAGATAGTTTACAGAGTTATTGACACATCCAGGGTGATAATAAAAAAACCTCAATACTGACGCTGTTATGTCTTCATAACGAGTCGTAACTCTTCATCACCGAGAATGAGCCTAAAAAAAAGAGAGAGAGAGAGAGAGAGACATTGTTGGTCTTTGCAGGTCATGAATATTCTTTGCACCATTTCTTCAAACGTCTAATCAGATAAGACTTCTCTTAAAGGCCTACCTGAGCAAAGCAGCGGCCAACAGACCCCCACCTAAAGGTCCCACCCAGTAGACCCAGTGGTAGGTCCAATAGTTAGCCATTACAGCCGGACCGAAAGCTCGGGCAGGGTTCAGACACGTTCCTGAAACGTCACCGCTGCATAAAGAACAGCCAATCAGCAAACCGATCAACCAGTCACTCAATAAATACATAAATAGGCTAAGATTTGTATCATGACAAAATGTGAAAATGATCTTCAATAACAGAACTTTGAAAGCAAAAAAAAAAAAAAAGACTGGTTGTGATCTATAGTCCTATGTGTCACGATTCCAGTTTAGTTGAACATTTTAGTGAAGAATGAATTTCCTGTTTTCATTTGTTTTGCTCTTCCCTCGTGTTGCTTCATGTGTTTGCTGAGTGAGTGCACTATATAGTCTACATATGACTCACTGTAAAGTGAGTAGGCAATGATCCTCCGTGTTTCTTCCCTTCTGTGTCAGTCTAACATCTTCCTACCTGAGTTTTGGTCTCAGGTGTTGAATGCTTCCTCGTGGTTCCTTGTCTCGCGTTTTCTTTGGATTTTGACTTACATACATTTTCGGTTTCTGCAAGTTTGGTCCTCGTCTTTGTTTTTCATGCTCAATGACACTATGTTGCGTATGAAATTTCTTATATCAAATAGAGTTTGTTACCGACTTTTTATACTACGACATTAGAAATGGGGGGAAAGACCAATAAACAGATTTTTAAAAGAGTTAGCTTAAAACCATGTCTTAATTTAGAAATAACTAAATAGTCCGTTCATAAATAAATGAAGGTTGAATCAGTTGTTCTGAGGTAAGTGCAGTCTTGTAAATACAAATATTTGAAGGCCTATATGGGCAAGGCAATCACCACATCTCTAAACTTACATTTTAAGCCCAGCACATACATAAATGTATGACTGTGATAGCTTTACATTTTGTGCAATAGATGATAAATATTGATGGCTTTAACATTTCAAGAACTTTTCAGCTATCATCATGCTTGGTTAGGCAGACTGGATCAAAGTGAAAGTAAGACATTACTGACACATTAGGGCGATGCCTCCTTTATCTCACCCTGCCAGTATGTTAATGATGACGGTGCAGCCCACAAGGAAAGGAGCCAACGGGGTTTTGGTCTTGCTGTTGACCGCCACCAGCAGCACCACCATGGTGACCAAGCAGGTCATGGCCACCTCCCCAAAGATGGCCCCTGACAGCTGACTATCTGCCTTTAGGATATCAAATGCAGCTCCTGTTGAGTTCCTGTAGCGCTCTGCAGGGGTCATCATCTGTGAAAGTTAGGAGGGGGGGAGCTGTTGTTATTATTAAGAATTGAATGGAGATGTTTAATACATTATATGTATCTACAGTATGTGCCAGTCTAAATGTTTGTATTGTTACAATGTGGCTGCCATAGCTCATTAAATGTAAAACAGGTTAAATGAAGATGTAAATGTCGCTTCATGATCAAACTTATCTTACATTAACCCAATCTAATTTAACTCATCTTGACTTCAGTTGACTGACCTTCACCTAACTTAACTTGAGCTCAATTAATTTGGCTTGAAAAAAACATGGCTTAAGTTTTCTTTTCTAAGCATAACAACTTGATTTGGACTGGATTATTTGAGAGTAGTTCATCTTAATTTAACTACACTATCTAAACTTAAATTGACACATTTTATTGAAAATACACTTTACCATGTTTTCAAACAAATGTGTCCCTAGTCTTACTACAAACCCCCCAAGTATAAGAAAAGTCCATCCTTTCCGTCTTTTGCCTGCTCCACTTTTTAGAAAATGTGTACTCAAACAGGCCGTTTGGAGATTTTCCCTTTGTGACATCACAAAGGACAGTAATCCCTCCCCCAGGTGGGTGACACTCCCACAGTTAAGTGTTTGTTCTACCCTCTGTGTCTGCCTTCTCATCGTTGGGGCACAGCGAGAAAGCCCGAGCCAAATCCCTTTCCAGAGAGGGGGCGTGGACAGACACAGCTCATTTACATATTTAAAGGTACAGAAACAGCCTGTTCTGAGCAGGGTGGAAATAGAGGGGTTTATAGACATGATCTAATACAGGATCGGGGTGGATTTATAACATGACTTTTAAACTGGTTGAAAAGGATAATTATATATGACCTTTAACTCAATGTAACATAACACAATGTTACAAATAAAATAAAGTCATTTAACTTAATGCCATGTAACTTAATGTAACATTATGTTACATAACATAATGTCAGGTAACGTAACATTTGGGTAATTTAACCTAACCTCACTTTACCTAATATTACATAGAGCTTATAGGTAAGGTATCCCAACCTTAGATAATCACACACGGGTATTTTCACAATATTGTTCAGTTAACTTCATACTGACCTTGGCCATTCCAGCACCCAGCACTCCTCCTATGAGCTGGCTCATTAAGTAGGGTACCACCAACATCGACTTCATGCCACCACACAGGTAAATGGCAATAGTAAAGGGAGGGTTGAAATGGGAGCCACTAGAGGAAGCAGCAGAGAAAATGTAAGATCAAATGAGAAGTTTAAAAGTTTAAAGATAATTGAAAGCCAAAAGCATATTATATATATAACACAGATGTTCTAATATTGTACTCTACATATAAAATACCTTATCTTATCCATGGCAGCTACCATCACTGCTACTGCCAGTCCATGTACCAGCGCTGGCTGCAGCCGTCCAGCTGAAGGCACATTCTCGATTACCGACACACAGCCGATGAAAACAAAAAACATGGTCCCCACTATTTCAGCCAGGCAGGGCTGAAACAGCTTCTCATATTTGTTTGCAGGTTTAGAAGCAGGTGGTTTCCTTCCCTTCTCCATTAATGTAGAGTCTATGTTGTCCATTTCCATTTTCTCAACCCCCATTGCTTCCTGTTTGATTATCTGCTTACAAGAGAGAATTCTGTTCCAGAATTATTCCTGCAGACACTCTACACCTGCAGCTCCAGCGACTCCACTGAACCCAGCCTGCAGACTAAATTAAAGCCCTTGGAAGATGGTGTGGTCATTTATAATTATCGCTGGCACCTTTAACACTGAACCTTGAATTGCTTCATAGTGTCATAAAAACATAAAAGGTGAAGGATTCATGATTCCTTTTAGAAAAACAATCCCTGCCCAAACAAGTTCTCTGACACCTTGCACATGTCCCTCTGTAAACCATTAAAGGTAATCCAGATCTCCAAGGAGACAGCCTGTGAAATGTGTATGATAAAATGCTGTTATCCTCAGTCAATGAGGTCAGAGGAGTTTGAGGGGTTAAGAAGTTCATATAATCATCGCCTTTCTTTACTGGGGTTCACAGGCATTCCTAAAGAAAGCACCATTAGCCTACAAACATGTAGATAAGAGCTGGTACTCAAGGTGACCTCTTGGTGAAAAATAATGTGATATAGTGTTCCCCTCCAGTGGACAAAAGTGGGCGTCAGAGGGCTGACCAAAGCGACAACCCAAAATGTGCAAATTTTGCAATGACAGCAGAAAACCTCCCCTAAGGGGGCCCCACCTGACAGCATTCACTCTCTATTTGCCCTGCTGAGCGCCGGTGGGCGGGGCCCCCAAAATAACTTTTGCCTAGGACCCCAACAGACCCTAGAATCGCCACTGGGGTCGCTCCTAATAGCAGTGTGCAGCTTCTAGTGTTTGAAGACATATTTGGTTTTCTTCTTTTTCTCTTCCTGAGGTAGACACAATTTTTTAACAGTTTTATGTGCTGCTCCATTCTTTAAACTTCCCATTATGCAAAAGATGAAAAGGTTTCTATCAGTGTAAATGATGTCTTTGTCAGTATTGCACCATTATTACCCATTGTTTTGTATTCTTCTTTGTAGTTTTGAAACACAGGCGTTTTTAAAATGCTTAAAATTTCTGTTTCAGGTGATTGAAGGCAACGTTAATGATTCTTTCCTAGCTTTATTGTATACTGCTGCAGTGCTCTGTCCTGACCCATTTCTTCAAGTTATAAAGCTATCAAAGTATATTTTCCTTTTTAGGACTTTGAACCAAACAGTGCATAGAAAACAATGCTGAATAGATAACAGGTGAATCATCATTTCCGTGACATTTTTTAAATGCAATTTATTTTCAAATCTTGCCAGACACTTTCCAAGAGCAATTTCTAGTTAGGAGCAGGTTCCAATGCTTTATCACATCAAAACAAGAATCTTTAAACAATATAAACAAGGCAGAAAAGGGGACATCAGATCTAGCTGGATTCATGGAAAAATATATTTGTACTTTTTTTTCTGGAAAATAAAAATTGTACAATCTAATGATTGATATATTTATGAACATACAAAATGCAATTGGTATCAGCATATTAACTGAGAGGTAATCTGTCTTTTCTTCCTTAATAAATAAGACATTTACTTCAATACAAGTCGAGTCTTCTGGTCACCGAACATCAACCTGCAAAAAAAAGGAAAAAGGTTTCAATAACTTAAGTCATCGTTGATGTTTGTAAAAAAAAAAAAAAAAAAAAAAAAAACAGAGTAGGATTTAAAAACATCATGTATGGACACAAAATTATCAAAAAGTGACAAAAGATTGAAAAAATGTGTTTTACAACCAAAAAGATTAAAAGAGAAATCTAAATCTTAAAGAAATGTAAAACAAACAACCAAAAAGACAAACTAGAACCACAAAGGTATTAAAGAGCAACAAGAACATGTCTGACAAATACAGAAATACTCCAAACTACCAAAGAGACATTAAACGTGTCTACACACACTATGAAGCAACGTTCAGGTGTAAACCAGGCCATTATCTACACCTCTATATCTATGAGATAGTCACCAGGTCTGACCTGAAAGGAGTAACAAACAACTTGATTGCCTTTCCTTTTTCTTTTACTTTGGGAAACTTTTCAAAAATCTGTATTTAAATGCGTCTTCTTCTTCCATATATTTGTGGGGGGAAATATGTTGAGAATAGAAGCTCAAAAAAGGGGCTCTCTTGTAAGAAAACTCTGCACCACAGGGCCCCCTAGTGGTCAAAAACTGCACAGCATTTCTTTACATTTTAATAACAGTTCTTTTTGCAGGCAATCAAGATAAGAATTGATTTTATTTTTTAGCCAAAAAGGCTTTCAGTCATGGTCTAAAAGTTGTCAAAAATAATTTAACTAAACGAAAACAATGTTTGTGTCCCACAATAAACCAACCTGATAAAGCTGACAGTGACCAGAGCACCACAAATGGGTCCAACCCAGTAGATCCAGTGATTGCTCCAGTGGTTGGCAGCCACTGCAGGACCAAAGGCTCGGGCAGGGTTCATACAGGCTCCAGATATCGTTGCTCTGAAACAATAGGCAGCACATATCAACAACACAACTGCCATGCTGCAAATATATCTAATGCAGCAACAGACACACCCAATAAAGATGAGTTAGTCTGACAGCAGGAGATGCTGCCTCTAGAACCAAATGGGTGTACAATGAATGCACCACAAACTGTTTAACTCTTCAGCCAGCCAAAACTAAATAACAACCAGAACTTATAATGAGCCGTGGTATCCATTTGATAACTGATTATTATGAGTAAGTGGTTTGCTGTTAGGGCTTTAGTTACCATGGAAGACACTGTGGACATGTTCACTGCATCTTTGCAAAGCTAATGTGCAGTGGGGTGAGACTTCCCTACTGAGGCTCTTACCCAGCAAATATGTTGGCTGTCACAGTGAGGCCGATGCAGAAGGCGGCCCACGGCGAGCGAGTTTTTGCGTTAATGGCCCCCATGCACACAACAGTGGTAAGAAATGTTGTCATGACGACCTCTGCAAGGCAGGATTCAGCCAGAGCATTTGGGGCTACGCTGAAGGCCCCTCCAAGGGAAGCAGCATACTTGTCGGTGGGGTATATCGCCTGAAAGAGGAACAAATTGAGCTTTCTGTTAATAGTTGACTCAAATGGAATTAATTTCACCAGTAAAGACAACGAAGCATGCCATTTAAAAAAAGGAGTTTGGGGATCATATACATCTTGAAAAATAAAGCCAATGCTTAAAGGTCACATTCTCCTTCTCTTCAACACGTTTATATAAGTCTCAGAACTCCCCAAAACATGTCTGTGCAGATTCTTGCCAAAAATCTGCCCAGATCCTGTATTTAAGCATGTATATTACCCTCACTATTTCAGCCCTGCTCAAAACAGGCTGTTTCTGTGTCTGTACCTTTAAATGTAAATGAGCTGTGTCTGACCACGCCCCCTCTCTGAAAGGACTCGGAAGGCTCAGGCTTCCTTGCACCATGCCCGTATTGTTTACGATGAGAAGGCAGACTCAAAGGGCAGATCAAACACCTAGCTGTGGGAGTGTCACCCACCTGGGGGAGGGGTTACTGCCCTTTGTGATGTCACAAAGGGAAAATCTCCAAACGGTCTGTTTGAACACACATTTTCTGAAAGGGTGGAGCAGGCAAAAGACAGAGAGGATGGACTTTTCTCATGATAGGAGGTTTGTGTACAGACTAGGGACACATACTTGTGTTTGAAATTTTTTTTTGCACAATATGTGACCTTTAAGAGTAAAAAACTGCATTTCTTCGACTGTCCACTTGAAGCTGGCTCCAACAGCCAATATCTCTCATTAAGCCAAGTTTAAAATGCCATTTTTTTAAACATAAATAAACATGTTAACAGCCTGGTACAAAAAAGTCTCTATAGTTGATTCCTTTATTTGTACAGTGTTATTTTTTATTTTTTATTTTTTTACAGCCCATCCTGTTTTTGGATCAGAGGCTAATAGTTGTAAGTTACTCATAATAAGGGGCGTTTCCCACGTGATTGACAGGCGGGTGTGTTGTGGCCAGCAACCAAGAATCCTCAATTCCACCTCCTGTTTTTTTTGTTATTTACCTAAAATTAGAAGTCAGCATTTCCAACATAGTGACGAGGAATGTTCAACCTTCTCTTTATACAGACTATAGAATAAATGCAATTAAGCAAACATTTGTTAACTATTTTAAGTAGTTTTCAGAATACTGAAGTAAAAAGTGCAAATTATAATTTAGTCTGTTAAAATAGGAGGTCACAGTCAAGTCAATAATTTGAATTAATTAAGACAAGATTTTGAGATTACATGACATGATGTCATTGACTCATTTAGAATATTAGGGGACAGCAGCTGAATACTTTAACTTATTGTTTCATTATTTGAATGTATTATAAGACTTAACATTTCCTTTGACTATAGATTTTCTTCTCTCTCTTTTTCTTGGTAGGATTGGGCTTTTTTTTTTCTTTTTACATTTTTCCTCACCTTGGTCAAACCAGCACCAGCCATGCCTCCAACCATCTGAGCCACGATGTAAGGCACGAGCAGGGGAAGCTCCATCCCTCCACACAGGAACGCCATCAGAGACACAGCAGGGTTAAAGTGCCCCCCACTGCAATAAAGCAAATGAACTTTACTCTTTATCTCGCTGAGGTTTTTTTGACTAATAATGATAACACCTATCAGCCATGTGATTAAGAGAATCCTTAGTAGAATCCTCATGTTGTTGTGTCAAGAAGCAGCATCAATGATTAACAAAAACATTGAAAGACACTTTGTAAATTGTGTTTAAGTGGCCTCTGCTGTGCTTGGCGGTTTAACTAATGATGCACACATAACAATAAAGTTCCTGACCTTCCATAGAACATTAAAGAGAATTGGAATAAGTCCATTTAATTCTGACTTTATGAGATAATTAAGAGGGAATTTCAATGTCTCAGACCTTTCTAATATTATTAACAAACACAAGACCTTCAGCTGAAAAACAAACATTTAAAACACTCGATACAATGTGCTGGATCTTTACCTTATTTGCCCAAACAACATGATCAGCACCCCCAGAGCCAGTCCATGTGCCACAGCAGGCTGGATGACACCCAGTGTCCCCACATTTCCAATAACAGACGCACACCCGACAAACACAAACAGGCTGGTCCCGAACAGCTCGGTCAGGCAGGGCTGGACATACTTCTCGAAGATGCACCGCTTCTTGCTTGTGTTCCTCCCTTCTGTAGCCTCAGTTATTGTGAAGACCTCGTGCTTGATTTCATCCCCTGACATTCTGAATCAAAACTTTCTACCCTGTGGCAGGTTCTCTGGTTCCTCTGGTGGACTTCAGCCTGTATCTAGCTGCTGTGATGATTGTACAGTTTGGTATATATAAGCCATTCTTATGATGATGCATGAAGGACATACGCACATCCCCATTTTTTTCTTTTTGCCCCACCTTCCTGCTATTGTTTATACTCCCAAGACACTCCATAGTGTGAGGATCATAAAATTATAAGCACTGTATGTTATTGAGTGACAGAGAGCACACAGATAAGGATGAGGGATGTTATCAATCGTCAGCATGTTCATCTGATACTACATCTTTCAGTTTTCCATCAGTTGAAGTGTTTGATACCATGACACACAATTAAACATAAATGTTGCCATTTGATGTAAGCTAACTCTGGTAGAATACATCAAATGGCAACATTTATGTTTAATACTGTACATGGTCCCTTTACAAATAACAAAGTTAAATTCACCTGAAGAGTTTGCAATTTGCTTTGTTGTTTCATGAAATAATGATTTTTTTTAGTAGCACAAAAATGTACACATTATTATTTTTAATAACATTATAGCAGCTGTGGAACATATATTACAATATTGGCAGGAGTAAAAGTTGGACGGCTGAAATGTTAAAATATTTTGCTAATAAAAACCTCTGCATTCAAAGTAAGAGTGGGTCTAATACCAATATGAGAAGAAGTGCCTGATGCAGCCTAAAATCCTGGATCTGATCCTGGCAAATAGCCTAAAACAAGTCAATTCACAGCTCCATTATCAGAACTATTTTCCCCCAAAAACAGACTTTTTTTTGCAAAACAGCAGCCCACACAGCAGCATGCATTATATTATTAATGTCTCTAAGAAATAATAGTTACTGTGTGTAACTCCAGTTCTATGAGTACATGCTCTGCCCTCTAACAGGCTTTGCAATTGGTCAACACCTTTGAGGCTCTGCCTTGGAACCCTGAGACAGACTCAGCTGTTATGGAAAAATACTTTGTGATATATTCTTCAAGTTTGACACATTGTTTTTTGTTCTTATCTATCTGCTTAGTAACCATTTCAGGTATTTAAAATCAGTAAATGATGTTCTAGTGAACAGAAGGATGTTCTTACCACACTCTGACATATACATTATGTATCTGCCAGTCTTAAGCCCCATTTCCACCAAGCAGTGGAACCGTACCGTCCTACTTTTTTGCTACCCTTCTGTTGGGGTGCCAAGCGTACTGATCTGCTCCTAAAGATAAACAGACATAAGCCAAGAAGAACCAACACAAAATGTTTGACGTCCTCCTTTGTTACCATTTTTTATTTTTCATGAATTCACCATGAAATCTACAGCTTTAACCCACTGATGTGATGGTCTATGACACCTCTCAAACGGGCAGCAGCTAAACAAGTTTTTTACCATTCAAGCATCATTTACAACATCCACCTTCCAGTGTCTTATGCAATTTGAACTGTCGAGATGACCCCTCATAATGTTAGTGATCCTGGGACCCTGACAACTTTCCCCCATGTGTTTTTATTATCAGCGATCAGATGGCTGCCAAAGTTCAATAACTGAAATGTGAAGTCTTGAAATGTGCATTCCAGTGTTGTTTCTTTAACAAACACGTCCCTGTCCAGAAAGTTTGAAACAACCTATGTTCAATTTGACACGTTTATTCTTGCTCCCTGATCAATTTAAGTCCACTACCTCCCCTAACCTGAGGGGGATATCTGCCTCTTTAGCTGCTTAATGCTAATTACAGCTATTTAGCATAGCGCTTATGAGAGCCAAATTAGCTAAGTACAAAACCCCTCATAAACTTGTAGATGTTAATCACGATTAAGCTTAATGTCTTTAAAAATGGAGAATCTTCTGTCATTAGCTTGTTCCTCTCACTGCTGATAATAAAGTGATAAGTTCATAACAACAGAGCACATAAATGATCAGAGCTACACTGTCTTATTCAAAAGGAAAGATTTATTCAACTGTACTTTCCACATTCCTCAAAGTAGTCACGAACTAATCTGTAATGTCTTCTTGGAAAACATTTTACAGGCAAACGTTAAGTAACCATGTAATGGACGCCTTGCTATTAGACACTTGTTCTATGACGTGTGTGTTTTGTAAAAACAATGAGTCTGGCAAGAACAATTCATTTAAAAAAAAAAAAAACATCAAAATGACACATAGCAGATGAGACAGATTGAACATTTTAAATTCTTCAAACTTCATACATTCTTTAATGAATAAAGCAAACTTTAAGTCTCAGTCGTCACCACAGCTCTCAACATGACCGTAACTCTGGGTCACAGAAGGACGCTCATTAAATGGCAATTCTGCTGACACGGGAAGTTTTCACAACGGAACAGCTCCAGGTCGAGGGCTTGATGGAGAATGGGTTTTTCCTCAATTACTCCCTTTTACACATCTTCTCCAGTTGTTGATTTTGGCGCACGCACATGTGAAAGCAAGTCCAACAGAGAAGCGGTTCAATGCTCAAAATCCCAACTGCGACAGACCTGAGGAAACGGAACATGACCTGTTCTTGTAAAGCGCCACAGCACACATTCAAACTGGACGGATGGGTGGAAATATGAAACATTTAACACATGAGTAACACTAAGCAAACAAACTAAAGGACAACTTGGAGCCATACTGGACATCTGAAACTTAGCATTTAGGTTTATTTTTATTTTTATAATACAGCTAACAAATGCATTCTTTTTATTAAACAGTCATTTATCATTACCCAGATTGAGCCTGTCCTTGGTGGCCCAGCAGATGCTGTAGTGTTGAAGCAGCTGTTGTAAAAGCTCCCTCTCATCCAGGAACTCAAGGCTCTCAATTCTGGAAAAAAACAAACAAACAAACATGTAAATAAAAATGAGTCCATCCATTAGTGCATGTCCATAACATCCAGTTTGTGCATGTGTGTGTATCATGTTCAACAACAAAATTCATTTTGCCATTTCTTAGACACAGTATGGCTCCATTAGGAAAGAATCTGAGCTGCCTTATGAAACATGTTAAAGGTAAAAGAGGTTCCCATGATTTAGTAGATTTGTGTTGGACTAATTTTTTTTTTTTTTTTTTGGGGGGGGGAGAGACAGAGATATACAAAAAACTATCCTCAGTTGATGCTGAAAGCTGCAGATATCTGGATGCTTCACTTCCAATAATCCAATTTGGATATTTGGTGCGCTATCTTACCAACGCCCCCTTCTTTCAGATATTTGACAGCAGCTCTAACGCCCCCTAAAGAATCATACATCTGTTCTGTCAGGAGAAGAAGAGTAATCTCTAGTGAGGAGTAAAATGAGGATATGTCACTTAACAAGAAAGTATATAGACATAAACCTCTTGCTTTAAATTCTTCAGGGGTTAACTTGCATCCTAATTGCACACTTTAGCTTTAGCTGTCCTTCAGCCTGCATTACCTCGCCACGTCATCCTGAGGCAGCATACTGTAGACGGTCATCATGTCCAGAGCATCAGCATGCTCCCAGCCCGTCTTCAGGAACCGCTCCTTCTGCAAAATTATAATAATAATAAAAACAACCAAACAAACTAATAAATACAAGACTAAGTAAATACATAAAGCCAGATAATGCATTTCATGTTCCTACATGAAACAATAGCACTTAAATGTTTTGCATCAAGCAACAGATGTTTACCTGAGAGTCCAGAGACTGGCAGGCCTCCACTCCTGACAGGGTGCACTGGCGACGCAGCAGGTTTTCGATCATCACCTGGCCAAACCGATCGCTCATGTTTACCTGGATACACACAACGTGTTGAGTGAATGAAGGCGTGGGTTCAGCCACATTATTCAATCTTCAGTCAACAACACAAGTTCTGCTTCTCTCTATTCAAAATGTCTTGCATCATACATTTTTTTTAAAGATGTTCAAATATGCAACAACAACAACAAAATGTCGTTCACATATTCACCAGAGCAGAAAATAAAACACGGCCCTCGGTCATAGGGTCTGAGTTCTTGGTGAGTAGTATTTAAAAGAGATGGACTTCAACTGGGTTGTTTGGAAATGTTCTTCCCATTTGATGGAACCCTTAATTATGGTGCGTTCCATTTGATAACTCCTTTTTGTGAATACGAGTTGGAGGTGTGCCGCTGGAGGAGAGCAGAGGCTTCACAATAATGGAGGTGTCACCAAACAAGCAGTTTGTTTTGGTTGCACATTCTTCTTGAAATTGAGAGTGAATACTCTTTAGAAAAAGTAATTAATTTCTCATCAAATGTATAATCCACTACAGCCATGTCATCGTGCTTTTATAAATATACAAAAATCCAAATCGTGTCACTGATAACTAAGCCAACCCCCTTGTTCTTCTTCTGACATTTTCTTGATTCTTTTTGTTTACCTGCTCGTAGTTGATGAACATGGCGGTGTGGAAGGTTTCTGCTGCCCAGTGAACTATATTGGAGGATTGGGAGGGCGTCATGTAGACCAGCACACACTCTGAGAGGAGCAATGTGGGTAATCTGGGAAGAGAAAAAACAGTAAAGTTAACAACCACAACAGAGGTAGAGAGCACTGGGAGAAACCAAAAGTCTACCAAGGCGTACAAAATCCTTCTTAATTTGATCATTGAACCCAGAAATGTTTTATAATTTCTGTTAACTGGACCTAGATACTGTAATATAGAAACTGTTAAAGAATCTCTCTTTGAGACTTCAAGAGACACAAAGGGAATTATTTTCCACCAAACTTCATTGAAATGAGTTGAGTTTTTGATGAATCTTACTAATTGGGGCACAAAGAGGCAGATAGATTTACAGCCTCTACAAAGGGGGATTTACGTCTCTGGACATCTCCTTCATACTCTATGAGTTTCTAACTACTTACAGTACAACATCTGTTAAATTCACACAGAGATATTGGTGCACTTACACTCCAACCTTTAGTGTGAGTAGGCTCAACACAAAGGGTCATGACCCCTGGCTCTGTAACAATTAAGACGAATAAAAGAAAAAAACAAATGACATATTCCAATCCAGCAGGTTCCTGTAAAAGCCGGCCTCGCTCTTCGTCAAACTTCCCAGGAAGAATGCAGGTCGTACATGTGTGAATTCCAGGCTGAGGTGATGGAGTCATGCTCACCAAAGAAAACATCCTCAAAAAAAGGATGTCTGTGCCTTCCAACTTCCTTGTATGGCAATGAATCTTTGCCCTAACACAAAAAAACGAACCATTTCTCAACATCGTGAGGTCTTTTCTTTTTTTTTTTGTCATTTACAGTATGTTCAACAATGAAATAAAAGATCAAAAACCTTCAGAGATGCTCTTTGAACTTGGATCTATCCTCTGTTACCTTTCATGCTCCCAGCCTTATAGAAATAGCATATTAGGATGAGCACACTGCCATATTTTAAGACCAGAGGAGGTTGAGTTCTTGGCATGCAAAAGACACATTTTGGGTGGGGTAGCCTTTGAAATAAGGCCCCAGACATCATAATTTATAATCTGTATTACAGCAGTGAATACTCTCTCTTATAGTCTCAAGTGAATCTCTTATCTTACGTGACTCGCAGTGAGTAAAACATAGAGATACGCTGCAATTCTTAGATGTCTTAAGAAAGGGCAGAGTGAGAAAGTACACTGGGCTTGTTCCACCAACGCACCATTACCATCAGGTTAGCGTTCATTTCCTTCAAAATGTTATTATCTGCTTAAAAAAAACATGACAAGTATGAAATGAAATACAAAAAACTTAAAGGAGGATGGAAAAAGTGATGTGTTTACATACTCTGGATTGAGCTGGAACTTTTTCAGTTTTTCATCCAAACTGGAGATGTCTCTGAGGTCCGCTCCGATGATGCAGTAACGATCTGAATCCAGGCTGTGGGCGTCTGTGCAAAACAATAAATCCATCCATCGTCAGGAAACGGGAAGATCAACTTAACGGATGCTCAGAAAGATTTATTTTAGACCATGTTGTACTTTAAGCATGCTATGACTGTTGTTTATTTTGGCTTTACCTAGCAGCAGGGCGTCTGTGGAGTGGGTTTCGATGAGGGGTTTGGAAAGGGGCGGTTTTGTCCTGGTGGAAAGGAAAAAAAACAATTACTTTGCATCCATTTTCTGTATTTTCATAGCGTGCAAATTTAATCTTGAATATATTTAATAACTCTACAGATTGGAGTTCTTCCGTCTCTTGCAGAGTTTAGGAAATAGATTTCTAGACACTTCGTTTGGAATTTAAACAGTTTTTATTGGATCTCAGTGGTTTTTGTAATTGATTCAAAGTGTTTGTTGTTGTTGTTGTTTTAATGTGCTTGTAATCTCGACCGCATTGGAAGTGAAGGAAACCTCAGTGTCCTTTAGAGAATATATAAAAGGTTTGATTTGATTAATAATAGAACAAAACTATTGGGGTAAATTGTGTTTATATTTCAGTAATATTATTTTTATTATTGTTATGAATACTAATATTGATAATACTAATAGAGATCAGTAAAGTCACCTGAAATACTACACACTATACTAATGTACTGTACAAGTAAAATTGTTGGTTTATTTCAGGACACTGAGTTTAGAACTGATACAATAGTCCTGAAATGAACCTTAACTCCACAAAAGGTAAAAACATGTTTTTAACAGTTAAATGGTTACAGGTGGTCAAGACAATGAGAGACAGCATGTATATCTGAAACTCTCCATCTTTGTCAGTAGCTTAAAGGAACCACAGATATTCAAACGTATATTTGATTATACAAGACTCGCAGACTCCCTCAATTCTTTTAAATCCCTTCTTAAAACATACTTTTACAGACTTGCTTTTATGTGATGTCGTCTTCTTAATGTCTTCTCTTACTGGTTTTACTATTTTTATCTTCTTCTACTTCTTACTGTCTTTTATTTATGGTCTTATCTCGTATTTATGCTCATATCTTAATCTCCTCTTGTGTTTTAACTTGGTAATTTCTTATCTTACTTAGTCTATTTATGTTTCGTATTTATAGTTAATTTTTATTTTTATTAATATTATAGTTTTGGGTTTTTTGATCCTTTAACCACTTGTTTTTATTTCATTTTACTGCGCTTACCTTCTCATTGCTTTTTATTTGCTTTTATCTCTTAGTTTCTTACATCTTTTTAAATCTTTGGTCCTCTTGGTCTCAGCTCATGTTGTTGGGTTCTTGTGTTCCTGGGTTCTTATGATGGTTCTTGTGATGGTCGGGTTCTATATGTCTGGTTGTGTATCGTGCACTTTGGGTTCTTTTCTGTTGAATTGTTTTTAATTATTTTTGGTATTTTGCATTTGTTATATTCTTACTGTTGTTAATGTTTTTCTGTGTTTGGTTTAGTTTGCTTTGTTCTTGCTGTTTGTCAAAGCACTTTGTAAACCTGTGTTTTTAAAAGGTGCTATATAAATAAAGTTATTATTATTATATATTTCTGGTTGAGGCTGTGAAGAGTACCAAAGGAATAATGACTATGCTATAGTGAGGAGGCGTATAAAATATTACAGAAGATATGATGCACATAGACTCACAACACCATGGCTCCAAAAGATATACTTAATTATTTATTCTACGCATTAAAGAACACACCATCATCTCTTCATCATAGTGTACAGAGTCTTTGTGCATCCAGTGATTTTTTTTTAACTACTCAGCACTCAAATAAGTGATGTGTGTGTGTTTGCTGACTATTTCTGGACTGAATATTACAGTGCTATTAAAGAGCTCAATCTAAATACTAGATGTTATTGTGATAAGCAAGATTTATAAAATATAACAGACATCTCAAAGGTAAACATACAGTATAAAAACCCTCCAACACTTCTACTCATCAGCTCTTAAATTAGACAAACCCTTTGTCTCCCTCTGCAGGTCACGACCTCACACTGCAATAACTTACCAAAGAAGAGAAAACAAAGCCTCACAGACTTGTGTTGCTTAACTTACTTTCTTATCATACATATTTTCAAAATTAAATTAGAATTTAATGTTGAGTGCAGCAACATACCACGCAATCTTTAAATATCATCAGATCTTCAAACTTTTAAAGATAAACTTATTGCTGCTCTGGTTCATGCGCGGCAAAAGTTTGACACTATCATAAAAAAACAATGACAATATACATCGTGCATGATAAGAGTGTCTTACTTAATATTGTGTATTTTTCTGGACACAACTGTTGGGAAGTCAACTTCAAAGAACTTCCTTGGCATGAGGTTTTCATCCTATAAAATAAAAAAACACGCAAATACACTTAATCGTCCATTGAATTGCACATTTGCATGAAGATAGTAAGTGTGTATCATAAGCAGCTTGGTAAAAAAAAAAAAAAAAGACCAAAAGACAAGTCAGAGCAAAGGTGAGTCATAGTTAGAGTGTGCTAACCTTTAGTCTCCAAAACGTGGTGTCCAGTCCAGCACCTAGGTTGATTACTTGACAATCACACTCTGCTTTCCTTATAAACGCATCGAGCAGGCGGTTCACTCCTTGAACACGGGCGTAGTAACCTGTCAAATGAAATAAACAGACTGTTACATCATCTGATAATAAACATGAAAAGGGATACTCCTAATAACATTTTTTGCAATATGGGTCAACAATGTAGCAGCTGAAATACCAACAGATGTAGAAACTCGCAAATATGGAGCTTGACGACTGTAGAAGTTGTGAATATTATGACAATGAGCATTTACTTACTACGCTGTAAATGCCTAAAACACCCTACAGACTGGTGCTGAATGGAAATGAAGATTAAGATGAAGATTAACTTTATTGATCCCCGCAAGGGGAAATTTCTGTTTTTACACTCTGTAAGTCATGCAACACACACATGGCTGACATATACACACACATGCAGAAACAGGATCCTATGGACATGCACTAATGGAGAGATGTCAGAGTGATGGAGCTGCTCACAGCGGGCGCTCCTGAGCTGGTGGTGGGGAGCCTTGCTCAAGGGCACCTCAGCAGTGCACAGGAAGTGATCTGGCACCTCTCCAGCTACCAGACCAACTTCCATATTTGGTCTGTACCGGGACTTGAGCCGGCGACCCTCCGGTTCCCAAGCCAAGTCCCTACAGACTGGTGCTGAATGGAAATGAATGCTCATTATCTGTTGTTGATGCTGTGACTTCTACCATGAGCTCCCTGAACAAGGTTTAAAAAAAAAAAAAAAAAAAAAAAAAAAAAAGTAACTTAGAATAATAAGAAGGTTTAGGGTTAGAAGATTTCTTACCTCTATTGATTTCAGGCGCCTTCCGTTCCCCTACAGATCTGGCAAAATACTGGATATATGGGTCCTTCCAGTAACTTTTACTGGTAGCAAACCTAGAACACAATTTACAGATTTCATAAGAAAGTGATGTGCATACTTAAACGTTTCATTTACAAAACCAACCCAAGACCCTGAAATAGGTAAAGGGTTTCTTGGACTTCTGATTGCACAAAGAATGAAGATCCAGCCCTACAGACAGGTGGACTTTTTGGTTTTTTTGCCTTGCCCGTTAATACTGTATTGTCTGCAACCTCCACCACAATTAAATATAACATGGGCAGAAGGATGCACACTTCTAGTTCATTTCTACTTCTTCTTTGTTGCCCCCCCCTCCTCTAAAAAAAGAAAATGTTTTAGGGCTACCTCCTGTAGCTCTGAGTCTGTATGTTGGAACACTACTTGTTGTTAATATCCTTTAGTCCCAACATTGTACTTCTCAATAGCAGATGAGCATCTTTAGTAATACTCTTGAATGATATCTGGATGTTTAAATGTGTTATTAAACATGTTAGTAAATTACAACAGAGATGATAGCCTTTCATTAAATATTGGCTAACTTAACTTGTTTTCCTGGAACTATAATGCAAAAGTAAGGTAATAGATTAGTCATTTCAAACAGCATGATTTGATAAGCTTTGATACGCATCATCACGCTACATGCTATACATAATTCATTGAACCCTCATGATTGTTGAGGGTTCAATGATTGCTGTTGCTAACAATCTGTCACCTTTTGCATGTCGTTGCATCGTCACAGGTCGCCCTCACCGCCTCATCGGCAGTGTCCGTGTCAGTAAAAGGTTGCCGGGATGCCATTAACTATCCTATGTTGTCAACGCGAAACCTGCAAACTCTGCAGAATGTCGTTCACCTGCTGCTCACTAACAACAACAAGCTAACCCCTGTTAGCTTAATCTGACAGGTAGCTTTATTTAACAAAACGGGGAAGAAGGGCAATAAAACCGTGAGCATAGTCGGTATTCCTTACGTATACTACATAAACTGCAATTTAATGAAAATAAGCACTTTTAAAAGAGGGAATGTCAATTTTCTAGCTCGTCGCAACCATAGACTGTGAGGCGCAACAAGCACGGAGCAAATAGCGTGCGGAGACAGTGCCGATCAGATGGTACTTCCGGGTGAAACCCTTCAGAGTAAAAGTGTCACCGCAAAATGTCTTAATTTCACAATAAAAGTAACGGTAGGCTATATGTCAAATATTGACTTGTAACTACATTTTAAATCTACCTCTCCTCCTCTACTTACGAACTGAGCTGCACACAGCTGTGTTTATAATGAACATCCTCTTTTTGTTTGATAAAAAGTGTTATCCTCGTCTAAACTTTTAATCTGACGTTAACAAGTAGCCTATTGTTAATAAATCCGTTAAAGTACAAAAATAGAAGTTGTTGAGATGTCCTACAGAGACTAGCTTATTCTAAATTTAAAATTCTAAATGGCATTTTAATTTTATGATAACTCATCCCTCTGATATTTGGCTGGATTCTTAGATAAAAAAAACATTTTACTCAAACAGTCAAGTATTATTTTTTGTGAGATATTATAAGAGAGTGATGGATCTTCAGATAATCGGACGCAGTTTATAGAAAGCTACATAAGAAAGAGAAAACATGTCCTACTTGTGTAAGACACTTCAGCAGATGTGTGTATATGATCTACAGGGAGGAGAAACCACACAACTGCATAGCCCACTGCAGAGAATTTCCATAAATGTATTTAGTTTTTGTGTTGCAAATGGAGTTGATTTGATGCAAGACACGTTTCAGACTTTGTCTAACAGCAAAGTCCAACCAATCATTCAATCATTCAATCAATCGCAAAAGTCAGCTCTAAAAAAACATTGCAGGATGTTCTTTGTGTACAGCTTCACAGCACAAGGCAGATCTTAACTTTGACATGGAAGCTCACACATGAAAGATAAAGAGCAGCATTGACTTTGGATGTGAACTACTTTAAATATTTTGATAGTCAGAAGAGAGATGGATACAAAGTAGGCTATTTGTATGATTTAGTTTTCTTTCAGCTGAAGGGTCTCCAAAATATTAGAAAGCTGGGTTTGTGATTCATAATTGACAATCGGCTGAAAAGCATGTGGATCAATAGTTGGGCTGTATGAGCCAGCAGAAGGGCAGTGACTTTGGCTTCAAACTGAATTTAGTGTCTGTGAAAGTGTCTGTTACTTGAGTTGCATTATGGGTAAGTAGAGCCTTATTGCTTCACAGCTTAATGGATAAAGACTTATACTAAAAGCTATTCCCGTAAGGAAACATGTGTTCTCCAGTATGTTGTCTTTAACACTACCTCATCATTATAGGTTAACATCATATAACTAAGGCTCATTAAATGTGAATGATAGCCTACATAATTTAAAAACAGAGACTGTGCAGCATGAAATATTTTCAATTCTGACTTTCTTCTTTGTTGGCCACTGTTACTGATAGTGCTCTTCATGTATGAAACAACATTCATTATTCAATTTGGAGGAAGGGTGTTTTCCTTTACGACTAATTTGTTATTTTCACAGCAATAATTTTCATTCCTGTGTCTGCAAAACTCAAGGTTTTAAGCTCACAATATTCGTGCATTGCATCTTTTGTGAATATTTCAGAGCTTTTCTGTAGGATGAGTGACTTAAAGATGGCTGCATTGATCATATCAAGGTGAAGAAAGTTAGCGTTCATCAATCAAGTGCTGATAATCCACTACAAAGCCACGAGTTAGTGCCAGGGTCTGCAAGATATTGTTTCATCATGATACTCATGTTATGGCTGGATGTGAATCAGATTGAAATGTATAGCATCTATTCCTCCTACAAAAGAAAACAAGACCATCAGAGAGAGAATTGTTTTCTATGATTTGTCTGTTCTCCCTGCTGCGGCTATAGGTGTCAGACAAGGTGATTAAAAGCAGACTGCAGAATCAGCCTTTAAAAAAACATGTTTTTCAACACTGAAGATTAAATATTAAATTAAATAATTAAATATGTGAAAAATATGTGTGCAATAACCTCAGGTGCAATAAGAGATAATAAGTTCAATAAGAAAACTTATTTATATTTTCATTTCAGTGTTCCCTTTGTTATTTTTTGTATTATATCTTTGTTTTAATACAGTGTATAACTTCTGTACAGTTTATTTTAATTTACTTAGATGTTATTTATTTTTACTTTTACTTTATTTGTACTTTTCTACTCTTTTTTTCTATTTTATATATCATTTAAACTTTTTTGTAGAAGCTGACTCAGGGAGAAACACACAAAAATTCCAATGTACCTGTACTGTCCTGTACCTGTGCAAATGGCAATAAACATCTATTCTATTCTATTCTAATTGTGAGCTGCACATTAGACATTTAAAATAGATTTTTGTCAGTAAACACTAGTTACACATGCACAGATCAAGATCAGCAAAGAGAGAGATGAATCCGCATTGCTAAAACATGCAAAGAAAAGTTTTATTCCCAACATTATGGCACTTTTGTTAAGTAGCAAAAGATGTTTCCCTTCATTCCAGAGCTCCAAATGTGAGAAGATATCTCCTTTCTGTCCAGGGGGAGGTGTTGCTGAGGCTGCTGTGGTCCTGTCCCTCTCTCTCTCCCTCTCCCTCTCTCTCTCTCTATCCCTCTCTCTCTCTCTCTCTCTCTCTCCTGGTTGGCAGAGGTGGAGGTCGGTGAGCTGCTGTTCACTCAGCGCCGCTCTGCTCTGGGAAAAAGCGGCCGACGGATTATCCAGCTCGGTAACGTTAGCTCACCGGGCTAACGGTAAAGGCAGCGACCGGGAGGAGTCATGAATGGCCGCTGGAACCAGTGAAAGTTGCTCACGCCTTTTACTCTTGGACTTTAATGAACGGAAATACAACAAAAAAACTGGTTCGCGGATCATGCCGTCGCCCCAACGGGAACTTTTCTCTCGGATCTTCACTTGGGGAAAGGCTAGCTTAGGGGCTAGCGACGCTACAAACTATTTTTAATTGGCTTTGGGCTCAATGGCTCTTGCTTGTTTTGCCCTGTCATAGCGACAGCTTGGGAAATTGAACCGGGGAGAGGCCCCCCTGGTAACTTCATGACAAACCAAAGACCGGTTTTGAAGCTTAACTTCGGGAGGCAAGGGACCGAAAATGAAGAAGCAGTTCAACCGGATGAAACAGCTCGCCAATCAAACAGTTGGCAGGCAAGTATTGAAGTCAGCCTTGTTTAGTCATTTGAAGAGAGAAGACTTTATCTTTAGCTCTTTCTCACAAAGTTTCAAGGTTTCGAAATAGTTTTGACTCCAAAATATCCTCAACTCTGTGTCTAGAAGTTGTTGTAAATAAGAGTAAAAAAAGACACCTGTATAATTAAGACAACAAACCTAATCAGTTGCCTTTGTTGACAAAGACTTTAATGATTGAATAATTTCCTCTAAATGTCTGACAACCAGGATTAGAATAATAGAATAGAATAGAATTACTTTATTGATCCCAAACTGGGAAATTGTGGCGTTACAGCAGCAGGTTATCCAAACACACAATATGAGCCAAAGTGTTGAATGCTTTCCTCAGTCTATGTGTGAATGTATCCACAGTAAACTGCTGTCTAGAGCCAACCAGATGTCCCCCCCCCCCCAAAAAAAACCAAACAAACAAAAAAAAGTCTGAATCAGCCTTCCACACAGTGTTAGTACTATCTCCATGGGAAATAAACAGCAGTGATGATGAGTCCAGTGATGGTGCACTTTTCTCATTCATTCTTAGTCAGTCGGGCCAGTAAAGGGTTTTCAATGTGAGCTCTTACTTTTTTTAAAAGCACACACTCAGGAATGTGGCCATGGTTAGGGACATACTGCATTTTTCAAGGCAGAGTGGACACAACAGATTTTCCCACGCTAGTAATATAGTCTGCTGTGTAAAATGTGCAAATGACAGGGTGTTATGTGGGCCAGATGTTTCCAACTATGACAAAGGCCCTTAAACTGAGGAGGTTTTCAGAATACATGTCAGGGGATAGATACCAAAACATGACAATCTATATCTGGTCTTTCTTGAGAATGTGCAGCACAGTTCAGACAGCAACCCGGGCCTGAAGATGATAATTCAGTGCATCAGGACTAAGAAGCTACAGCAGTGACTAGCCTACTTTTTACCAAACAGATAGTTTGAGCTTCATCTGAATGCTTCAGAATGATGTGAAAGCATGGCTATCATACTCAGTCCATCAAATAGATTAAATGTACCCATGCTGATTGAGGCAGCATTGATTGTTTATGTTTATTATTTTTTCCTTATTTATTGCAATAAATCCTGTCTATTATTTTTTTGAATGATTTCAAATTTGTATACCGTGATATCAATAAAATTGCGATTGATTGCTCAGCCATACCAGGCATACATCTAAAAATATATCAAATAGATAAATGTGTGTAAATGATGGAGCAGTATATCACAAAGGTTCATTCTCCCCCTGTGAACCTAAAACAGGCGGCAGCGTCTTAACTGTGAAGTGAGTGGTAAAGACTCACAACAATGAGAAAGTGTTTCGCTTGGTTAATTAGTGCCACTGTTGCTGTTGTGTGATGACACACAGGGTCTCAGCAGGATGAAGTAGTGATGGCTAAAGCCGGGCCTTGTGTGTTCACGGGAGGTTGACATGTGTCAAAGAATGTTTTCATCAAGAGTGTGTTGACTGTTATTAAGTGTGGCGTTTAGTGTGTTTCTTTCTAGTTGTTAGATTTTGTGTTAAAGGGAGTCAACAGTGTTTGGCACCTCGGGGCTGACAGAGTGTCCACCCACAGGACGGTGCCAGACGAACAAGCTTACAACAACTACTTGTCATCTTTTATTATGTGGGGGCAGGTTGCCAATAATAAGTTATAGATCAGAATCTCATATACATTGAAAGGTAAAAAGTTGTGTTTTTCTCCCAAATGAGACAGCTAATGCGGATGGAGGTCGTGGAGGGCAAGTAGCTGCTAGCAAGAAATAAACCATAAGTAAAAAGGATGCTTGTATAAAAACTAGTTCTAGTAGTTGCTTCATGATATAAAATGACTGATGCAGGGTTGAGGAGTGTCCTGGTAATCAATAAGCAAGAAGAAATCAGGAGACTAATTGTTGAAGTTTTAGAAAATAGTTCAACATAGTCAGTATCTCACATCACTCTTAGCTGAATTGCATGTGTGAGGAGGTGAGCTGCAGGTAACATTAGCTGGGCCGCCATTTTTGAGGACTATAGCCACTGTAGATGGAGCACAACCTCACCTCTAGGCCAATCAGCGCCCCCCAAAGGCTTTTTTTTCTAACTGGAAAAGAGTGTATCCAGTAACTGAAATAAAAAATAGACATAGCTAAGAAAATGCTTTTTAACAGGAAACAGGATGTTTTGTAAAGCAGGCTGCTATCCTAGCTGCCAATGATGTTCATAAAACGCCATGTTTTACCAAGAGTTTCCTCATTGAGCGAGTGTGCACACTACTTGACATGCAAGCAAACATATGCAGACTAACCTATTGAGTAAAAAGGTTCTATTATTGAAAACTTTTTGTTTAATTTACTAAATAAAGTCATAGTTAAACTGACAATGAAAATAATCACAGGCCAGCAAATCCTGCAGGCCACATTCAGGACCAGAAGAATCAGTGCAGCTGGAATAGTCATAGTTTCCTTAGCAGCAGTAAATTAAGAAGTGGAGAGAATGTAATGCAGAAAACAGACATTTGTATGTGCGTGGAAGGAGGGGTAGTTGCGACGTACTTGCTCCGCTGTGTGCACACATGTAGGCTTAACCTCTTAGAGCTTTCATAAACACACCAGTCTGAATGAAAGATCTGTCAGCATGTGAATAACTGTGCTTGCTTCTTCAAGTCAGGGCCTGTTTGTGCGTCTGCATGTGCAAAAGTGTGCATGTGCAAAAGGCCGTCTCCGCTGCCCCCTGGGTTCCTGTGATTGTGCAAAGACAGAACACTGTGTCCAGTAAGCAGCGGCTCTAAGGAAATCTCTCCTTCTTCTCCCACAAACAGGAAACTGCCTCCCAGAGACACGCCGGTGCTTTCTAGAGAGACGGAGAGAGAGACGGAGAGAGAGAGAGAGAGCTCGGGAGATTGATGTATTTGAGAGCGAGACAGGGTGAAAAACAACTCATGAGTCATGCCAGGGGAGACTGTTTAGAGAAGATATTTTGTAGTTTTTTTATCTTTGAACTCTTTGGCCCCATATGTGAATGCTGCTGCAGGTTAATGTATTCCGTAACACCTTTAAAGAAGATAACGGATAAATAGTGTGTCATTTACCGCTATCTACACGGAGATAATCTAACAGTTAGGCTTTATAGACATTGTATGAGGTTAATATTTTGCACTCTACAGACAGTGTTATAGAGCTGGCCTTTTTCTTTGTTTTGCTTTTTGATAATGACATCACCTCTGACGGTCTGGAAATCAGTTCAAGATAAGTATCGGTTCACATAGTTTGGATCTAATCATGGACTATTGAGGGGAGATTAGGGCAAAGGAGCCTTAAATCTGTTCAGTCGGTCCTCAGTTTACTCAGTGATTCATCTTACAGCCGTTAGCAGAATTCACTCAAATGGTTGGTGCTCTATAGTGGTTCTTGCTTGAAATAAAAAGCACCTCTTAAAGGTGACTGAGGGGTCATATTCCCATATTCTTAGCAATTTCAGCACCAAAACCCCACAGTATTTCCATGCAAATGTATGCATTAACACTTGGGCTGTGTCACCGAATACAAATTGAGCATGTGGTATGATCCAAAATCATAGTATGAAATCTTGAGATATAGCCGGATGTAAACTTCATCGGCCAAAAGTTTTAAGTATGAAACAGGAGCATGCTGGTCATACTAAACCACTCCCACAATGCATTGCAGCTCTCAGACTGTGCAATCGCAGAGCTCACCAGCCAGCAAACTAGCAGCTTAAAATCCAATTTCAGTGCTGACATACATGTTGCCAAATACCACTAAAATGACTACGTAGTTTTATGAGTTATGAACGCTTGCTTGTTGAATTCTATTCAATATTCACGGGCCGATGGTCGCGCCAGCTTGATGCTAGCTCATCGAACAGAGCTCAGGCCTAGTTGCGGACACAGCCTTTGTCAAATAAACATTTGACCATACAGATGGATCACAGTACTTTGCATTCCCACACCTTGGCCAATCAGATGAAGTCGCAGCTAGCTGTGATCTACCATGAGATACCTTGTCGTTGGTAGAAAAATGGCTGAGGACAGAGACTTTGGGGGAAAATGTGGTCGATAAAGACCTCATAAATAGCAGAGCCTTATTATTTTTAATGACTTTGCCTCTGCTAAAGCCATTTGAAAATTGATTTTTAGATAATGTATGTTTAAGTTAAGTAAGTTAGATTGACAGATTGATTCCACTCTCGTGTTTGTCAGCAAAACTTGAAGCGCCTGTCTGTTAGCTAAGCTTAGTTTAGCACTAAGACTGGAAACAGAGGGACACACCTACCCGGCTCCATCCAATGCTTTTTACAAGTGGAGAAAAATCAGAGACAAGCAGAACACTTATTCCCTAAGTATCCAATTTCCAGGGGAAAACCCAATTATTCTACACACCCAATTAGTATGACTGCTTCATAACTTTGATTTTTTTTCATTGTTATTTTGTCACACTAGAGTAGAGTAACACCAATCAATGGATCAATACAAACACGAGCTAACAGCCAGTTGCTGACCAGCATGTTTTCAAAAAGTCGGCCCCCTACCCTGCTGCACTGTAACTGAGAGAGGTGACTGAATGTATGCAGAGCTTGTCTCCCCCTCCCAGATAATCATTCTCTGTAAATATAAGCATTACATAATCCTTACTGATGCCATATCTCTCAACAACAATCTTCCCATTTACTAACAGTTTGTTATGCAACCTTATGTATAAACATTATATCTGGAGGGCCTTGTTTTAGTCATGAGTGTTGAAAAGAAACATTCCCAGAAAGATCGGGTGAATGTCACAGTGGGTTGAATAGGATAGGTGACTCTGGGCGTCTCCCTGTGTCTCATCAGTCCAGAGCCTCGAGGACAGATAGGCGTGTGAGCGACGATCCTTTTGTGGTACTGCTGGTGACAAATAGTACCTTTGACGTTGATGTTGTATGTTTGTTAGCTGTGACAGTAATTTTTAAATCCTTAAAAATGATGACAGTAGGACGGAAAAATGTGGCATGCTTACGGCAAAAAGGAGGATGCTAACCATGTCAATCCCAGAAAGCATTCCAACAGACTTTTGGGATGATTGGACATACTGCTAGAGGTTAGAGAAAATGAATTAGCCCCATTTTCATTATTGATTAGCCATTAAAGTCATGGAGTTAAAATGTATTATCTTTTCTCATAATACACTTATGCAAATAAAAACAAGCTTATTAAGACACCCTGGGGTGGTTTGGAAAAAGATGAATGACTTTTTTTGTCCTATTTTCCAATATGTTTTAGTGTAGAGAAAAGAGTCATTGAAATTATTGTCTGTTGCATTGCTTATACTTTTGATCATTGTTTAATTACACCTGTATTCATTGTGTCAGCATTGTGGTTTAACTATCTGAATTATTGTAATTGGACTTTACTGGTAGTGCTGCTCTGTTACGACCCGGGCCGCCTCGTGCTGCTGCATTTGTGTATTTAGTGTTTATTATGGCTGCAGCATGGGCGAAGAGCCCGAGATTGCTCACTCAGTTTGATCGTTAAAAAGGTTCATCTTTTTAAAACCACCAGATTAAAAATTGTGTACAAGTCTGTCAGTTTTGAACATCTCCCTCTGTCTCTTGCTCAGGTCTAATGGTAAGGTAAACAGCACATAATCAGCTACATTAGCGAGGTTGTATGGGCTGAGTCACTCAATTATTCCCCTCCTTTCATCTCAGTCCAGTATCCATTACCTTCTGCCTTAAGCTGCCAACTGTTGCAGACCCTCCCCTCTCCTCAGCCCGGCTGATTGTGTTGAGTGGCCGCTAACAGCAGCTCTATTGTGCTAACGGCTGCAGTATTCACTTACTCCCCTTCCACTTTGATTGTAAATCGCCATGGTTACGACTCTGACCCAGCAGCCAGGATCTCTTGTTGTTAAGGAGTCACATGCGGGCGCACACTGACACACTTTCTCCAAAGGCTGCAGCTTCACTGCGGCACGATGGTGGTCAGCTCTTTTTTTTTTTTTTGCACTGGGTCAGCTGATGCCTGCAAAACAATTGTTGTTTTGTTGTTGTTTGTCCTCTGACCAGATGGCACACAGCCTATTTTTACTCGCCATGACACGGTGCTTTTCCAGAATACAGATTTTCTGTAACAAGAGCTTCTGAACTCAACTGTAGACCGATGTGTTTTGATCACACAACAAAGTTACAAAGTTAGAGCAATATTTGTCATACAACCAGCGTCACCAGGTTTCTTGCTCATGTTTACATCAGTATGCACGGATCGACTACTTAAAAATCCAAAAGAGTAAGCTAAATCTTCAAGCAAAGTCCACTTGCAATTATCCCACAACTTTTTACAACCCCCCTTTTTAAAGTATCATCTAAATTCAGATGTTTAAATTGTTAGGAGGTTATATTTGTGCATAAACTTCAATATGTTTTCATGATTTGATCATTCTGCTTGACGTACAGTGGTTCAATTCTCTGTTCATTTTTTTTTTTTGTTTTAGCTTAGGCCATTGGCTGGACCACATTTTCTCCTCAGCATGTATACTACACCATAACATGTATTCCATATTGTGGCTTTTTAATCAAACTCTGTATGTGTGCTGGCAGCTAAGCTGGGAGTCTTGTCTGTGTAGGTTTCTGCGGGTCGTCACTCTGCATGTGTGACCTCACCAGCTTGGCTTTGACTCCCCTCCACTGAAAGTCTTTCCATTCATCTCCGGCCTCTAGATTATTCTGGTTTGGCGCTTTAAGGAGTCTTTAACCCCGCCCCCCAAAATCTGTCTATTTGTATTTCTTTCCTTCAAAAACCCCCAAACAGGCGTCCCCTCTCTGTCCGTCTCCCTCGCTCTGTCTCTGTGTTGTAATTGAAAGCAGCTGTGACGAGGCTACTATAGTTCATACTGAGCCGTTTTTTGGAGGAAAGCCCGGGCTTCATTTAAAGCTCAAGTTTCCCCAAAATGAAGGCAAGCGACTGTCTACAGGTTACTTACTGCAGTTGGAGGGCTCCACTTGGAAAAAGTTTGCACACTACATAGACAGAACAATACCTGCACAGTCTTTGTTACGAGTGATGGAACAGAAGCAACACGTTTGACAATTGTGTCAGGTGAGAGTGAGGGATGAAGAGCACGAGGAGATAAAAGGCTCATTACTGGACATCTGCCCATGAGCTCTCTTTTCTCCCTAGTAAAAGAAAATTCACATTAGGGAAGGTCGAGTATCACGCTTCCTACTTTTCTGAAAATTGTGTTATTTCGAAAGTGGAAGTGTAAAGTAACATCTGTAGAAAAGCTGCAGTATGGAGTTAGAAACAGAGTGCTAGAGAGCCCAAGAAACGGACTCTTTGTGTGAAACTGTAGAAGTTAAACATTCATCAGACACTTTAAACAATCTAATTAAAAGCTGGTTAAAATTTAACACAGTTTTCTGATGTTAATGAACTCCCATCGTAGTTTTAAAAACACGATTTGAAGTCAATTTTGATGAATTTTCCAGAGCATAAACCCTTAAGCTGCAACATAGAAGAGCACTGACAAGCATTTATCTGTCCTAATATTTTGCAGAAGTAGCTCTATAAGTGTGTTTACTACTTTTGTCATGTTTTGTGTTTTTTTTGGGGTACAAAAAAACAATACAGCACCCTAAAAATCAACGTAAAACAAACCTGAATCAAACCTCTATAGCTTTATGCACATGTATATGTGGATGTATGAAAAGAGAGCATTGACATTTTACCTTAAATTATATTCATAATTTCACAGATGAACATTATTTTGTATATGATTTGCTTGGATTTATTTGTCTCCTAATGTTACATCTGTACCTAAAAAAAGTGCCCAGTAGTTCATATGTAAGCGTCCATCTTTAATACAATTTTGATATTGCTAACTTTTAGTGATCTTTAGCTGCAAGTAAACCATTATAATGCATTTCTTCCGCCCCTAACTCCCGCCTCCCACCACTTGCTGCAGAAGCTGTCAGCCCGTGTGAAGGTGTCGATTAGCAGTATGAGCCGAGTCTGTCTTTCCCAGCCTTCTCCCTTTAAGTGAATCTAATCTGTCTGACCTCTCTGAGTCCAACTATTAGTTCACTATTAATAGGCTCAGGCAGAGCAGAGCAGAGCTGTGTGGCTGCACGACATCATGAGCTAGCTGCATCTTAAGAAAACCTAAGAAAACTTCTTGAGGAGCAGAGACAGGCCTTCTGTGGGAAACACACTTTAGCATTCAGCTCAACTGAGTTTGTGCATTTCTACCAGATTTATTTAAAGCTGCTTGCAATAAAGGGTGAGCTCCATGCAGCTGCAGAGAAATATGTTTGCCTCAAGCTTTGATTCCAGCCCTGTTTCTTGCCTTGCTGTACCATGAACAAACTAAATAGACCCACCCTTGTTTTAACCATTCCATCTGATGCAACAGGTTCAATACCTGCCACTAGTTTTTGTTGTTGTTCTGAAACCTGTCTCTCTGGAGCCATGGTGTCATTTGTCAAGATGTTTTCACACTGGGTGCACATTCAACATGTGAACCTGATCTGCTGTCCCGTCTGTCATATCTAATCCATCTGCTCTCTGTTGTCTTTTTGTCACCCACAGAGCGGAGAAGACAGAAGTCCTCAGCGATGACCTCTTACAGGTAAATCATTAATCCCACTGCAGAGCTCTGACCAGGTCTCAAAGCTGGAAACGCTGCATCTGTTTGGCAGAGTCTGCGGGCACACGGACCAGTTTGTTCCCTTCCTAATCCTCAGTATTTTATATCATAGTGTGAATAATTGAGGGTCAACTACTCCATAGTTAACACAAAGGAGGCGTTTTTATAGTAAAGCGCTGAATGTTTGCAAGATTATGCAAACTCCTTTAAACGCCATCAATAAGGTTTTCTCTCCAGTGTTAAAAACTTTAAGCACAGCTTTAGTTCCATTAGAGTTGAAGAACTCACTACTGCACACACACACACACACACACACACACACACACACACACACACACACACGTACACGTGATTGAATTGGATAATAAGTATTGACAATTCCAAGGTCATACCAGGTCATTTAACTCTTTACTCTGTCCCCTTAGCTCTTGGCTGTGTTAATTATTGATTGGTTTAGTTTTTTATTTTGAATGAAACCTTTAGAAATATCTTTTCATGCAATCAAGTAAGAGATTGTTTTTTTTACTGTATGCTGCAGTTCCAGATCTCAACATATCTATTGCGGTGCACCTTAATATGACAGAGCAGCATAAACTGCAGATCAAACATCAAAGAGACGAAGGAATGAAGCCTTGAAGCCTTTTGTTTTGATTTCTTCACTGCCTTTAGACAGGAAAGACTAGTTGAACTTTAAAGAGCAGCTGGACAGAAGTATGCACGTCCTGCTGCCAACCCGACTGCAGCTGATATCACTTATTAGATCCTCCTCTCTGATTGAATGTTTCTGTCAGTGGGTTCAGCTGGTGAAGAGCTTTAAGACCTGCAGACTCCAGGGACGTTGTTTATTAGCTCTTCCATCCCAGGGCTCAACAAGCTGAATGGAGATCAGGGTATAGCTGTAGATGTGTCAAAGTAGGTACCGTTTGTCTGTATAGCTTCATGTGAGCGTGTGAAAGCTGCTGCAGTAGGGATTTCCCTCGAGATACCGTCTTCATTTCGCTGACGCTGACAGCAGGTGGGACGGCAAGCTCCTGGCTGCTCAGCAAAGACATTCCAGCGACGAGGATTGTTTTTGTGCCTGAATGGGAGGTGTCATAGATGTGAAAACAAACTCAGCTGGCTTTGAGCTCTCTTTGAGAACAGCCAAGGCTACAAAGTCTGACACCCTTTCCTTCCCATTATTCTCCTGGCCCCACCCTCCATTGTAGCAGGTGCATATGCAAACAGTGCCTTCCTCTCTCTCAGTAATTATGAAAATGTTATTGGCTTCATGTTGTCAGAAAGGGTGTCATACAGAAAATCAGGGTTAGATTATGAGCTAGCATGAGCAGACAGTGGTGACTAATCATCTGCTTCAGGCACTTTGCATTCAGTACAGGGTGTTATATTATGTCTGATCTTTTGACATTCACTGTTAATATAAAGCTGATTTCATACTGATTTTTCATATGTTCAGGCAGGCCTCCCCTGAAAACATGTGGTTGTTCACATGTGTCTCTCACAGCAGGAGACTATCAGATGAGATAGATTAGATTCAGCTACTCACACATGCAGCTCACCCTGAACATTTCAGGAAGTTTTCACTTATTCTGCCCTCTCTCTGCAAAAAGGCAGTTGAGACTCTGAGGACTTGATTTGTCCATTTAGAAGGAAGTGATGGAAGTGATAGAAATCACTTGCTCAGCCTTTTCGTTGCCAATATGGTTGTGTTGCTCATCACCTAGAACAAGAATTCCCCTCTTATCCTCCAGTCGATGAAAAACGTGTCCTGAAATGTTTTTTTGTCTTTATAAATGAACTTTCGCTGACTTTTGCTTTTAATTCAGTGTATTTGTGTTTGCTCAGCATCACATTACTTTGTCTTAAAGATGCATGATGTTAGATTGTGTTTTTATTTGAAATACAGATAATTTTCAACTCTTTTAAACCTATTGTAGATAATGAAATCAGTATATGTATGTAGTGGGTCCGAGTCTGACTTATGATGTGTAAAAAACAGCACAGAAATATCAATTTCTTCTCAAACCTCCATCTACAACAAATTCTGAAGAAACAAAACAATCAGACAATTTCTCTTTCATACAGTCAATGCATTCCCCCTAAAAAGTGAAGACATATGACCTCAAGTGATAAACAATGAACTCACTTTTGATAAGAACACATCTTCAACATGTCTACAAAACTTAAAGAATATAGAAGACCTGCTGGCTAAAATGCTTTCCACGCTACCTTTAATCACATTATAATTTTCACAATAAAATATTTTTTCTACCTAATAACAGAGGCCTGTACTGTACTGTCACTTAAATATTTTTTGTTGACAAAGCCCATAGAGCAGATGCAGACTTAAATAACAAAGATCTCAAAATACATACAATAACCAGGAAAACTAAGAAACTACATCAACTTCATGAACTTAGAATTTAGAAAAAGTTAAAACTTTAGATTCAAGGCTTCTTCTCTCTTCTGTTCATCTGGTTGGAATCAGCATTTCTAATGATTCAGCATTAAAAGATCAAGGACTTCAGTGATTCCAGATCTCTAAAGAGGGTGACTTTGAGACAGAGTTATGTCTCTTACTTTTTTGAGCTTCAAATTGTTCAGAAGATATGTGCCTAGTAAAAAAAGGGTTCTATGTTTACTATGGTGACTAGAGGGCAAAATAATCAATAGCCCTATTCAGACTGCCAGTTCAAAGTGTGATATTTACGCCCCTGTGATGTCACGGCTTCACTATGAGGCGTTATGGGGGGACAAAGTGATCCCTACTCTGTGCTGCCATCGGAGATAGTAACAGAGGTGATATAGGGGCAGGGTGGGAATGATAGAGCTAGTGGGGTAGAACGTGTGTGTGTGTGTGTGTGTGTGTGTGTGTGTGTGGTGTGTGTGTGTGGTGTGTGTGTGTGTGTGTGTGTGTGTGTGTGTGTGTGTGTGTGTGTGTGTGTGTGTGTGTGTGTGTGTGTGTGTGTGTGTGTGTGTGTGTGTGTGTGTGTGTGTGTGTGTGTGTGTGTGTGTGTGTGTGTGTGTGAAGCTCCCACTGTGATTTAACAAGCTGTGCCACTCGCGCTTCCTCTCAACATTCAGCAGCGCTATAATGCAATGTGAATTCAATCACTTTGACTACAATATTACAATATATATAAATATTATTGTATCTATAGTTTGTGTTCACATTTCTTTAATTCAAATAAATTGACTGAGGATCTCTGCTGGTCCTCTGCAAAAAAAAAAAAACATGTGACACATGTGCAGGAAATTACCCACAGTGCAACATCTCTTCTCTGAACAATGGCTGAAAGAACTACCTTTGTGTGATCAGCCAGAGGCTTCCTTCATTTGATACCGTTTACATGTTGTGTGAACGAGAATTCTTAGCCCCTTCTTATCGCTCTAGCTCTTTCAGTGATTTCCTCGGAGCCACCCAGCATTCTTGCGCCAGCTGTCCATTCCTTGCTGCACCTCTTCATAGCACCCCAGAAATACTCCTGAAGTTACCACGGTGCCAGCTTGAACACACCCTTGTAGTTGTGTTTAAAGCTGAGAGAAAATTTACAAGGTAGCAACCAGCTGTCTTAAACACCTCTGTCATATTTGTGCTCTTGCAAACAAAGTCTAGTTTGTTTGCCGTTAATGGCCCTTTGCCTAATTCCACCCTCAATGCGTCATATTATGTTATTTTTATTCCTTTCAGTCATGTCCAGACATGTTAACATCCTTTCTCTAAGGAACCGATAAATAAACAGTGGCAGTAAGACAGACACCCTCTTTGTCTGTATACCCTGCTCCGCATTGGGATTCCCTGCTCATTGACGCGTCATCATGGGATTGACCATGTGTTGACCTCATCACAAAGCATGAAAAACACGCCGCGCTCCCTGCTGTATTGTCTCCTCAGTTCATTTTTGGTCGAGGTTCTCCTACGCCTTCACATATTATATTTTATGACTGTATTGTGTCTTTGCTTTTTTTTTCCTTTTTTTTTACAATGAAAGGAAAAGGAATACTCCCAGTGCCATGTAACCCAAACATTTCCAATACACCCACACAGGAACAGGGAGGGGAATCCCTGACATGCTTTGTGCCAGGCACAAACTGAGTCTTGAGAAGTGTTCCCAAGCCTGTGGAAGCCGAGCGTTTACATGTCCGGAGTGTGCGTTTGATAAGTTTGTATTTGACCCAGCTGTTTGGGGAATGCCGGGGGGCCACCACGGGTCGGCGATGACGTAAGAGCAAGGGAACAGAGGGAGGGAACACAGAGGCGGATATCTGCTGTGGAATTCCTGAGTTCCGACTCAGTTCTGTTTTTGGAACACAATTGTCTGGTATTTAGATGATCCTCCCTCTCCAGTCGTCTCCCTCTATTTCTGCTTGTTTTACCCCCTAGACCATAATGTTCCCATTTATATTCTGCACATTGTTTTTCCCAGCTCTTGAGAAGATGTTTATCCCTATCAAACACTTATGGACAAAGACTTCCACTTTTTCTCATAACCTTTAAAAAAAAGACTCACCTTTTCCTTTTTAGAATTTGTGCACACAATCTGCTGTTGACTTTCTCACAAGCGCTGCCAACTTGAACCAGTTTTTGCATCACTGAAGTATGTTTAAAAACTTGCAATCATCATCAGCTCTATTCAAGGGCTGATGACAGGCAGCCTAATGTTGACACTGTCAGTCGCAGTCAGGCACCTTGCATGACGAGGACAGTGAATAGTCATCCTGCAGAGATTCAGTCGGCCTCTGTCTTTGACCACAGAGTGGCTGTGGCCGCCATCAATGACCGTATTATATGTTGTCGGGCTAAAAGCACACAGTGGATCTGTGTAGTTGGTCCGGCAGACAGGGAAAAGCCTGTGTAATCAAAAAGACCTTTTTTTTTTAAAAGCCGAACAACCCCTCGCTCTAGGTCACAGCCCAGTGCCCGTTGCTACGGCGACACTTCCGATGAGTCATGTGTTTGAAAGATAACATTCCAGCGTTGTTCCGCAAGGACAGCGCTTATCAATCATGCATGAGCTTTGACCCCTGACTCCCCAAAAGGCAACTACAAATCAGATCAGTGCGTGCAACTGGGACACATCAGCCATCGGTGCTGCAGACACAGATGTGTTACTTAAAGGCTTTATATGTGATGTTTCACACTTAAATATAATATAAATCAAGTATATCCTCTGAAAATAACTCTGTGAGTCATGACTGTCTACAATGGGTGTAACACCCGAGTCCCACTGTCTGTGATGCTTTCTGAGTTTTCAGAGTCCTATCTTCAGTTTGTTTACATCTTCGGGACGGCCGGATGACTCCTCCCCTCACGTATAAAAGTTGTTTAATTGAGGGACTAGAGAAAAGAAGAATAACATACTGTACTCACTGCTTAACTGTGTTTCTAGATCACGGTCATTTCAGGTAAATTTACATGCAGTGTGAAGATACGAGCATAATAAAGATCGCTAGCATTAGCATGCTAACACAACAATGCAGCACACGTTGTTTTGGTTTCATGCTGGTGCTCAAGCGCGACATCTGCTGGATCAAAAAATCACATATAAAGCCTTTAATGGTTACACATGGTGTTGGGATAAGGTGTTGATGATTAGGTTACATTTACACTGTGTTTGTTATAACTAATGTGGGAGTAAGCAAAATGAACAGTCCTCCCCTGTCTTCTGCTTCATATAATTCCACTAGCCCATTTTGGCAGTGCAAAAAAAAAAATGCAGTTCCTTTACTGTCCAGTTGAGGCTGGCTCCAAAAGCTAAGCAATCCCCTTTGACACCCTTTACCACAGATTTAAACAGCCTGTTTAAAAAAAAATAATGTTTTGGTCTGAATAGCTAATTTCTTTATCCATACACACTGTGGGGGGGGGGGGACTTGTTTATTTATAACTCATCCATTTTTATTATATTTTTACAAGAGTCGAGCATACTTTTAAATAATGTTGGGCCCCGGCTGATTTGACTGACAGATGGTGGTGCATTACTGCTGTTTGTCAGGAGGCCTAAGGCCCGCCTTAACTCAAACTCTCTGCCTGATACTGGATTGATCAGAAGTTAAGAGGTAACCAATGGGTGATGTCACTGATACCGTGTCCATGTTTTATAGAGTTTTGGTTATGCAAAGCTGTCTCTCTGCGCCATCAAGGTGAAAAGAAAGAGAGATCGGAGGGATGAGGGATGCTATCTATTTGAATAAGTACACTTAATTGTTGACAAAATATGTTCAAAGTCTACTACAGTTATCATTAGAGTTGGTTCTGATCGTTCTTGGTATGGCGACATGCAATGATTAATGAAATTTCAACCAAATTCCAATTAAATAGTGTGGCCTACTGTAGATTAAAGGCTTTATATGTGATATATATATTTTGATCCAGCAGATGTCACCCTTGAGCACCAGCATGAAACCAAAACAACTCGCGCTGCATTGTTGTGTTAGCATGCTAATGCTAGCGATCTTTATTATGCTCGTATCTTCACACTGCATGTAAATTTACCTGAAATGACCGTGATCTAGAAACACAGTTAAGCAGTGAGTACAGTATGTTATTCTTCTTTTCTCTAGTCCCTCAATTAAACAACTTTTATACGCGAGGGGAGGAGTCAGCCGGCTGTCCTGGCGATGTAAACAAAGTGAAGATAGGACTCTGAAAACATCACAGACAGTAGGACTCAGGTGTTACACCCATTGTAGACAGTCATGACTCACAGAGTTATTTTCAGAGGATAGACTTGATTTATATTACATTTAAGTGTGAACAATCACATATAAAGCCTTTTAAAGACTTCTCACAATGTGCAATTGTTTGTGTACTTGTACTAAAAAACAACAGGAAGTCAAAGCTCATGGCTTTACAAAAATAAAACTGGTCTTATACTTTCAAAATAAAGCCTATATAATATCAAATCGTCCATCAAAAAGCATATCTAATTTGCACTCTGATCTTGGATGACTGATGCTGACTTCTTGCATGTCTTGTCTCTTTCACAGATTGAGCGGCGCATGGAGTTGGTGCGGGTGGTTTCCCACAACACCCACAAGCGGATGGTGTCATGTCTACAGGGACACATCGGTGCAGACGCAGAGAAGAGACATGTAAGATATCAAGCTTATTATATAAAAGAGTAAAAAATCAACTAACCAGTCAATTGACAGTTCCAGGATGTGTAATAACTTGTTTATTGAACTCACTCCCTACACAAAGCTCTGAATGATTTCTTTCAAAGTGTCCAAAGTAGACCAACAATACATGATTTCTCTTTTGTGTTTTCTACTCCACATCATCCCAAAATGCACCACAGTCTGTACCACGCCTCTATACAGGAAACGGTCAGGTAAAGAAAAAACAAAAAGACTCCTTATTCGTCTCTCTGGTTCCAAGCACCACTTGCTCCATTTCCCATTCAGACATCTTTCATCTTTACTCACTCTGCATGACACTTTGGCCTTTGGGATTCTCTGGTGAAAAAAACAGGAAGCTGAACGCACAAAAAAATGTAAACTCTGCTGCAGTGAAAAAACAAGCTCCAGAGCTGTCATTTGATAGATGTCTCACTTCCCTAGTTCTGCATCTTCAATCCCATTCAACATCTGTATTTTCCCTCCTTTGCTCGGAAAGCTCTCTTCCTCTTCCTGAATTCACCGCTCAATGGAAAGTCCTAGATGAGTTTTCCATTTACCTTCAGCCTCAAAAAACGAAGCCTCTACACTTTCATTTTATTTCTGTCCATCTTTTCAGTTTTAACGTCTCAGAATTAGTTTGATCATCTTATTTGTCTTCTACAGAAAAAGCTTCCCCTCACTTCACTCTCCCAGGCGATGGTGGAGGGCGGAAACCAGTTGGGAGAAGACTCGCTAATAGGGTGAGTTACATTTTTTGATTGACAGGCCGGAAAAAAACAAATTGCTTCTTCTTTGGCAACAGTCGCTAATAGAGCAGATTGCACCCTAGAGACGGTGAAATATGAGGCTGTGCATCCAGGACGAGCAGTCGGCCTAGTTTTGTTTTCTGTAGGCGGGACTTTCAGCGGTTCTGAAAATCCTGTCATTCATTATGACAGACAGCAACATAAACGAGCCGAGCACACACTTGTGTTTGAGGATCTAGAAAGTAAAAGTCTGAACGTGTGCCTAGCAGCCATGTGTCTGTCTGGAAAGCAATGAGGAAGGGAAAGCACAGTCTGGTCTGCTAGTAAATATGACACATTCAACCTGAGTCGGCTGTCAAAGCATGTCACTCTCATACTGAGGCCTGAAAGCCATAAAGTTCAAATTTAATATAGAAGCAATAATATCACAACCTTACAATAGCTTTTTGTCATTCATATATTACTGCTAAACCCTTTTCAATATTGTGTATACATATATATCAGTGCACACACATAGACACACAACATTTTCTCCTGAATACCTCCATGTATGTAATCTATCTACAATGTGTTATTCTACATTTATCGTTTCGTATATATTCTATTAAACTATCTGATATATGTCCAGCACTCTATGCACATTAAAACTAGGGCTGTCTAACTATTTTTTATTTTATTTTGATAAATCCCTAAAATTCAATTCATTTCCATTTTTAATTGCATGTTTAAAATTCTCTGATTTTGCAGTTTAAAACAGTTTTTTAGTCCATATTAACAATGCAAAACTTTTTTTTTTTTTTTTTTTTTTACCTGTGTCAGGATTTGGGAATCAAATGAATGCAAAGAAATGAACTTTATAGTGTTCCGTTTAAATGTATTACTTCACTTCAAGTGCTGCCCTGCTTCCCCTGTGTGGTCTATGATGATGACTAATTCTGGGAAATACAGTGTTTCTTTTTATTTTCTGAAAGGACAACATTGTTATAAATTTAGAAATGTGCGGGAGTGCATGCATTAAATGACTCACTGACATCCAATGATCCCCGGTTAATGTGACAGCATTTGCACTTTTCACTTAAGGTCACAAAATGTCACCCTAACATCCCTGATGTCCCTGTGACCCCAGCATTCCACATAGTTGACAAGTTGACTAATTTCAGACCTTGATCCATTACAGCCAGTAGGTTAACACCGACAACTGTAATTAAAACTTTAGAAGCTTGTATTTCTAATGTTTCTGTTAAGACAGAGGAGGGGAGCATGAAATGTATGTGGAGTGAAACAATGTTTGTGAGCTCTGGGGTCATTGATTCAATCTAATTTTCCAAATGTTATCTTTTTAAAGGCTTAAAAAGTCATACTTTTAATTTTCTTTTTCTTTTATGTATCTTTGAGTTATTTGATATCAAAAATTCTGATGTAGCCGCTCATAGATTAATGACTTTCCAGTGCTAATTCAAATGTCTCCTTTGGGGCATGCAGCAGCAGCTGGCTGCATCAGGGAGATGTATAAACAAAGCCGACCCCGCATCCTTCATCCGATAGTGCTTCTGCTGGGATAAAGCAGCATGAAAACGATTTTAACAGCTCCCTCACTCTCTTTTGTGCTGACTCACAGGAAGATGATGGAAGTGTGCGGTGATGCAGAAAACCGTCTGGCTTCAGAGCTGATGCAACACGAGCTGCAGATAGAGAAAGATGTTCTGGATCCCCTCAGTCAGCTAGCAGAGGTAAGACACCTCACACCCTTTTAACAGCAACTAAACAGGAGTTAAATATTTATAGTTCTTAGAAGCTCTTGGCTTGTTTTAAAGTGCGGCCACACCACTGGGATCTGCTTTCTGCCTTAAATCATAGTGGAATCGATGATTTCACAGGTTTTTATTTTATTCAGTTCTTTTTTATCTTCACTGTCCAGCCTTTTAGAAATATGTTTCCCATGGGCCCTTTGTCTTTGTTGAATCTTGGTAACATTGACTGTACAAGGACGCTAAATTACTGTTATAATGAACTGGTAATCCCCCTGTTCATTTGATTATACTAATTGTATTTTTTTTGTATATAACGAGATACTCTCAGCTTTATGAGTCCCTGACTGTGATCATTTTTTTGTTATTGGAGTGTAAATGTCATTTTTATAACCTTCTCAGCAAACTGAAATTAGAGTTAATGCTCCAAAAGTTTTCAAACATTGAAACAGTCGTATGTATTATTCTTGATTCCATACTGAAAAGGTGAACCAGAGGGAATATTTTTATTATCTAGGAAAAATAATCACTTGAGATCATCAACTCTTTATCACTCTTCCTTCTCAGTGTCATTCAACCTGTGTTTGTTGTGTTGTCTAATGGTTGCAGGTGGACATTCCCAACATCCTGAAGCAGAGGAAACAGTTGGCCAAATTGGTGCTGGACTATGATTCTGCCAGAGCAAGGTTTGTCTGTCTACAGCTCACTCTGTTCCTTCATTAGTTTGAATTATAACTCATGTTAAGATTACGAGCTCACACCATATTTAGATGACACTTCAGAGCAGAGTAACATTTCAGTCAAACGCACACTTACTCCTGCCTTGCCTGTATGTATGTCCTTGGTATTCCTGGATTTTAGTTTCTCATTTCTTTACAATCCCTCCATGTCTGTTCCAACTTCAGATGGTTGCAGGCGACCAAATCAATAATCTCAGGAACAAACACTCATGCACTGACGGCTAAGGCTGACCTTCTCAAGGAGGAGATGGACGAGGCCATGAACAAGGTGGAGCTTTGCAAGGTAACCGACTTTTATATTCACAACTGTTGTATCTGCTTTTAATGGCAACCATCACTTGAAAATGGTTTTCAATTTGTTATCAGTGCAGTCATACACTGTACCATCACCGCCCCAGTGATAACGACAACTGCTTGATACCATTATATGCAGATGACATGCTGGTAGATCTACTGTCTTTGAAGGTCATTAATGGGTTAAATTCAACCTTGAAACTGGGAAAATAAGGCAACAACTGGACTTCCAGAGACCCTCAGGCCCTTTGACCCAGTTTGCTGATGCACACATATGACTGAATTGCCCCGTCAGCTTTGTGTGTGTGTGTGTGTCTGTGTGTGTGTGTGCATCTCCAGAACTGAATCACTGCTGGTGAGTTATAGTGTGCAGCGGCTATGTGATGTGTCAGGTTTTGTTTTTTTTGTCCAGGAAGTGTGGAGCCCTTGCGTTTCCCCTTCACAGGTTCTCCCTCCCAGTCCCACTGAGCCCTGCCAGCAACAGGAGGATTTATGATTCATTTGGCGCACAGGCCAGCGGCTTAGCTGACCGCTGACGTCCGTACTTGTGCCACTTGGAATACACAGTAGATCATTAATGGATGACACTGTGAAGTGGAGATGGACGATTATTAACAGATTACTCAAAGCTCTCTGACTGACGTTGTTATTGTAAATCACATTGTTCTTTATTGCTGTCATCTTTTAGAACTCTCATATATATATATTTTTTCTTTCCTCAGGATCAGCTGGCTGCAGACATGTACAGTTTTTTCTCCAAAGAAGGGGACTATGCCCTCTACTTCGTAACAGTGAGTACAGCCCGACAAGCAACACATGTGTTTGCACGAGTTCTTGGTGGGAATGTTCACAGCTGCAGAGGAACAGGGGAACACAGACTTGGCCAGCCGTTTTATTTACTTAGCCTGTCATGTCTTTTTATTGTTTGCCTTATTCATCTCACCCCACTCGACTCATTTCCATCTGTTTTGTTTGTCTCTGCAGCTCTTAGAAGCTCAAGCCGATTACCACAGAAAGTCCCTCACTGTTCTGGAGAATGTGTTGCCCACCATCCAGGCACAGCAAGGTAAAACACACACAAACAAAAACACCTTTTTTGGATACACTACAGCATTGTTTAAAACGGCTTCATAAAAGAAGTCTCTGTGTTGTGCATGGTTTAGGACTGTGTAGTGCAAATTGCGTGGAGCATGCATGTGTGGCACCCTGTGTTTTCCTTTATTTCCTGTGTTGTTTGGTGTCCCTTTAAATAAAATCTTGTAAGATGTGAGACCCTGGAGAGGTTTGAGAAGCTTGCCCAGAGGTGTTGCTAAGAGGGGGAAACAGTTTCTCATTCATTTTTTCCTAACCGGCTTCGAAAATGAAAGCAGCTGTTTTTTCTAACTTCTGGACTTCTAGAAGTTGCCCCGGTTGCGGTAACTGTTTCCAAAGCCAAAGATATTAAAGAATAGTCTTTTGTTTTCACCGCTTGCCTCCTCTCTCCCCCCCCCCAAAAAAAATGTAATTTTCCATTTTGCAAACACAATGTCTCCTCTCCGAGCTCCCTCTCTTGCTCTTTGTTGCGTCTTATTCGCAGAGCTCATTTTTTTTCTGTACCAAACACATGTGACCTAAACCAGACAAGCCTGGTCTCCCAGCATGTGGGGATGACTCATATACTCCACACACTTCCCCCCCACCCCCTCATGCATCACACCCACCTGGGTTTTTTAGCAAGCCCTCCCCTCCTCACAGCTCTGCTGCCCTGTTCACATGCACGTTACCTCACAAAAACACACCGAGAGGCAGAGCAGTCGTTCCTGCTGCTGAAGAGCATGTGGTTAGTATTTTCTGGCACCCTGCAGGGGGGAGTGCAGACGGGTTGGGAACTGGCCCAAAGGGAGAGTTTTTGACCCAGATATCAGCCATCCAGACAAATACAACCATGAGCCAACGTTGATTCTTCCCTTTATTTGTATTATTGCAAACCAGTGCATCAGTCTGGTCTTCTAATAATCTGCAACAGTTTCATTGCAGTGCATGTTTTATTTCTCCTCAGATTTTAAACACTGTGAACTAAACAACATCTCTTCCTCTGTGTTTAGACTCGTGGACAGAGAAGCCTGCGTTTGGCACCGGACTGGATGAACACCTGAAGAGGAGTAGCAGGGAGGTCGCCCTCCCGTTAGAGGCCTGTGTGATGATGCTTCTAGAGACTGGAATGAAGGAAGAGGTAAGGAAGCGACTGCCCTGTTTATGATTCTTCTGCTGAAAGGACAGCAAAGTGGAGGCATTGATCTACGGTATGAATGAAATCAAATTAAGCCGTCCTCTCCATCTTTAAGACGTGTGCTTCAAATTACAGCCTGGTTGGTGTTAGGACCAGCAACAGCATCTCTAACGGATGCTAGCTGCTAGCATTGCCTTTAGAGTCTTCACTTGCTGATGTAATGTACCTTAAGACTGTGGGCTTAAGCCAACATCCCAGTGATTCAATGGAGACTGTCACTTTTCATCGTTTACACCTTCCAGTGAAGTATTTTTAAAGTGATGTAAGATGTACGTTGCTTTGGATAAAAGCATCTGCTAAGTGAATTGTAACTATTTGGAACAGGTACAGAAAGAAGTAGAGCCCAACTCTGCAGCTCAGTTGGTTTTATTTGGTCATGAGAGCAAAAAATAAGATAATTTATAATTCAATGGGAGAAAATTAGATTCTCAACTTAACCTTTTTAGACTTTTTAAAAGACCCAAACAATAAAATACAACAACAAAAAGACACTTATCAAGCTTCTCAGAAGTGAAAAACAGCTGTTTTTTATGATGTGAAATTATTTTTGTTTTGAATTTTTCTGATTAAACAAGATATTTGAAGATGTCAGCTTGGGCTCTGTTATGACTTTTTTTTTTTTTTTTTTTTTTTTACACGATCATAAGTGGAGATAGAATCATCTGTGGATAAACCCCACATTCTCGCTAAGATCATTGTTTTTTCTTTTATTGGCCAGATTGTGCTAATTTGTGACTCAGACATTCTTATTAAGTCAGCTGTTCTCAGCAAAAAAACATTTTTTTTTATTAATTGGAGCAACATTTCAAACGTTAAGCAGGCATGAGGACGAAGTTGGTGGAGACCAAAATGGAGCTCAAAGACTAAAACCGATTTATCAGCTGACCAGTGACACAAACATACAACACCACACAAAACCTTTCAAATATAATTAAAGAATCCGGACTCTGTGACCCGGCCATAAACTGATAATACAACTTACAGTATCATGAGTTTACATAAGTGCAAATGAAGCGCAGGCATTTTAAAGCTCTGAGAGTTCAACAATACATGCTAATAAGCAGACAGTAGGGCTTTAGGAGTCACTTCTTATCTAACGCCGGTTGTCCTTGTCTCACCGCATAAGCAGAAGTGCTGCCCTGGCTCATTAAAAGTCACATGGAGCTGTGGCTGCGTTAGGCGGCCCTACTGATCGTTCACATAATTGAAACCAAGCAGTAGATTGTTTGTTCTCATGAAACATCTCAGACTGACAGAGGACACAGACACTCTGTTAATAGGGGAACTCCTGAGTTATGGCTACACTGTTCCTAAGAAACTGTCTTCAGTTCTGCTCCGGTGATGATTTACTATATGAAATGTCTGCGATGTCTTCCTCCTCAAAACAAATTTAGAATACAATGGAACTGCTCGTCTCCTGTCCATAAATCAGAGTCCTGCCCCGTGCATGTACGTGTCTGTGTGGAAAAAAAGAGCAAGTGCTAGCTGCAGAAGCACTTTATTTGTTGCTCTGTTGGTTCCCCAGTGAGTCCAGTCTGTGTCATTACAGCGTGAAGACGGCCTTTGTTTATGTGTCAAAGTAAAGAGTGGCTGTGCTGTGAGTGCTGGGTGTGTTTGCTTGCATGCTTTAAGGTTTCATTATGTGCAGCTGGCAGGGGGAGTGTGAGTAAGGAATGTATACAGAGTCTGTGTTTGAGAGAAGTGTGAGTGTGTAGATTCAGTGAAAGCAGCAGAGTCTTGTGTACACATTGAATGTCTGCATGTATTTTAACTGCTGCTTGCTGGCGATGTTACTGAGCATTGTGTGTGTGTGTGTGTGTGTGTGTGTGTGTGTGTGTGTGTGTGTGTGTGTGTGTGTGTGTGTGTGTGTGTGTGTGTGTGTGTGTGTGTGTGTGTGTGTGTGTGTGTGTGTGTGTGTGTGTGTGTGTGTGTGTGTGTGTGTGTGTGTGTGTGTGTGTGTGTGTGTGTGTGTGTGTGTGTGTGTGTGTGTGTGTGTGTGTGTGTGTGTGTGTGTGTGTGTGTGTGTGTGTGTGTGTGTGTGTGTGTGTGTGTCAGGGTCTATTCAGGATCGCAGCAGGAGCGTCCAAGCTAAAGAAGCTAAAGGCAGCGCTGGACTGTTCCACGTCGCAACTAGAAGAGTTTTACTCCGACCCACACGCTGTCGCTGGTACGTCTCACACAACAGACTGAGCCACACATGATCAAAAGAGAAGTCGGTCCACTATGTTGTAATTCCTTGCATGCACAACACACACTTTTGATCTAACCATAGTGTCTAAAACATGCCTGCACTATCATCTCGCTTTAAACATCAGAACACTATCATGATTTCCTCCGCAGGGAAATTTGGATTAAATACTGCAATTGTTAGACATAATTGGGGCTGTTTTTTTAATTCCAGGTGCACTGAAGTCCTACCTGAGAGAACTACCTGAACCTCTAATGACCTACCAGCTCTACGATGAATGGATTCAGGCCTCCAGGTAAGGCTCAAAACAGGATCACTGGGAGTGGCATGTGCCAGTATTGAACAGGTCTGTCAGTGTGCAGCTGTGAGAAACAACAGGATAAGTCATTTTGGGACGTTTAGCCTGAGGAAGAATGGACTAATAATGTGCTCTGCTTTCAATCATCTCTTTGATTTCTGTCTTGTTCAGCGTGTCAGACCCAGACAAGAGGCTGCAGGCTCTCTGGATGGTTTGTGATCAGCTACCAAAGAACAACAAAACCAACCTGAGGTTAGTTTTTAAAACCTATGTGGAAAAGATCACGACTTGCAACTTTTCTTCCTTCTGTTGCATGATTCATTGTTTGTTCTCTTTTCACCGTGCAGGTATCTAGTGAAGTTTCTAGCCAAACTTGCCCAGGACAGCGAGGTGAACAAAATGACTCCTAGCAACATCGCCATCGTCCTGGGACCTAACCTGCTGTGGACCAAGACTGAGGGGTGAGAGGAGGGGGAAGATGGCATTTTCAATTTAATAGTCCACCATTTTTATTGTTCCAAACAAACATAAATATTTCATAATTTTCCCAAGACATGATGCTGGGACAGTGTATTGTTGAGGAGAGAATTTCTACAAATCATACTCTGTTATTCTAGCTCATTTGAGTGCACCTTTCATTATGTGTGTACGTGTCCACCCAGGAGTCTGGCTGAGATGGCTGCAGCTACCTCTGTGCACGTGGTGGCTATCATGGAGCCCATCATCCAGCATGCTGACTGGTTCTTTCCTGAGGGTACGTTTTTACATCACTGTTTATAACTCCGACCTTCAGCCAATTAGGGCTCGTACACCAGGGATGTTTGATAACCCATTCAATATTAACAACCACAGATAGAAGAAAGACTAATCCATGCTGTGTCCGCCTTAGCTCCATTACTGGGTTATATTGTGAAGGTTAGCTTGTAGGCAACTTAGAAAACATAAAAAAAAAGTCATGAATCACTTTGATTCAGCTTCTATTTTGTTTGAACTCATAAAATCGTGGAGCTGATGGCCTAGCTGTTAGGTCACTAGGCCACATGTATGAAGGCTACATGCAGGAAAGAAGGCAAAGGTCAGCAGCCAGGTTTCAACTCTGACCTGTGGCTTCTTTCCCACATGTCAGTCCCCACTCTCTCTGTCTCTCCCTTAATCTTCTACTCTAGTCACTGTGCTTTCAAATAAAGAAATACATGCCCCAAAATAGAAAATATATTAAAAAAAACCACATACAATCAAATGAGAGGAGTACAAATAAAAAAAAAAATAGAATTAAATCAGATTTTTTCCTTATCAGTCTGCCTTTGTGCATGTGTCTGGAGACAAGACGTTGTTGATGCGTCTACACTGTGGTTAGCAGAGCTGAGTGTCTCTGCAGCTCTCAGACAGAGAGATGATGAGTCAGCAGTTTCTGCCATCATGTTAAAACAATAAGTACCTCGGCTGATTGCTGCCTATTTAAGTGGAAGATTTCCTTTCACGGCCTCTTTTTAATCAGGCACATGTGATCGTCTGGGTCTTGATGGAGCGGGATGTGCTGTATTAAGAATGAGAACAAAGGAATAATCACAACACAGGTCATGCTAATTAGAACAAATTATTATTATAATAAATTTATTATTCTGGCTTGATTAGCCCGTCCTTTGAAACTGGCTTCATTTTTCCCTGTTTTGTTGTTCATTTACATACCACCAAACAAGCCAGAGCAGGTAACTCTGTTTTGTGTTTATTGATCAACAAAAGTTCCTGAGAGAGAAAAATGAGCTTGATTATCCGAGTAGTTTATCTTCTGTAGTATAACAGTTTTTTGGGTAAATCTTATTAGAGCTGGGCAAAATATTGAGTGTTTAAGATCTATGGATATATTTTCAAACAAGATATAGGGTAAGACAATATTGTTAATATCAATATAGTTTATGTTGCATTAAAATAACATGGTCACCTTTTTCTCATCTCACTGATGATGACTGTCTGTCTGTCCCTCTTCACCCTGCTCCTCCTCTCTCTCTCTTTTATTGTATTTAAGGAACATTTTATTTTATAATATTACTTTTTAAATTCACAAACAGGTAGTTTATTTTTTCATGTGTTTTCACTGTTAATAAAATACATATCGATATATATCGAGTATCGCCTTTTCAGAAAATCAATATCAAGATATGAGTTTTGGACCGTATCTCCCAGCCCTAAATCTTGTATTCCCTCTCTCTACAGATGTGGAGTTCAACGTGTCTGGCATGTTTGCGATGCCCACACCTGCATCCAACCACAACAACCATCTTGATTATGACTGCAGCACCATAGAGAGGAAGAGGCCCGGCAGCATGGTGGGACCAGAGAACGACGCATCGCGCAAAGACAGGTACACAGCCTGGAGTTAGCCCATACACTAACCTCCGAGACCTACATGCTCCCTCAGTTTCTCTTAACCACTTCCTTTTGTGAATTACTCATATTAATAGTTTTGTAATTAATTTGGCTTTTGATCTAGTTGTTTCTTCTGACCCCTTTTCTTTTGCTTCTTGTAAATGTTCGATTTGTAATATTTCTAACTCTTTTTAATCACTCTTCTATAATCTGAAGGATTTTGGTGATTGTCTATCCTGGGCTAATCGGTGACTTTCTCAAAGCTTTTGTGTTTTTGTTTTTCCTCCCTCACTCTCCCTCCTGCTCCCTCCCGTGTAGCACCCCTAACAAGCACTCGGACTACACCCTGCGTAGAGGCAGTAACGCCTTAGGTAGAAAGCAGCACACCTCACCTGCCTTCCAACCTCCTTTACCCCCTGTGGAGGCTCAGCCCTCCGCCGAGCCCCCGCCCCAGTCACAGGCTCCGTCAGGGGGTTCAGGGCCTGACGCCTCCCAGCAAAGCGTGGCGCAGAGTCTGGCTGCTCTCGCTGCAGCTCAGCAGCTTCTCGCGCAGCACACAGAGGAGCTCAGGTAAGAGCTGCTGCAGCCCTGCTGCTGCTGGACAATGACACAGCATGTCACAAAAACACACACAGACAGATGAGGTCATTTTTGTTCTTGAATGTGTCATTGGTATTTTGCAGACACCTCCTCTGCCTTTGGTCCATATGATTCAGCTTCTTGTTTATTTTGCAAAAACCACAAGTTTTCTTGCGCCAACACCAGCAGCTCCAGCTATGGCTGGTGTAAGTTCAGCCCACAGATTTAGCACAACAATGGCTGCTGTCATTCTGCGAAACAGTCACTCGCAGGGCCTCCGCCTTCCTCCCCAAATCACTGGAATCAGCAGGAACCGCACACAAACTGGCCCAAACTGCTTTGAAAAACCAAGACTCTGCTTCTTGTTATGCAAAAACTGAAGAGTGTCTTTGATTGAACAGCTTTCATTTCCACACAGATTACACTGTTCAGATCTGAATTCACCTCTCCAATAAAGTGTGTAAAAGAATGCACATCAGACAACCCAGATTAGTTAATGACATTTATCATATGGATAAGAGAGCTTTTAAAAATGATGCTGTGTCTAATTGTAAGCTCAATTAAACCCATTAGCAGACACTGATCAGACATTCAAAAAGATTATGAGATTTAAAGCATTTCCCTTTTTCTTTTTTTCCAAAGTAACCCAAAGCTACGTGACCCCACCTCCGCCCACACACCTCTCCTCCAGAGGAACGGCTCCGGGGCAGGAGGCCAGTCTGCAGGTCAGCCGGGCACTGGGAACCCCGGGGCTGGATCCATGGGGCCCAGTCCTCACCTGATGCGAAGAGGTGAGAGTCTTTATCGTGTGTGTGTCTTCATCTATAATAATGTGCTGCTAAAAAAGGAACATTTCAGTAAATATTGTCAATAATAAGAAGTATCAAATTCAAGGAAGCTGGACGTACTTTTCATTTGAGGTCATACTTTTAACATTTTTGTAAGAATGCTAATCCTTCTTTTGAGGTCAATCTAAGCTTTAAATCACCAAACACTTAATCCTTCAATTTCCCCAAACTCATAGCTAATCAATCACAGAGCTGCCAGATCCTACTGCTCAGATGTTTCCTACACTGTATGCTCATACAGATGTGCTTCCTTATAATAGAACATGTTTTAGGTATATTTATGTGTCTGTATGTTCCATGTTTTTCTTTCTGTCACACTGCTTGGGGCTGGTAGAACAGTATTTCATCTTTTTAATGTAAGCAGATACATGAGAAAAATGACAAATAAATGGAATCTTGACAGTCAGCTCGGGGCCACTGATGAGCTCATGAGCTAAAACTCAACAGTTCATCCTTGTGTTAAGATCAAGTGGAGGGTAGACAAACTCACAAGGATGCAGTTTATTTGTTGGTGTTAGTTTAACCTTGTATTACGTTTCATCCTTTAACTCCTTCTCACCTCTATTATCACGCTGTCAACTTCCTGCCCTCGCCCTCGTGAGGAGTCATGAAGTTGTCCATTTTGGCACCAGAGATTTATTGCTGTATTGATATTTTGTTAATATCCCCCCCCCCAATTTTTAATCTTTATGTCAAGCTAGGCTAACCGCTAATTACCTACCAGGTAGTCACCAAGACTAAAAATGATCATCTTCTTGTTGTTTATATTAAAGTTATAATAATCCATGTCATCAAAGAAAACATTTGCGCTTCTTTTAGTATAAGGGGGAGTATGTATGTAAAGTAACAGATCTTTACATTTCCTGTTTTTTTTACAACATTTACTGTCATGTTTCAGGTACCAAGAAGCAGGCTCCAGCCCCTCCCAAACCGACAAACCCTCCACCCAGCCAGCCCTGTAACTCAGTGAACCACGCCTCCTCCCCCTCCTCCTCCTCCCAGTCCCTCAGCCCCACCTCCAGACCCCTGTCCGGCCACCCACCCGCCTCACCCACATCTCCCACCTCACAGCCCTGTGCCACACCGAGACGCCACTCCAGCAACCAGCCCCCCATCCAGGCACCCAACCATCCGCCCCCCGAGCCTCCGACGCAGGCCAGCTCGCCGACGCAACCTGCCTCCCCGGGCAAACCCGAAGGAGACCAGCGGAGTGCTGACTCCTCTCCTCCGGGCACCCCGACTCCTCCAGACACCCCTCCGCCCTCTGCTGCGACCCAGGACGCGGCCGCTTCCCCGTTCCCGTCCCCGTCCCCGTCTCCCTACCAGACCGGATCTCTTCCCCGGCCGCGGCCTGTTCCCAAACCTCGGAACAGACCCAGTGTCCCCCCTCCGCCACAGCCCACCGCGCTGCCCGGTGACACTAACGGGATCTGTGCTACCGCCTACAAGATGATGGGTGAGTATTTTCTGTCATGATGTCATCGCATGTCAAATCTTATCTGAGTACTAACCTTCCTGCTAATAGTCTTTTTTGCCTTGTAATACCTCCACAGGTTAAAGGGGCACTTGTGAGAGGTTTGTTATTAATAGATGTTTTCCACTTTTCACCCGTAGCACTTTTATGTTCACCTGTAGGACTTTAATCCATCACCATGGCCATTTGTTCTGCCTTCAGACTCTCTCTGATATCCTATATCCAGTATCATCTATCTCGCCCTGATGCTTGATTTCATAACACAAAATAAATAATAATTTTAAATACACAAAAATGATCACAAAATCAGTGCAGGGAGTTTAAACTGACAGTGTGCTGATACATCCAGCTATATCACATCCACTGTTTTTGTTTATGATACATACCAGTGCTTCTTTAGAGAATCTGGCTGCTATTTCTAGGTCAAGTTGCACTGCCCACATGAAAACATGACACTCATATCTGCTTCATGTACGCTCAGTCATGTATCAAGGTCATCGTTTATTTACCGTAAGCATCCAGCAGCACTTCAGCCCAGAGTAAAACATTCAGATTTTTTCATTTTCAAAATTTACAACATAAAAAAACAATCTGGAAACACACTCCAAGTAATCCTTTATTCCATTTTCTTTCTCATCTGTAACGACTCATTTAGTTTGATGAAGTTAGCTTGAAATGTATTGCTTCACACACTTCTCACATTGCTGTCATAATATATCGGGTACATGGTCTTTGGTCATTTGTTGCAGTGATTTAACGTCATATGAAATACCAGAAATGTAGACTTCATTTGAGTGACAAGACCTCTGTGACACGTCATCCATCAGGGCGATCATCTGTCATGTCACTAAGATATCTCCTCATCACACACACAGATCAGAATATTACCCAACCCTCCACTGTCAGTGTCTAGATCTTTATTAGTTCTGATTGAGTTTCATTTTTGATTGTTTTTGTTCTGTGTATCAACCGATGATCTTTCACTAAGCATGTTTCACTCTGACATGCATGTTTGCTCTTGTCTCATCTGTGATCACTCTTCACATAATCAACCCGTTTCTAACAAACACTTATAAATTATAAGACCGAATTTGAAATTGGGATTTTTTCCCCCCAGTACCATGTTGTCTGCACAGCTAATTAAATGTACCGCCCTCCATATTGGTTATTTCACATCCACTGCCTGCTGCTCTCAGTCTATGGCTGAACACTGCCCCCTGCTGTTTAGAGACTCACACTGCAGCCGGAGCTCACAGTGGCGTCTCACTATGACCTCCTGCTGCTGCTGTTTAAAGCTTATGGAAAATGTGACAGTGCTGCATTGGATGGCATGATTGCCGCAGCTTTAAATATTTTCTGACTCCAGGATTGAAGCTACACATGTTTGTGATTATGACCATTGTTCATATAATGATGGCTTAAATGGTTTATCTGTCTTTGTGGGTATTTAAGTTCTGTTTTGTGTGGATCCCCTGCATGCATGGAGCCCAGTTTAACCATTACGTATTCCCACAAATCCAAATAGTTTGCATCCCAGTTCTTTTTATTTTAAGTTCATTATGTGATGTACATTTACATCGTCCTCCTCTTTTTTTTTTTGTTCTCCAGACCCTGCGATGTCTTTCAAAGGGCTGAGTCGAGCGTTGGTCCCTGAGCTCGCTGTAGACCAGCAGCCAGCGACAGCCTCCTCCTCTTCTTCTTCTTCTTCTTCTTCCTCCTCTTCTTCCTCCTGCTCCCTGCCTCCTCCCAAAGACTTAGACCTGGAATCTGAGAGCACCGTCCTATAAGGAGAAAGACTGTGACATGATCGGGTCCAGTTACCAACACGCTGCCCCCCCCCCCCTCCACGTGGATCACCTACATTCATACTCACTCTTCATGTAGCCCTGCTCGTGCTTCTGCCGCGCCCTCGGAGGAGGAGGATCAAACCTCTGCTGACATGTTTTACCCAGTCCCGTCTCTTTGAAGGATTTTTAATGTGACATCTTGAAGCTTCTTGCAGCCATCATGGAGGTCCACAGCTCCTGTAAAACACTACAGAGTGGGTTACTCATGATATATTTAATTTTCAGCGTGACAACCAAGAATAAGACCTCATGAATGTGGCCTTTACTACACACAAATGAACAACACTGAAAATAAGATAGTTTTTCAAATGATCCATATATGATCTGTAACCACAAATCATCAAAGGTTAGAGCTGAAATTCAACCAAATCAACAACTTTTCTGATCATTGATGAGTCATATTTGAAGAGAAAAAAAAACAACCTGAGAATGTCAACTCATATTTAGGATTCAAGGAAATTGTGACAGGGATGTTTTCACTCCTTTTTAAATGTTTTATAGATCAAATGAATTATTAAGAAGATAAACAACGGATCAGTCGTTAATAGCAGACTCATTCATAGAGTAAAACGCCTTATTGGACCCCATGCTTTGATTTTAGTGTATTTAAACTCCAGCCACACTCCAGCTGTTGTTTTTTTAAACTCTCAGTTTTTGTGACCTCCATGATGGTTCCAGGTGTGACGAACAGCCTCTACACTGCATCACATACCATCTGGCACTTCATCTTTACACTGTGCTGCCTTGACATGAAGCTCCAGACAATCAGACCACAAACTGTAGAGGGAGCAGTCGGCCAATCAGACGACACTGATGGGTCCTAAAGCAGACAGGATGAGTTAAGAGGAGACTTGGTTGGTGTGAGGCTCTGAATGCCAAATTAAGGAGAAGATGAGATCGATTTGGACTTTGGTGTGAGATGTCTCTGTGTTTTTTTTTTTATGTTAAAAAAACAGTCTTACAACACAAAATAAAAAGATGAAAGTTATCTCTATATCAAAGGGGGAGGGGCAAAGGTCTGCAGGAAGAAACCAAAACTGTTGGTTAAAGTGTAGCTGGTGACTGCAGGTTTCCAGTCGTCTCAAACACTTTCCTCTTTTTTTTTGTATGCTAACCCCGCCCTCTTGTCCCCCCCCCCCCCCCCACTCCTGTATTTATTTCCCGATTTCAAAAACACACATTCCCTGTGGCTTAGACAGAATTCATGCAGTCTTTAAATGTAAATCATGCCTTATCGGGTCCTGCCAGAACCACGTAATAAGCATCATATATTTACTGGCTCCTTGTACTACAGTATTAACAAGAAGCCGTCTTGGTAACAAGTATGTATCAGGGACATGAGGAGGGGGATAGAATACTTGTGTGGGTCTGAAGTTGTGTATTTATAATTGTTTTTGGTTGATCACTTTTGGGTTTTTATGAACAGAAGTAGCTGGGTGCGCCGCCCTCTCAGCCTGAAGAGTCAGTATTTCTGCCTTTCTGTTATTACTCTCCCATGGATGTTCGTTGTTTTCCAGGGAATTTCTTGCATTCAAAAAAAGGCTGTGTGAGAGAGAATGTATTGGAAGGACAATGCTTAGCAGCCTCTTTTGCCCAACAGGAAGACGCATAAACAGCTGATGTTGCACTTGAGCGCAGGCCAACGAGCGGTGACCTCGTGAACTGATGTTTGAGGATTGTTTTTTTTTTTGTTTTTTCAGTCTTTCCCTCTGAGCTGAGAGCACACAGCGCTGTGAAACCTCAGTAGTGAAGTGGTGTTAGACGCTTTCCAGGTCAAAAGATTCTAAAACAAATGCTTTTTCCTTGTAAACTCTCTTGCTCTCTTTTTTTTTTGTTGATGCAGTTTGGTTCCCAGAGAACTGACCCAACATGGTACCGATGGAGAAAATCTCGGATGCTGAAGTTGCCCTGAAAACGAGTTTTTAATTTTGTTTTTCAGAGACAATCGAGCATTATAACCCCCCCCCAACCTTTCTCTCTTTGCTCCTGTACCTTCGCTGCCTTATCCCTGTGTATGAAGAGAGCTTGATATTTCAAGGCTCTGAAAGAACAAATGCCATTAAAGGAGACATGATAATGCTGCGTTTTTAAGCTCCATAGTTTTGTATGTATTCTGTCTGTGAGCTTAAGACATGTTATATGAATGCTTGATAATACCCCCTTTCCAAAGAAAATAAAGTATATGAAGAACTATTTAAAATGATTCCTTACTTTTGTGATCAGGTCTCTAATGGTGAAGGCTTTTATTATTCCTGCAGGAGCCTAAGGGTTTCAATTTGAAACATTCAAATAGTGTGTTTTAAAGGTCACATATTCTCCTCCTCACTGGCGATTCTAGGGTCTGTTGGGGCCCTAGGCAAAAGTTATTTTGGGGGCCCACCCACCGGCGCTCAGCAGGGCAAATTAGAGAGTGAGTGCTGTCAGATAAGGCCTCCTTAGGGAGGTTTTCTACTGTCAAAGTTGTTCCGCCCTCTGGGGCCCCCCTACTGGTCTGGGGCCCCAAGCAGTTGCCTGCCTTGCCTGTTGACAAGCAGCACCCCTGCTCCTCCTTTCCAACCAGTTTAAATAAGTCTCAGAGCTCCTCAAAACATGTGTGTGAAGTTTCTTGTTCTAAATTCACTCTGATCCTGTATTTGATCATGTCTATAAACCCCTCTATTTCAGCCCTGCTCAGAACAGACTGTTTCTGAGTCTGTACCTTTAAATATGAAGATCATTCAGAAAGAAAGTAATCCAGCATTCAAAGCTTGGAAGGAATAGAAAGCCTTTTGATATGATGCCACATTTACGTGAAGTGTCTGTATAATCATGAGAGAATAATTATGACGAGGCAAAGAATGAATCGGGTGTTTACTGTCAAGCATGATACTTTTATAGGTTCAAAACAAGTCCTCCATTTGAAAGCATTAAACAAAACAGAAGAGTCAAACAATCACAAAAACATGAGCATATTTCCAGATATAAACATATAAAACAGTCTAGGGAAACTAGAAGCAACCGATAAATAAACCTAAGTAGACGAACAGAAATGCATTTATTTGTTTAACTTAAATATCCAGGGAGGGGGAGGGGAGGGTGCTACCAGCTGCACATTTGAACACATGAACTCACCAACATGCAATTGAGTTGGACAAAGAAACACTGTCACTGCACTAGTAGCAGCTAGGTTTGCATTTTGAAGAGATCATAGTCGGCTCATCGGCCTGACGAAAAAGCTGCGCGGAAAGAATAATTCAAACGATCATTTTCCAGATGACACTCTTGGATAAGAAAATAAAGAAGGACTCGGAGGACGAACGAGCATACAGCGTGTGCATAGCAAAAAAAAAAAACGGTCCATTTACAATATCAACAATATTTCATCAACATAAATACAACACAGCTACAGATACACTGTACAGTCGGTGAGTCATCAGATCACCATGACGACCAGAAAAAGCAGGAAATCACCATATACAGTATGATGTTGTTTTTCTACATGCACTTGAGGTTCAGTTCATTCAAGCAGCTGCCCACGTTTTAAAACAGGGCGGTGTCCGTCACGCTCAAGAAAAAGTGGCCAACTATTAGCCGTCTTCATGCGCCAGAAACAGCTCAGCCTTTTCTCATCCAGCTGCCTTTTCATCTCCACGCTGACAACAAGAAGACACTAATAATGAAGATTTGCAATTCCACCCACACCCCGGCGCTTCAAACAGATTATCTCTGAGCCAAATCTCTCCATGCGCTGATGTAGTCAGCGTTACCTCACTGGGAAAGGTGCAATATTGTTTTGAGAGGGATGTTTAACAAATAAATGAGTGTCAGTGACTACATTTGGATCCGTGCAGTCCTCACTCCTCAGGGTTCAAACTTGTTGGATAAGCTTCTTAGTTTTATGTGACGATAAGCGGCCCTTGATTGGACAGATTTCAGAGTCAGGTTGACGATCAGAATAGAACCAAACGAGGAGGTGGTAGATGAAAAGTTCAAAAACCATCTTACATGCACTTCTATAGAAAGCTAAAGCTAACTGGTGGTAATGCAAACCGTTTTCTTTATGGACACATCTCATCATCTGGGTCTAGAATCATGAAAGCCACTCATCACATAGAAGTGATATTTTGTTTTACTGAACTATACATGATGAAGATCCTGTACTACTTTAGTTTCCATTATTCATGTTGAACTATTTTCATTTATTTGGCTGAATTGTACTTTTTTTTTAGATGCCATTCCTTTTTCTTTTCAAGGTCAACAAAAATCAAAAAACATTTTCCACATTTTCCAGGTGCTTTGTCTGAACAGGTTGTTTTTCTTGGATTAAAATATACATTTATTCCCTTTAATTTTTTTTGTTGAGTTTCTTAATGACTAGACTGAATGCTCCCCTGACTTAAAGGTCACATATTCTCCTCCTTTTCAACCAGTTTAAATAAGTCTCAGAGCTCCCAAAAACATCTCTATGAAGTTTCTTGCCAAAAATCCACTTTGATCCTGTATTGGATCATGTCTATAAACCCCTCTATTTCAGCCCAGTTCAGAACAGGCTGTTTCTGTGTCTGTACCTTTAAATGTAAATGAGCTGTGTTTGACCATGCCCCTCTTGAAGGGCTTGTGTGGCTTTGGTTTTCTTGCACCATGTCCTGTTGTTAACAGTGAGAAGTGATGTCATGAAGGGAAAATCTGTTTAAACACACATTTTCTGAAAAGTGGAGCAGGCAAAAGACAGAGAAGATGGACTTTTCTCATAATTGGGGGGTTTGTAAACGACTAGAGACACATATTAGTGATCAAAAAACATGGAGAGGTTTAGTTTGCATAATATGTGACCTTTAAATAAAAATGTATCATTAAATAAGCAAAACAACTTTCAAAGGGGAATTTGACCACATTTAAAAAAAAAAAAAAAAAAAAATCTTCTTAAGAATTCAGTCGTGTTAATTTGAAAAAGGTTCTTTCCTTTTAATTAAACTCTACATGAACTTTATTTGCTTCCATGGAAAAGACAGAACAATCTTCATCAGTGACGTACAAACCTGACGAGAAAAAAAAAGAGAATGGCTTTTTGTTGACTTCAACTTTTGCTCCATATATAATTATTCCATATATATTTAAATCTCTGATGATAGATTATAGATGCCCTTTAAATTCACAGTAGGTCAGATGTGGATGGCCAGTTCTTACGTTGCAGGATACACGATGCTGAAAACTCCAGTACCTACTGTTAGAAATCGAAATGAGGCTGTATGGGAGGCAGTGATTTCTAAACTACACTCTAAAAACTACACTTGTGCTTCCTGTCACCAGTCTACATCTATGCTTCATCTTTACAGTTTTTTATTTTTTTAAATATGTTCTGATAGAAAATATAAACTATATATAATCATTTATTAAACATAGCAGATCACCTGTAAATATTCAGAGCAGGTGTTTTGAAGTTCTCTTTTCAGGGGGCTTAACAGGACACACTGGAGCAATCAAAATGGACAATGGTGGCTTCATTGATGTGTCTCACTGTTTACTAAGTTATGTTTGTTAAAGAGATGACAGTAGTGTAAAAACGAGTTTTGAGTCGTCAGTGTGCGGTGACTTCCTGTTGGACACCTGAATGTTTCTGCTCTTCTCAGCACCTGGAATAAGAGCGATGCCGCACATTCCTAAACATCAGTTATTCTCTGCAGAGAGATGCAGTGTTTTTCCATTCTGTCTGCTGTGAGTGACGTGGACTCTGTTCCTGTCGTTTCCAGTCTCTATGTGTGTGTGTGTGTGATCTTGGCACTTTGGTTGCGGAGAGCAAAGAGTGAAAGTGATGCCGACCAGACCCGTCAGCCGCCTCACATTTCCTGCTTCTACCAGGCCAGAGGGGAAGACAGTCTGGGGCTCCTGGGGTTTTCTGGAGTCTGGGTCTCGCTGAGAGCTCTCTGGAAGATAAAACAAGATGACCTCATCTCACTTCTGCTTATCTCACAAAATAATGTTCAAACTCAGGGCACATTTGGCTATTCCACAGGCGGCAGCAGTTTGCAGTTTAATCACTCTGTAGCTGCAGGCTGCTGTCAGCAGAACATCTAATTGTTTTGGAGGTTTGGATCAGTCAAGCACCTGCTTCCGGTATCCAAATATGAGCTTCTCAAACTCTGGGGACAAGCCAGCTGTCTGAAATGGACACAGTGCTGAGTTGGCTCACCTCAAACTTGGAGATGAAGTCTGCAAAGATGCCGAAGAAGGCGTCCGTTTTTGTGGACTTGCCGTCCTCTCCAAAGTAGGAGACCACCTTCGAGAACTCCTCCATGGTCCGGTTCTGCAGGGACTCCAGAGACTGGATCGAAGGGTGGCTGTTCTCCAAGAAGCTCTGTGGGTGTGCAGTGTCACAGATTAAAGGAATGTACCAAAGAATGTTTAAACATTAAAGTCAGTCTACATCAGGAGTACTGCTCAGCCAGTGATAAGAGCATAGAGTCATCTGTAGCTCGAATAATGACGTCATAACGCCTGCTCTTAAAGAATAAATAAACACTTTATTTGTTACAAACTGGGGATTTTGATGAACATGTTCAAGTTAAATGTGGGATTTCTGGATAATGGAAGGCTGTGCACGTTTCATGCCCGTGCCTGTGCTTGTGCAGCAAGAGAGCACTGACTCTGGTCAAATGAACTGGACTTGTTTGAAGGATGAAGCGTGTTTGGCATGGTACAGATTGCCTAGTGTGAGTGCGCCCTAAAAGTATTAATAAAGTTTTCGCAAATATATTTTAAGTTGCTTTATTGCTGAATCAAGAAAGTTTGACTTGAGTTGGCTTAGCTTAGCATAGAATAGACCAGAATAGAATTACTTTATTGATCCCAAACTTTCCACAATTTCCCAGTTTGGGATCAATAAAGTAATTCTATTCTGGTCTATTCTATTCTATTCTATCAGGATTTGACATAAGACAGCTAACACGTCAAAACAAGAAATCACAATCACATCAAAGCTTTTGGAGTGCTTGCAGGTGGATTTAATATCCTTTGGACGGAGCCTGGTTAGCCTTTTCACCTTCATTTCTAGTCTTTATGCTGAGCTACAAATCAAACGAATCCTTTAATGACTCATTTCATGCAATTCAAACACAAGTGTGTTTTTGAAAATGCAATTGTTCTATTCCTAACGCAGTAAGCTTACACTCATGACGGAGGCAAAGTGGTCGTCAGAGGTGGGCGGGATCTTCTGACAGGCCGTCCTGATGTCCTGGATGGTGGTGTGAAGGTCACCCAGCTCTGCAGTGATCCCCCTCTGGTTCACTGAACGAGTTGAACGTGAAAAATGTTCAATGAAGAGTCAACAAAAATCATTACAGCATGAGAGCTCTGCTGCTGCGACGTCATCGTTACCTTTGGCGGCCAGCGGCACTGTCGTCAGGTCTCTCGAAAAGTTGAGCAGCTCAGGGAAGTGTTGGCACAGAGACTTGGCCAGAATGTGGAGAAAGGTGGATTTCCCGTCCACTGTTTTGGTCGTGCTTAGCTACCAAAAAACAAACAGACAATAAAGAATGATTTAAAAACCAAGAAGACGTGAAAACAAGACGGTTTAAGCACACGAGTAAACGCTTACCTCAGTGAGGAAGTTGATCTTGAAACTGGTCGTCCTGTTGCTCTTTGGCTGCCCGTTGTTGAGGTAATTCCCCATCGCGAGAACAAACTGTTGCCAAGAAAGCTTTATTTAACACGATTAGCATACAAACTCATGTTCTCATTGATCCCTGCTTCGAACGTTTACCTCCAGGATTTTGGCCAGTTTCTTGCTGCTCCTCAGCTCCACTGAAGCTTTGTAGATGTAATCGTAGGCCACCTTCATCTCCTCCGTCCTCTCCGGCAGGGTCATCTTAAAGTGGAGGCTCCGCAGGCGGGTCTTATACTCAGGCACCATCAGCATCTGAACGTGTATAAAAAAAAAGTTCACTTGAATCACTTCATCTGTTTTTTTTTTTAAACGTTGTTAATTTGGGGGGTTGAGTTATTAGGAGCACCTGGAAAATGAACTGGTCGGGGTCGCTCAGTTTGGCCGGGTCCTCGTCGAACTGCTCGTACTGTTTGACCTCGTCGTCGTCGGGGGCGTAGAGCAGCAGCTGCTTGACGTGAGCCGGCTCCAGCCTGTCTGTGGTCATGTTCATCAAGACCTGATGCAGCTCGCTGGTGGAGAGCTTCAGGTGGGCGATCAGGATGGCTGTGGAGGAGGAGGAGGAGGAGGAGGAGGAGGAGGAAGAGGAGGAGGAAGAGGAAAAGGAGGGAGAGGAGGAGGAAGAAGAGGAGGAGGAAAAGGAGGGGGAGGAGGAGAAGGAAGAAGAGGAGGAGGAGGAGGAAGAGGAAGATGAGGAAGAGGAGGAGGAGGAGAAGGAAGAGGAAAAGGAGGGGGAGGAGGAGGAAGAAGAGGAGGAGGAAAAGGAGGGGGAGGAGGAGGAAGAGGAAAAGGAGGGAGAGGAGGAGGAAGAGGAGGAAGAAGAGGGGGACGAGGAGGAGGAGGAGGAAGAGGAAAATGAGGAGGAGGAGGAAGAGGAGGAGGAGGAAGAGGAAAAGGAGGGGAGGAGGAGGAAGAGGAGGAGGAAAAGGAGGGGGAGGAGGAGGAGGAGGAGGAGGAGGAAAATGAGGAGGAGGAGGAAGAGGAGGAGGAGGAAGAGGAAAAGGAGGGGGAGGAGGAGGAGGAGGAGGAAGAGGAGGACGAGGAAGAGGAAGAGAAGGAGGAGGAAAATGAGGAGGAGGAGGAAGAGGAGGAGGAGGAGGAAAAGGAGGAGGAGGAAGAGGAGGAGGAAGAGGAGGAGGAGGAGGATGAGGAGGAGGAGGAAGAGGAGGAGGAGGATTTAAGCAGAACAAATCATTTGAACACAGTAAATGGATTCTTTTATTTCCTCGTATGTTTGCTCTGGAAACGTCTAATATTCTATAATTGCACTTTCAGCTTTGACTTTGCAAACGAGGTGTTTCTGAGCATATTAAATATCACTGTGTGACATGGAAAGTTATTATAAAATTGATGAAAATGATTTTTGGGTTTAAAGGTTAGAGAATCATGACTTTTGCAAATCCTCAAATAATAGAAAAAAATACTTCAATGTGTGTCATTTTGCTGGCACACACACAAACCCTCAGGTGTGTGCGTGATGTGTTTTGGTGTCACTCACAGGCGTTGTAGGCTTTCTTATGAGACAGAATCTCCACCACGTCTTTCTTTTTAAAGTTGTCTGGCAGGAAAGCTGGCTCTGGAGGGGACACTGATCATTTCAACAACACTGTAAGGAAGGGTTCTCCAGGCACCAGGGCTTACACACACACAGACACACTTACACACACACACATACACACACATACATACAGCGGTAACATGTGGCAGGTTTATGGGTTAATAACACAGCTCTGCCAGTGAATCTCTAGTGGTCAAATGGTCGCTGGATATCGACTGTGAATAAGTGTTTTTTTCCTCCGGCTGAGCCGTGTTATTACTGAGATCTGTCATGGGAGGAGGGGGGAACAGGTGGATTTGGTGCCTTATGGAGAATGAAGAGATGAACAGGTGAATGAAGCAGCTCCAAAACAAGGTTATGGAGAGCATCATAACTGTGAAAGTACAAAACAAAAGAGGAGATGTGAACATAGAAACGCACATTTTGACACTTTTTACAGCAAACTGTGGTAATAACTGTAGCTCAATGACATTGAAGTGCAGTAAAGTGTGATTACAAACTAAACGACTTACTGGGTCTGCGCTGAGTGCCGAAGTGCAGATCAAGGTCCAAGAACTTCACCATGTCAGTGAGCTTGTCGTACTCCGAGTCCTCCCCGAGCTAAACAGAGACGAGGTCGAGGACTTGGTGAAGAGGAGGCAGTCAAAGCGTTCTAACCCTGAGAAGCTGTCTAAGTATCGGCTCATGCACAGAACTATCCGACATGTCTGAAGTGGCTGCAGAGAGTCCACATTATGGTTCGATTGGAACAGATGCGATCCACCATATTCTGTTTACAAAGCTCAACGCTTGCCATGACTCATCAGAGACACAACACAGTCGGTGAGTCGCTCTTTCCAAATATGGAACCAGAAAATGTAAGAGGAGTGAGAATGTTCGCAGCCACAGCGTGAACATTCACAAGTTATCCCTCGCTGTATTTACTGTCTGGGAGAGAAGCTGGATTGTTCAGACTGAGTCATGCAAACTTTTTTTTTTTTTTTTTGAAATCCTCATCATCAGAGGTTTTTTTTTTATGTAATGGAGTTTCACCGCTCACCTGACCCCATATGGTCCCCTCTGAGTTCTCCACCTGCTCCCAGCGCAGCCTCTTCACACTCATGTGGTTGGTGTCTGAAGCGCTGTGGCCCGAGTTGGGCAGCGGAGGCGGGTCACATGGAGGGGGCAGGGGTGGAGGTGGGGGTGGCGGTGCCTTGGGAGATGAGAGAAAGAAAACACTTGTTGTTGCTATGTGCTTGTTGCACCCTTTGAATGATTTGTCTGTTCTGGTTTGAACCGGTTAGTAGAAGATATTTTTAAGAATCTCCTCGATTTGGAAGTATTCTGCTGACTTCCAAAAAGAGAAAAAAAATCATTATAATGTAAAACTATTATTGTTATAACAAAATGTATTCCTTTTATTTTCTTTAACATTATGCAAAATTTTAAACCATGAAATAAAAAGTTTCAAACTGAATGGAAAGACGTTGAGGTCATCGTCCAGCAACACTTGATGTTCTTCATGTTACATTAAAGCTTTAAAGAGTTTGTTCTGGGAATGAAACCGACTTAAATGAATATTTATGCCTCTTAATGACGTAAAAAAAATCATGAGACCATCAGGATAAAGATTGATTATTTCAGTATAGCTATTTCAAATGTCTGAAACCACGTCCACAGGGTAGGTGACAGGCGGAGTGATTTACAGCAGGGCTGGGAATCTTTGGGTGTTTCACGATTCGATTCAATTTCGATTCTTGGGGTAACGATTTGATTCAGAATCTATTTTCGATTCAAAGTCTATTTTTGTAGTCCATACTTCGGGATCTACTCCATTCATCTGTGAGACTGGCTGAATTAGACTTGTGTAAATCTAATGTACTTCTAGTGATGAAAGACACAAAAGAAAACTCAGAGTACTGCTAAGTGTAGAATGGAGTGATTTAGATCGTTGGAAGTTTTGAATCGATTTAGAATCTCTGAAGATAACAATCTCGATTTTTACATAAAAAAAGATTTTTTCCCCACCTCTAATTGACAGCACTCTGCAGAAACAGCTTTTTAAAACCTTTCATTAATTTATAATAGCATGATTCATTCATTTGTCAAACAGGGAGCTAGAACACTACCTACAAATGCACATAACAAAATCAGCAAAGAGAAGGGGTCGCTTAAATGGACAAGAACCTAAAGATGTTCACAGGAGAGTTAAAATAAATAATAGGTGGGTATAACAGGAAATAGCTTATTGTTAAGACATGATATGTTTGTATGTTTTCATGATGTAACATGAAGCAGATTCATTTTTGTATCTTATTTAACGACAACATGTCGCTGTATCAGCCACCATGCACAGAGATGATACCTGTTGAAGCTGGTGTTCCTGCCGTGTGGTTTCATAAGTCTTCGTGTGTCCGGGGAGCGTGGAGTGAGAGGGCGGAGTCTGGGACAGCAGAGTGGACCCTGTGGAGCCTTTGCTCTGACACCGTGATGGGCTGTGATCCTGCAGGGACGGGGGCAGCGGGCCCTGGTAGCTGTGCTGGTGGTGGAGCTGGTGGTGCCTCTGCAGGACGAGCTGGCTCGGTCTCAGCGTCTGAGGGGGGGAGGGCCCCGGTGACGGCTGCAGGACGGGCTGGGGCTGGCTGAGCTGACGGGGGAGGTAGCAGGTGCGGGACGGCTGCGAGGTGCGCAGCGTGGAGGAGCCGAGGATGGTGTGGACCGTGGAGGTGCGGCCGGAGGCGGCCTGGAAGCGCTGGTGAGTGTTCTCCACCTCCTCTCTGGTGGGGAGGACTTTGTGGAGAGGGGAGCGGCTGGAGAGGATGGTCCTGGGAGGGGGCGGAGGAGGGGGGATGATGGGGTGATGCGGCTGGAAGGGCATGCGACTGCGGGGGACGTGCTCGGGGGAGAAGCGGACGGGCGGCAGAGGGTCGGTGAACTGGACGGGAGGGGGGATCAGAGCCTGGAAAGGCGGGGGAGGCGGGGGGCTTTGGGTGGGAGGCGGTGGGATGGGTTCAGATTCGGAGGAGTAGGTGGGGGAGGAGGCCTCGTCGCTGCTGGTTTGCTCCTCGCTGCCACTGCTGAGCTGGCGGGGCATGAAGCCCATGTCCTGGTCCTCCTGGAAACTCATCTGGAGGGTAGAGAGGGCACCGTCAGACCTGATAATCACAACCTGTACCTCCAACTTACACACAGCTATCTAGAAATAAAAATAAGAAAATGCAATGTGGCTTCTATAAATGTCTAATGAACAAATAAGTGGCAAAAAAATCAAGAAAATGCAAGAAAATCAAAATGATAATCTACTCCAACCCCTTTACAACTGTTTCCATAGCGATGGGGACGCTGTGTAAAAACAGATTGTGATGATTGACAAAACATTTGAACACATATTTTATTGACAACACAAAGACAACATGGCAAATGTTCAAACAGATCCTTCATATTTTTTTTGAAAATCATGTGCAGGATTTTGAATTTGATGCCTGACACAGGGTCGTGTTTACCGCTCTGTTGCATTACATTTTAACAACACTCTGTCAGCGATGGGGAACCGAGGAGACTGATTTCTGTATTTTAGAGAGTGGAATGTTTTACCATGCTTGCATCATGTCAGACTTCAGCTGTTCAACAGTTCAAGGTCTCCTTTTGTCTTATTGTACGCTTCATGATGCGTGACACATTTTCAATGGCTGACCGGTCGGATCTGAAGGAAGTTAATCACCTGGACTCTTTCACCACAGAGCCATGCTCTAGTACTACATGCAGAGGGCTCATTATGGATCAAAAAAGTGACGCCTTCAATGACAAAGAAGTTGTCTAGCTTGCATCACATCGCCTCAAAAACCTCTTCATATGGTTCAGCATTAATGGTGCCTTCACAAATGTGCAGCTTAGCCCTGCTGTGAGCACTAATGCACCTCGTGACGGATGCTGGCTTCTGAACTGTGAGGGGATAATAAAGCGAGTCCCTCTCCGCCTCTCCTCCTTTTTTTTTTTTTTTTGCATTTCATAACTTTTCCAGTATCACTGTCCCAACTCTTGGACATTTCATGCCTCCATTGGAGAGATAGGACAGTGGATATAAACCAGGGAGAGAGAGAGAGAGAGAGAGAGAGAGAGAGAGAGAGAGAGAGAGAGAGGGAAATGACATGTGGGAGAAAGGAGCCCCAGGCTGGATCTGAACCCTGGCCGCCCACCTGGAGGACCACAGCCTCTTGCTCCTGTCTCAACTCCTTGTCGCTAGCATCAAATTCAAAATTGGCATATACTGTAGATTCCCAAAAACAGTGACATCTGTCTGTTTTTAACATTTGCAGCCTAATTGCTTTGGAAACAAAGATTTAATTATAAAACTAATGAAATAAATAAAAAATGACTGTTAAATATATGAACCTGATGAATCATGTTTTATATATTCTGTTATTGGTTTAAGTCATGACAAACACTGTATGACACTTAGATGATTCCATGTCAGAAGTTATAAACTTAGATTTCTACTCAGTACTTAGCAGATCAAATGAGACTCTACTGTATAACTGAGTGTCATGTTTTTACTTACAAGCACCCCTCTTCTTCTGTAACCATGACAACCACCTTGATATATCTGTTCATGTGACACAAGTGTTCATTGTAGCGCACATTAGAGCCGCTCTAATGTCAACATGCACAACTACAACGCTATAACCGCACTCTAATGTGAGCTTGTTTGATATTTAAGATCAATAAGCAAACGCACCAAAAGTCAAACTGTACATAAATAAAGCATTTAAAAAAACAACATTTGACATAATAACTACGAGACATTAGTATAATTCCCATGAACAAACCGGTGCAGTACAGTCACAGCATGTCTTCTTCATTGCATCACACATTAGGTTCCCTCACTGAACACAAATAGATGTGCAGTGGTGCACTCCAACAACGTCCTTAGTCGTAAGAATATTTAGACTTTCATAGTCTGAAGCTGTGAAGATGAAAACAGTCTCACTTGAGATCACACGGTTTGCCAATGATTTAGTCACGATCTCTGTTGTTCACGGCAATTATACTAAGGTGTCGAAACGTATTTAGAAATCATTTATTTATAATCCACAGACAGAGTATGTATATATCTTCTACTCTCGTCATTCTTTGCTCCATCACACCTTGCCTGACTCATCAGTATTTTCCATTTATTTGTTTGGCTGAACCCCATGTTGTCTATGACAAGCAGCGTAAATACAAAAGTGTGCATAGCAATAAAAATAAACCTAGCATTTTAATGACTGTAACCATGGTGACATCACATATTGATGGAGTACCATTTGGAAGCCTGGAGTTTTTTTTTTTTTTTTGGGGGGGGTGGGGGGGGGGGGGGGTGGAGCCACACGGGACCATATTTGGTAACATTGATGGATATGCTTTGGTACGTCTCTTTTCATATTTTTGTACTTTGTCAGTCTGCCTGGTAGCCATGTCCTTAACCATACCACGTTTTTCTCTTGTACTTGTCACTATAATTTACATAATGAACATTATTCTGTATTCAACTCTGGATTTAGACCATAAACTGATAAGGAAAATGTTTCGGAGGATATAAATCAAATAAATGTAGGGTCATTTTCTCATACACGTGTTCATTCAGATATCTTTCTGCAGCTCTGCAGAAAGACGTCTCCAGGTTCATATACTTCCATATTCTTTGCTCTATTCAAACTTAGAAGAAAACTTGCATCTCTGTAGTCGATAGTACAGTCAGTATCTGGACTACCAATCTACATGCGCACAAGTGTGTCTGCTTAAAAAAACATGACTGTCAGCAGCAAACTGATGCTTGTATGGCAAGAAGGGAATTGGCTTCAGCAGCTGATTTGTTAGATAAACTCATTGAAATTTGAGAGGACAGGCTAGTTACTGCATGCTCACAGAAACTTTCAGATTAAAAGCTTCTACAGAGTTATATCAGCAGGTTGCACACATCAAACCTACATCAAACCAAAACTGGTGGCAAGATTCTGCAGCTTTAAATCCAATAATTTTGTGAGTCGAGGTCTACACACAGGCTACATTGATCCTGCCCTTTTGGAATGTTGATTCCAATTTTCTAACTACAAAGACTGTACCATACAGCTAGAGTAAGATCAAAGTCAGTTTTATTGATTCCTCCTGGTTTAAAAAAAGTATTTTGACTGTTTGTGCGTCCATAACATTTTAGCAAACACTAAAGGTTCAAAAGTGGGGGCTGGGGCCCCCTAAGGGGTCATGCGACACTGAGAGGAGGGTCTTCAGATGCCTTCCAAAAACAAAGAAAAATGCAAAATTACTAAGAAAGGCATATTTCACCCATCATTTGAAAGTATTTACAAAAAAAGTATTTAATATAAAACAATAGCCGTTTAGTGAGATTTAAGCAGAAACAACACACACATAGTCACACACTGAAAGTTTTGGGAACCCCTACACTATACTACCGTGATTAGTTGCTGCTTTCTGAGGCCAATGATTTAGCTCCTCCCCTTCTTTGCAGTTGCCAGTTTAACAGAAAAACTGGAAGTCACCAATTATTCACACAAGGTGTCATGGAGCTTGAAATAAAAATATATAAAATGGTCTTCAAATCTCACATTGTAAACTTTGAACAACTTGAAAGACCGTAAAAACAAAGCATAAACACAGCTTCCTCACCTCCTCATAGTCGTTCTCCCCGGGTATGAAGTCATCCACCAGAGTGACCCGGTGGCCCAGCTGCTCACTCAGAGCGTCCAGGAACTTGTCCGTGTCCCGGCTGCGAGGCGGGCGCGAGAAGGTGAACAGCTTCTTGCGGCGGTTCAGCGTGTTGGGACCGCCGCCGTCGGAGTGCTCGGGGGAGGCCGGCGGGCTCTCCAGGCTGACGTAAGGGTTCGAGTCCTGGCTGCTCTGGTGGTGGATCTCGTACACGGGAGTCGGGAGAGGCTCCTTCCAGGACAGCGTGAGGCCGGATTTACGGCTCCCTGTGAAAAAAAATCAAAGTTGGCGTCCAATCAGGACGGTGCAACTGTGCATGTGATGTTTCAGATCAAGAGTTTTTTTTTAATTGGGTTGACTCGGCTTCTAATCTATGCTTCTTTACTCCATCTAAGAAATCGTGAGTGAAGTTCTTTGTCATGTTCTGTTTCTCTGAGCGGTTACCATGGCAACGAAAGGATAAACTGCAGGCTAACATGCAAATATAGGGTTTAAATATAGATAAGTTCTCAAACCCTTAATCAGTGGATCTAATGCCATGTCACATCAGTCAGATTGTTCAAAATCAAACACTTTAAATGTGGGTATTTAATCAGTAGAATTGACTTCATTCATAAACAATATATGTAGCATTTTTAGAATGTTGTTAGATTGGATGCCATGTTTGTTACCTGTAGTGATCCACTGACTGTAGTGTATTTACCAATAAATCATTGACATTCTTCCCCATTAAGAAGCATTTGTTTACAGCAACTCGATGTGAACATGGCATCAGACATGTGACATCAAGGCCCCGATAAACACAGTTTTCATTCTTGCAAAAAAAAAAAAACAGTGCAGTTTCCTCAATCAATGCATGAAGTCTTAATGGCACATGAACCTTTGATGAAAGCATGTGTGTGCAAGCATCGAGTGTTTGGGCACGTGTGTCGGCCCCAGAGTACCTTTGAGAGGGGGGAGTGTGAGGGGGGAGAGAGGGCGCCCGTAGGCCTCGGTCTGTCCCGGGCCCTCGGGCTCTGCCGGGGAGCCCCCCTGCAGCGGCGGCACACCCTTCCCTGCGTACAGAGTCTCCAGCTCCGTGTACACACCTGTCATCTACGGGGGCGGAGGCATGATCAGCTGGTTAGCACACAAATTGCAGCAGCACATTCCCTTTGAAGGTCTGCTTGTTTTTTTTTTAAAGAATGATTTCGCAAACCAGCCGCAAATCAAGTTCAATAACACCGTGTTGGATTACAGTTATTACGAGCAGACCTTCAAATGATGTGAGGCTAGAGAGCACAGTTAATCGGAACTAGCATTCATTATGCCAGTTGCTTTTGTAGCAAGGTGCTGAGAAGCTGCGGTAATACCTACATGATTGAGGTCAGGGGACTCGGGAAAGGAGGTTCCGTCTCCTGACTGCCTCTCCTCCGGGTTCCCAGATTCATCCACATGAATCCCTAAAGCACAACAAGGCATGAAGAACAGTGACACATGGACGCCTGAACGCCTCCTCCGTCCATCCATCCACCCCCCAGCCACAGGAAAGGGGGGAGAAGATGAAGAGGAGGAGGAAAGCATGGAGGAGCAGAAAATGCAAACGGCTAACCTCCTGGAGAGCAGGAGTTAGCAATGGTAATGAAAAACAAAAGGAAATCAAGACAAATATTCCCTACACCTAAGACACAGATATGGAGTTCATGTATGACTACAAAGCAAAATGTTTATCTCCTATGTGAACCAGTCTGCTGCACGTTTTTAACATATGTATACATATCAGTTTCAACCGGCAGCTGACCAACACAAACATAAAACTGTAAGTGAGCTCTGGGCAGGACAAGTGGAGTCACTGCTGCCTCGTTTAAGGGAATATAAATAGTAAATGAACTGTTAGAAGAAGCTGATTTCCTGCCTCCAGGAGGATTACTCTTGTAGGTCCGACCAAAACAAGACGCAATAACCCTGAACACTAAATTATATATGAAGAAAAAGATTTGAAAAACTCACACCAGCTCTCATAATGAAGCTCAAAGTTCTTACAATACTATACCTGTACTTACATGAAAACAGAAATACAGTTTAATCTGTAGTAAAACAGTACAGTATGATACTATAATATATGAGGTCATCATTTAGAACGCCCCTTAAAAAGGTAAAGTGTTGTGTTTGGCCAAATTGGCGTTGTGTTGTCGCCAATTTGATGTTTGTGTTGTAAGTCATGTAGACACTTTGCAGGTAGATTTTTCTTTTTTTTTCTGTTGGTTTTTTTAATTGTTTCTTTAGGTTTAAAAAAAACAGCAGCTGAAAAAAGTAACACTATAAGAGGTGAAAGAGAACTAAAATAAAGCTGCCGACAGATCAAATACGATGAAAAAATCAGCGTCTCAATGCCATTTGAGCAGACTTTACCTTTAATTATCTCAAAAACTATAGAGTAAAATCTGATGAAAATGATCAGGACTACAGTCAGGGACATGACTTGTCACCTGTCACAGATCTTTCAAAATAAAATATCAAATACGACATGATGAATATCATAGCGTCGGAAATCTGAACGTAGAGCTGAAGGTCACATTAACATGCCATAAAGCTAAGGTGGTGATGGGGGGGCGGGGCTGGAGATATGTGTGATTATTCAATAATTTCACAGTTTAGGTTGGCTCTTTCAATACTGTGTTGCATTGTTATAAAGAAAAGAGCCTCAACGATTCATAAGCAGACGCTTTAATTAGGTTAGGCTCCACGTCTTAGTGGTTTGATTCAGGAGTGAAACCCCAATCGAGAGCTACTTAGAACACCTGTGGTTGTAGATTTTAAGGGATTTAGCGCTACATTAGCAGTACATCTTTGTGCCTGTTGTTGATATCTGCAGCGTACCCATTCCCAGGTGAGTCCCGATGATGCAGTCGTCAGAGCTCCTCTCTCGGATGCTGCCTCGGTACGACGTCCCCGTCACCCGCATAGAGCTGCTGCGCCGGTGATGCTCTGGACCTATGTCAGGCTCCAACACAGCTGGGTTAAAAAAACACACAAAACCATCGATCAAAATGTAAATGTTTTGTTATTTAAAAGCAGAGGTGTAAAGAGTACTAATATATTCTACTCAAGTAAAAGTACTGTAACTTTGATGAAATTTTACTTAAGTACAAGTCAAAGTACCAGCTTAAAATGTACTTTAAGCAAAAGTTACTTAGTTACTTTGAATTAAAGGCAAATCTTTACAATGTTTATCTTTTCAGATAAACATTTTCTTTTCTACCCCATTGACAAAAACTAAATATAAATAATGGTGGATAATTTAATAATCAGGGCTTAAATATTCAAGTAATCAGCTGTTTTATGAAGGGAAATGTTTAAACTATTTAAGAAAATACTAAAAGGTTCTTGGTCCCAATCATAAACAGTGTAAAGGGTATTTTAGTGTTTTCAGTTTTGTTATTCTGAGGTTGGTTAGTCTCAAATGACGCTTACACCAAAAAACTACTCAATTAACGCGAGTAAATGTCTATTATTGCACATCTGCTCCAATGTCCCTGTAGTGTAGTGATCACTAAAACACAGCAGGTTGTTGAATGATAAAACTTTTCAAATCCATTCATTTTAACTGTTCAGGTTGCAAATGAACCAAGCCACTTACTGACTGACTGTCTCCTGATACAGTGTGTGTCTATTCACTGATCACATGTCCGTGTTGTGGTTTTCACTCACCAGTACTCTTGAAACCCAGGAAGCGCGACAGCTTGCCCTGGCAGCGCTCCTGCTCGTCGTACGTCAGAAGCTGGTAGATGAATTGCCAGATCAGCTGTTTGGCCGGAGTGTCCAACACCGGAAACACGTCTACAATCAAAGTGTCCACATTCCTGCAAACACACACACACACACACACACACATTTCATAATGACATTCATGCACATACAAAAAAAAAAAAGCCTTACATAACCAACCTCTGCATACGGCTGCAAAACGTATTTTGCATAGATTTAAATTCCTTACATCTATGTTGACACGTGAAGCTGAGATGCAGATTGAGAAAAGGTGGGAGGATCACAGGGATGTCACTTACAGTAGGATCAGAACCTTTGGGTGTTTTTACTGTATGCACATGCTGTATAATTGTTGTTCTGCGGCGTCACATGTTTGCATCATCTGCAGAGCTTACAGCTGCATCCATCTCTTTTGTCTTGTTCATCCTTTTTTTGAACCCAAATCCCTCTATTGAAAATATAGACACTGAATAAGGTAAAGCACAGTCTTGTGTTCATATTTAGTCCGTAATCCAAAATGTGTTTTTAAGAGACACTGTTGTGTAACAGAAGGCATGGAGATAAACGGTGAACCCACTGATGTTTATGAAAGCAACACATCTCTAAACCCACATCACACTTCACTATTTGGGGGTTCAGTGTCTAAGTGGAATACTGATGAGGAACAAGCGAACAAACTACATGAAGCAGTATCAGAAGAGACACCTCCATATTGACATTTCTCTAAAGGAAAAGTTTCTCTTCATCCACACCCAGATGAAAAACATAATATCTTATATATGACCATATAAGGTATGGTATATATATATATATATATATATGACCTTCATAACCCCAAAAAACAGAAACCAATGCTGGAGACAACGTGGGCACCTAATGGTAGATCACACCTTTGTTCAGATCTTATATGGACTGTGCTAAGAGTTTTAATGTATGTATTTGTTCTGGGATACATTTCCACCTACTTAACCTCTCTCTTGATTTTGAAAGACCGTTATCACATCCTCTGTTCTCTGGATATTGTAAATGGTTATGGTAAATAGACTTGATATAGCACTTTTCTAGTGTCCCGACTACTCAAAGCGCTTTTACACTGCATGCCACACATTCACACACTGATGGTAGTGGTCGCTATGTAGTATCATCCATCAGAAGTAGCTAATCCATTCATACACCACCACCGAAGCAGCGGGAGCAATTCAGGGTTACGTGTCTTGCCCAAGGACAAATCGGACATGTTGCCCAGCTAGGAATCGAAACCTCAACCTTCCGTTTGAGAGGCGACAACTCTACCAACTAAGACACAAAAAAAAAAAAAATCTACAAACAGATCTTTACTTATAAATGTTGACTGTTTTGAAACCTGTGAAATATATTGAGTCAAGACTTTATATACCTGAATGTTTCATGTCATACTTTTAAAGTGACCTTGACCAACTGTTTGTACTTGTTTTTTATTATTGAAAACAAAGAGAAAGACTACAGGTCTACGATATTCCAGAAATGTTACAGTCACCCCTGTTGGAATACATTTCTGGAATATTGGAGCCCTGCAGTGTGGGAGCCGACTTCCTCTTTGTTTTCAGTTACTTCTTTCCTCTACTCAGCACCTGACCTGTTTGGTTTGGTTTGGTTTTGGTCAGTTTGCCCCAGTAACTGAAATCATCCATCTGAATAGGGCTGAAATGGTAAAAAAAAAGGGTAAAAAAGTACCCTAATATATATATATATATATATATTATGGAGCAGGGGCGTGTCCATACTGTTTGGATTGGGATGGTGCAACAGAGGCCCTGACTCATGCAAGAATGAAAAGCAAGTTTTTAACCCTTTCTGTCTCCATTAATCACATTTATTTAAAATATTCACGTTCAAGTATAATACTGATGTTTTCGTCATAATTAAACTAATTACACAAGAGACTGGCTACATTCAAATCTTGATTCATTCTTTAAAGACTCAAAACAAGATGCATGTCGAGAGTCGCAATCGAAAGGACGTACAAAATGAAATGTGCTTCATCAAAGTACAGAGAAAGCTACGAGCAGCCTGTTTCAAACCAGCACTAAAAGCTGATTTAAATGTAAGGCCTGTCTCTGATGAGGCAAATAGCCAGTCATTGTTTAGGATTTTGGAGTGGCACCAGGGGTGGCCAATTAGATTCATGGGAGCCCCATGCCACCCTGGTCCCCTCTCTGGACACGGCCATGCAAAGGAGATGAACTCTGCCCTCTATTTATATAAAGACCTCCCGAGCTAAGAGTCTAGAACTATTGTTAAAGCAGTTCTGTAACATCAGCAGTAAGTGAATGACTTCAGACTCTCATGTAACTGAACCAAAGGAACTCAGTGACATCTGTTATAAAACAGTAGGAAAAAAACGTATGAGATAAAGTTTCTGCCAAACTTTGTACATTTGTTTCATCACTTTATTTTCCCTCTCAGTCCATCATTCATTTTCTCCCTCTCTCCTTTTTCGCCTACATAAGTAGCATCCTTGGCAACCAGCTATAAAGAGTATGGTAGAAATACAGTTTCCCAGGCAACGGCTCATTTACAGTTACAGTATTTGTCAATGAAAGCTAGTTCATTTTCCCACAAAGAAGATTTGACCAAAAAATAAAAAAATAAACTGAAACCTGTATTATTACATCTCTTGCATTTGTACATCCTTTCTGTCTACTTTTGATTGGATTAGCCCGCCTGCCTCACTGACCTGTGCTGGAAGAAGGTCTCCAGGGACTTGCAGACCGTGTACCTTTCCTGAATGGTCAGCAGGTGCTCCAGCTGCTGGCTGAATGTCCGCCCGTGGACCCTGATGCTTGGGGGTAAGATCTCTGCTACCCACTGCAGAGAACTGAGGGCAGGAGACCTAGCCATGAGACACAACAGGACATAAGCATTATTCTTTTATTCACACATTCCTTTATTTCTAAAGTCGTCTTTCAACCTTTGTTTTGGAGCCCTTTATTCAAAAACATGCAGTGTGGTATAATACAGGGGTTTGATGTACGTTTTGTTTGTCCCAGCAGACCATGAACCCCCTGAAAATGTCAAATCAAAATGTCAGGTGTGTCGGTGTGTACTGACCTGGAGCGGGGTAGCGTGTTGTGTGGCAGGCCCGGAGACTCCTCTGGGTCGGTTAGTTCTGAGGAGAAGTCACACGGTCCCTCCTCCACCACCAGAGTGGGCATCCCCCCGCTGCCCTGTAGCATGGACACCACCTTCTCATGGGAACAGTTCCTGCAACGAGAGAGAGTTGAAAGAAGCATTCTCAGCTGTGAAGCAGACAGACCTTATTGGTTGAGTCAACAGTACTGTCTTAGAAATGTTTGATTTATGACTATAGTTGCAAAGGACACACATACACACACACACACACACACACACACACACACACACACACACACACACACACACACACACACACACACACACACACACACACACCTCTAGCAACTAAGGTTTCATGCAGTAGATCACACGATAACACCAACATCACAAATCCACCCTGTTGTAAAAGTACAGCAAATTATGTCTACTTCTGATTGCTATGTTTTGTCTTTATATTTGTCTTATTTGGGATTTTTTTTCAATGTCTGCTGTCTGGACCAATCCCCTCAATGTGTAGGGTGAACATACGTCATTAAAAAATTATCTTCTTGTCTTGTAAAATTTTGCAAAAGATACACCATAGGTGTTTACGAACAGTTTTGGGAACTTTTTGAAGAGGAACTATCCAGCCGAGAGTTCTCTCAGATCTACACACCATGGGGACTTTTTTTTGTTTTTGTCTGCATTAGCACCACCATGGTGCCAAGAGAGTAACTACACTGGAGTAGGAGCTAAAAAGGTTCCTCTAAACGGGGTTCTATGAACTACAATAGTTCCTGTGAATCAATAACAAAAGGGGGAGGGTTCCAACAGTTCCTGGAACTATAAAAAAGTTCCTGCGTTCCAAAAATGCTCATGTTACAACACAATCGGAGAACCTAGATCTAGGGACTTAAACATCAAGAAATTAAACAAAAGACGATTAATACCAATGTGATGCTGGGGACATTTTGCTACTTTAAATGAAAAACTACATGGACTACAAGTGTCCAGCTCTGATGCATCACAATGTATGATTGAATGGATTTAAACAGACAGATAAAAATGGTGGGAGGCTGAGATTCCTCTTCAAACATGTTTGCCTTGGTAATTCATCTACCTAATGTTCTGTGTTTAACTGATGCCGCACACTGTACAGTATGTTCACTTTGTGAGTACAACACAGAAAGCTCTTGTGGACTTTCCTTTGTTTCTCTGCTGTACTGTGTAATCAAGGAGGCCAGAGCAGAAACACAATCAGGACGTCAGGCGGAACAGCTCTGCAATTTTTCTCTCACATGGCAGTCAGGCTAGCAGAATGAGTAATACTGGTTTTCACAGCAGTGGATAAATCAGGTTATGTTTCTGGTTAATACACTGTATTGGCTGGGTGAGCTAAAAGGTACAATTCAGTTTCATCCACGATGAATTTCTTATCTGCACGCCCACGCTCACTCACTACAGATCCAGAGACAGAAGGTCAAGAAGTTGTAAAAGTCCACAAAAGTACCTTGACAACAACTCCTACAAGAAAAGCTGTGTTTACATAAAGGCTGATTTCACGTGCATTGCCCCATAAATACTGAACCTACACAAACACACTAGTCAAAGCTTGAGAAGAACATCAGACAGAAAACAGTATTTTTGTATTTTGGGAAAATAAGCGTATTCACTTTTTAGTTAAATGAGGAGATTGATATCAGTCAGCTATAAAGCTGTGGCCAGCAGCCAGTTAGCTTAGCATAGCGAGGGAAAAACAGCTAAACCATAACTCTTTTGTTTTCTGGCACAAAATGACTTTTAGGACTTTTCCTGTTTAGTAGGGATGTGTATCATTAGGATTTTAATGATGCTGGTAATATCAATATTCTTATCAATACTCGTATTCTGTTTCCTGCTTTAACCAGAAATAACTTTTTAGAGTATCAAACCCCACTCACAAAATTCCCATTGAGAATGCCAAATGAAGTCCTGGAGTAGTGTGAGTGCAGGCTAGCGGGGGAATGGGGAGGGGGGACACTCGTGCTTAAGCACGGTCCGGGGCAACTTTGTTTATTAGTATGAGTGCGCCCCAAGTCTGGGATCAGTGATGGTAGCTGACTTACATTATGTCATCAGAATTGTGTCAAATAGTCAGCGTCCTATTGGCTAAATGACTTAGTTGATGTCTGGCATGTGGTGAACATAGTCAGTTAAAAAAATAGTTGTTTTGGGGCTTTTTATGCCTTTATTTTAGAGACAGGAAAGTTGATGAGAGAGAGAGAGTGGACGTGGACGCCTGTTTGGAGGAATATGCCTCGGCAATAACCGCTAGGATACCTGATTTAATTTATTATTTCAACTGATGTTCACATGTGTAAAAATGCGTTCATATAAATATCAATGTAACAGACATTTTTGGGTCCTGTTGAATGTTTAAGTAATTCACGTTGCTTTAAATTTGTATTACTATTGTATTTCAGTCAGACAACTCTCGTTTAAAATATTTACTGCAGCAGAACATAGTCTGTGTTTGGTGTCTAGACTCCGACATCATAACTGCTCACAGTTTTAATTTACATGCAGAACAGAATTTGAGGAGTGATGGGATGATATTTTAACACCCCCCTTTTTCTAATGGATACAAATCCCAAAAATTCCCCAAATCAGAGGAGCTGGATGTAAAGAAAATTGTAGATCTGCATCGTTTTTTTTGGGGGGGGGGCTTATTTCATAGCTGAGACTTTCATTTTCCCCTGAGGATAACCTACAGGAGGGGGACACAGAGAACCAAGTTGAAGAGGTGAACTCAGCCCAAAACCATAAAAAATAAAAGCTTCATGTGTTCTTTGATGGATAATCTGGCATTGAGTGAAAGATGATTTTATAGTGGTGGCAGATGGCTTCTCCTCCACAGAAACAACCTGATATCTATTAATAAACTACCTGAGTTCAAGAGCTTGGACAGCAGGCACAGACAAAATACTACTACAACTGCTGCTAATCATAGTGTTATCTGTTCAAGACAAACCTCATGTCCAGTCCATTGAGGAAGAGGATACGGTCGCCTGTTTTCAGTCCACATTCCTCAGCAGGACTATCTGAGGAGGAGAGGAAGATGGAGAAAAAAAATAATATGAAACATCAATCAGAGATTTGGCACCAAAACCTTACCAAGCACTAACGAGGTGCACTGAGCAGACTGCTGGAAGAAGGGGACAAAAAAAAGAAAGATGGTGACTAATGTGATGCTGTCAATCTGTGTGTGACATCCAACAAAGCACATCAACAAACGAGATGATCTCTGTGCTAAATCGTATTACGTAAGGAAAACAGTGCTGTCAAAACAAAACCTCAGCGGAATATGTTCTGACTGTACTGTGCCGTCCACAGTCGCCTCCTCATGTGTCAGCTCCCTGCTGAATGTTCCACCACATCTAAAGCCATTTCATCCTGTTCTTTTACTTGAAGTTCAGACGTAACAAACTCTTCCATGTTTCGAAGGCACGAGGCAGACTTTCAAATCTTTTGTTTGTGTTTTTTTTTTCTTCATGTTGTCAGTATTCAGATCACGATCAGAGACACGCTTACCCACCCCCACCATCTCCATATCAACCTCCATAAGGCCCACTGAGTCAGTCGGCTCTGGCCGCTCCAGCACATAATGGTGGGAAAAGTTGGTGGGCAGGAACAGTGCCGTCATCTTCTAACACACACACACACACCTCCCTCCTACAGTAGCATATTCCCTCCACAGCTACTTCGCAGCCTCTCTTGTCTGCTACTTTTATTAGTGTGAGCAATAACAGTTAATTAAAATCAGCTTTTACTGCTGCAAATAAAATAAAAATGAAAGTAATTAATATGTCCAACAAACTCTCAAACTATTTCTAAACATTGATTCAGAGGGGGCGGATAAAAAAACAAGTACAAGTACGCTGATTAAAAACAAGAGCAGTTTTAATCTGTGCTGCTTGAAGGGGCCTGACTCTGTAGTCAGACAAGTGTTGGTCTAAAGGAAATCCATGTGAAGTGACACTCGATGCTACAATTGATCTACACAACAAAAAACTATTCAATAGGTAATATTTTAGATATTTCACTTTATCATCACCATATATATTGACTTATAGACTGGAGTCAGCTTAAACATGTATCTGTTATTAATATTAAGCTAGCTGTAACCAGCAGCTGAATTGGCTTAGTTTAGCACAAACATTGTAAACACAGGAGGGAAAATGAGCCGTTCTCGTCCAAAGCTAACAAAATCTCCCCGACAACACCTTTAAAGCTCACTAGACAAAGTGTTTCTGGTTTGTTTAATCTATATTTAAAAACAGCGTAAGAGCATGTGGGGGTTTGATAAGAAATAATCCTGTGATTATTCGCCTTCTTCAAAACCAAAATGATGGAGTAGTCTTCAGTGGAGGCACCAATAGCTGCTGAATACTGTAATGTCTGTGTTGTTCTTTTGAAACCTCTTGAAAGTTATGACATCACTGATTGTTTTGACTGTTTGATGTCAACTGAACATCACATCTCTTCCTCCTCCTCCTTCGCAAATTGTTTCACTAGATTCATCATCGGTAGTCACTCATTAGGCAAATGAAATGAAATACCAATTACCACAAAATCTTAAAATATGAAAAATATGGATGAATGATTTATAAAATGATTATTAAGTGAGAATTACACTGTTATTTAAACTGTTTATTAAACTGTTAACATGCTACACACTTAGAAATACACACACATGCACAAACAGGATCATATGGACATGCTCTAATGGAGAGATGTCAGAGTGAGGGGGCTTCTCACAGCGAGCTCTGCTGAGCTGATGGGAGTTCAGTCAGTGCCTCGCTTAAGGGCACCTCGGCAGTGCTCAGGAAGTGAACTGGCACATCTCCACCTACCAGACCAATTTCCAGACCTGACCTGGTCAGCGCCGGGACTACAACCCGCAGCGACCCACCGATTGCCAACCCTACAGATTGAGCTACCGCCGCCCGAAGACAAACCTCAAAGCTAGGCCTACCCCTCTAATTCAGGGGTCTCCAACCTTTCTTCATTTGAGAGCTACTTTGCAAAAATATAAGTGGCCAAGAGCTGCTTGCAGCAAACCTCAGCTGAATTAAGCTGCTTATTTATTTCAATTAATTTAATTTGAATAATTTTTATTTGAACATATTTTCAGATTTCATAATTTCAGTGATTTTTTTAATGTTCTATTTTAATGTTTCTTTTCTTTCCTCTGTCATGATGCTTTTTGATGTCTTGTGTGAAGCACTTTGAATTGCCTTGTTGTTGAAATGTGCGTCATAAATAAACTTGCCTTGCCTTGTTCAATTGTGTGAAATTGCAATAAGCCAACGCTAATCAATAATCCTAAATTCACATCAAGGTCCAAGAAACAATGAATATTTTACACTTCTTATTGTTCCACATAGTAAGCTATGTTGCTGAAAATTCACATCAATGTCCAAGAAAACATCACTACTTCACACTTGTTTTTACGGGCCAAATATATGAATAGTGGAAAGAGGTGCATTTACTGTCATCAGAGTTTTTATTTTTTTTTAACACAGTCAGTCGACCTATAGACGAGCTACTTAAAAACCTGCCCGCGAGCTACCTGTTGGAGACCCTTGCTTTACTTACTACAAGCTAGGGCCAGGTGCTAGAGGGATGTTGATATCATTATAAAATAGCATCCGAGGTCCCATCATGATTTGTGAAGCTAACTTTAATTAAACTTGTGAGGCTGTCAGGCTTAAAATAAGGATGAAAGTCATGTTTTCAAACTGCTATCACTCCTATGCAAAAACCTTTCAACATCAAATAAGTTCATAGTAATAAAATGACTGTCATGTCATGTGCTATGAACAGGTGTAAAGATAAAACCATGATGACACGTTATGAAGTTTCTAGAACGTCTTATTCATCAGTTATCTCATTTGTAAAAATGTTTGAGTATTTAGAAATCTCCAGCTTCAGATGAAAGTCTCTTTGAGCTCCCTGGTGGTCATTGTGAGGCGCTGACTGACTGCTAGAAGTGTCGCTTACTGCACGGCACAGCCTGTCCTAAGTGTTTTCCTCTTAACATTTCATTGGTGAGTCACGCACATTCACTTCCTGGTACACTCATAGTCACACACACACACACACACAAACACCTCCTGATCACCTCCAACCTCCAGCGGCTGGCACCACAACAGACTCTCCCACGTAGAACACATCCACGCCTCTCAGCCAACACAAAACAATGTTTGTAAAAAAGAGAGGGAGAGAGAGAGAGAGAGAGAGGAGGCACTGATCAGGCTGTTCTGTTCTGCTTTTTTAAATTAGATACCTGGGATGACGGAGTCGATGCAGACTGGAGCGTGGCCTCGCAGCGTGAAGCCGAAGTTCTTCTTTCCCCTGTAGACGCGGATGATCCTGAAGAAGAAGAAGAAGAAGAGAGGTGAATACATTAAACAACAGATTGAGGAACTATTCGAGGGATGCACCCATGCATCGGTTCAACATCGGTATCAGCTGATATCGAGCCTGTTGACAGACATCGGTTAAGAATGTGACATTAAAGCCTGACTCACTTGCCTGCCTGCGATTTTTCCCCGATTGTATAAAAGTCGGGGTGGTATGTCAGCTCACACTGTACGACTGAATCGTTTACGACACCCGACCAGACCTTGAGATTGACGTGCTCACACTGTACGACCCAATTGTCGGTCACGGCCGGAGAGCTCACACTGTATGAGTGAAATCGGGACGGAGCGTTGACAATCGTTAATCAAGTTTCATGAAAAAAACAAAGGAGAAAGAGAAAGAAGTGGAAGTTGTTGTAGGAAATAGAAAAGTTGATACAATCGTAGATATATGGAGACAAGTTTTAGAAAAGTGCTGCACTGATGATCTGTACAGAAAAGTAAAAAAAAAGAAAAAAAAATGTCGGGTTGCATCCTGCCGCTGGTCGCCATGACTACAGTCCTCCCTTGTCTCTGGTGATTATATTGTAGTCACACACAACTTCTGCCGGACCCTTTCATGACGCAATCGTCAAGATTTTAAATTCTAAATATCAAACATGTTTGAAATAAATTGGGACGTCCCCGACGAGCACCGGGCAGATCAGGGACGTTAAGATTGGATCTTTGTACCGCTCACACTACAAGATAATCTGAACAGATAATCGGGTCTGAGCAGCCTTGAGTCGGGAGAGACCCTGAGATTGTCAGGAAGGAGCTCAAATTGGCCTGATTATCCTGCAGTGTGAGCCAGGCTTAACAGATGTCAGTAGACAATGTTTATTTGTTGTCTTAAATCTATCTAATGCTCGCATCTAGAACGCCTAACTAGTGATTCAGAGGAGAGTTTTTTTATTGGGCAGATGAAGTCACCTGTTGAACAATCTCTGACTTGTTTTTATTGTTAAACATGAGAGACAGTGGAGGCATTGTGGGAGTCTGATACCAAAAGAAGTCATGAAACAAACATCGAAATCAAAGCAATCGGCATGCAGCTAAGTTGTTATTTCAAACATCTGTATCGGCATTGGCCCAGATGTTCCCAATCGGTGCATCTCTATATTCTTGACTTAAATAAACATAAAGCATAAACAACATTAAACACACCAATGTGTGTACAAACTTAAACTTAACCATAAAGTTTATTATTGACTTCTTTACTTTTGAAAGCTTCACAGACTGTTTCAGCTTTTAGAAATTCATATTTAAAAAAAAAAATAGTGGTAGTGCTTGGTAGGTATGGAGGCTGTGGTCCTCCGAGCGGGCAGTTCGGGTTCAAATCCGACCTGTAGCTCCATTCCAACATATCATTCCTCTCTCTCTCTCTCTCTCTCTCTCTCTCTCTCTCTCTCTCTCTCTCTCTCTCTCTCTCTCTCTCTCTCTCTCCTCTCTCTCTCTCTCTCTCTCTCTCTCTCTCTCTCTCTCTCTCTCTCTCTCTCTCTCTCTCTCTCTCTCTCTCTCTCTCTCTCTCTCTCTCTCTCTCTCTCTAATGAAGGGCATAAAAAGCCACAAAATAAACCTTAAAGACAAAAAACTAAAATACTCTTTCAGTTTGTTCAGTTACTGGACACATAATGAACAGAATAATTGGGCTCTTAATCGCCTGGATTTAGAAATTTGTCAAACTAAAGAGTTGAAGCTCTGATTATTGAACATAAACACTTATTTTATTTATTATTATTATTATCATCATTGTTATTATTATTATTGTTCCAGTTCAACAGAAGAAACATTTAAAACCAATTATGGCAGGGAAATTAATCGCAATTTCATCGCTATGGCGACATCAGCGTCGCAATTACCACATCCCCCGAGAGTCTAATTAGTACGATAAAAAGAAGCTGTAATGTCCATGCTTTCAAACCATTCTGATGCAGTCACATTACACTCCAGACAGCGACCAGCTACTCTCACATTTATGTTTATTAGAGGTAAAGAAAAACTACAACAACAACTTTTGGGGTGATTCAGGAGAGACATGCTGCAAACACAGGTATTGTGTGAAACATGAAGAACAGCAGGTAGCCATGTAGAGACAGAAACAGTCAGTTAGAGATAAGTTTCACTCATATTTGCCAAATGCAAAAATGTTAATGCACAATCATTTTTTCTCATATCATACAGGCCTACTACAATAAAATCGATAAAATCCCAATATTTTTAACATTAGAGCATGTACCTATTCCTTCTCCCTCACATGATATATGGACGGTTGGAGAAAGGGAAATGAGTTCAAACTAGGATATTTCTACTTCTCTCACCAACCCTCTAACAAAAGTCAATTTATATATTGTTTTGATCTTTAATGTCATTGTTTGCCTCGCGTCAGAAGGGAGAAAACTGCATTTCCCAAATTGAAATACTTTGATTGTCCAACCACATATTTAATTCTCAATGATCTAAAACAAAGATGCCAATTATTCCCATTTGATAAACTGGAGGCTGTTTTTCGTTGTTTGTCTTTTTTTGATTCAAAGATAATTTAGTTAATTGCTCTCAATTGTCTTCGATCCCACTCGGCACTAAATCGTTTCAGCACTAATAGTGTCATCATTTCACCGCTGATGCTTAACACTGATGGTTTTGTTATTCTGTGAATGGTCGGGAAGCCCAGCTGTCTCTGTTTGGACCTCTCGCTTTCTGCTGCGTTCAAGGCTTCACTGTTGTTTTGATCCGTCACTTCCTGCGTGTGGGAGTTGGAACGGGTGGAGAAATGACGCTTGTCTTTACTGCGATCTGGGTTTGAGATATTCAGGCAGATGACATGACTGTTTTTTTTTTTTTTTTTACATAACATCCCAAAGTTGCTCAGCCTCAATCCACATCCCTCCAAAGATCTCTCTCTCTCTTTGTTTTCTGTCCTTAATGAAAATAAATCAGGACTCAGTCGACATGAACACAAGCTTTGACATTTTGTTGAGGGGGGGGGTGTTGCTCTGCTCTCGTTCCCCCCCATGTGGAGGAGAACACGGGGTTGAACCTTCTGCTACATCAAAGATGAGACACTGGTGCTGTTTATCCAGGGTGCGTTTCCAAGGAAACGACTCAAGGCAACACTGCCTTGATATGTAAACAGTGGGGAGGACTAAAAAAAAAGAGAGAGGGGAGTGAAAGCAGACGGATCTATTCTTTTATAGATGCTTTCACTGGCTCTTATATAAGACGAGCTAAATGCAGATGGGCACATCGGGTGCTGCATGTGTGTGAACGTGTCAGTGCATGCGTGTGTGTGAGAGGAGGGTGTCAGATACGCAGCATCAGCTTCGAGCACACTTGACAATCAGAGTGTTTACAACAGGCTGCTTCAAGGCCTCTCCTGATTCCCATTAGTCGACAATAAACGCACGTTGCACTTTTATGGGCCTTCACGTGAGTCAGTCATTAAAATAATCATCACTTCATGAGTCCAAGTGCTGTCTCATTGTTCTGCAGCTCCAACACTGCCATGAATACACATAAGTCAATCCATAGTGATCGATAGTGAGCATTTATATCAATGTGCTCTTTTGTTAACAGGCATCGGCACGGCTATTTTCAAGCAGCTGTGATAAGATTAATTCAAGGAAACTTAAAATCCTGCTAGTTAAGCTAGCTCATACAACACACCGCTCTTTATATGACTATTGAACAAACAAATGGCAAATATGCAAACACAACTCAAAAGTCATATTTCTGCCTTCATGTATTTAGAAAGTACACAATAAATAATAGGCAATAAAAAGTAGGAGGAGGCGTAATATATTATCTTGCAAACTATTGTGTTTATTTCAGGCCATTATTGTAGTCCTTAAAGGACACAAGATATTAAAGGGAACTGCACAGGGGGCTGCATCACTTTGCATTGTGCAGATCAGTCTACCTACACATACGTTTGCATTGAGTTGAGTTGGACTATAGTATACATAGTATATTATACATATACTATGTATAATGCTACATGTGATGTGTCGGGGTCTCCAACATTATTGGACATATTTAAGTTAGACTGCAGGCCAAATCTTTAAAACAATTAAAATAATTTTAAAGTTATTATTATTTGGGCTTTAATGCTTATAGATAGACAGGACAGTGGATGGAGTCAGAAATCTGGGTGAAAGAGAGAATGGGGATTCGAACCCCGGGCCGCCCACTAGGAGGTCTACTAACTAGGCTACAGACACCCATTAATATCATATTTTAACAGCCCCTATCTATCTATCTATCTATCCATCTATCTTTGTGGTTTCAGTGGAGACATAACAGTGTTACACAACACTCTTGAGGTTCAGGAGAGACGCCCGCCTGCAGCTCAACTTATCATCGTGACTGTGCCACTTCTTCCACATGAATTAAACTCTCAAATGCTCTCCTTCTATCGATGTGTGATCTGCCATTATGATACACTCCACACTACTCAGCCTTACATTGTCCCTGCCACCGCGTGGATGAGCACAGGTCTCAGGGTTTAGCTGGTTTGTGTGGGCGTGAGGGAGTGTGCTGCCTCCCCCCCTGTAATCCTGCACTGAGCCCACTGCGCTGCTGATAATTGGACAGTGTGTAATCAGTGTGTTAGTGGGTGGATGAACAGCAGGGGATCAATGGTTCAGGGGCTCTACAATGATGCAGGATGAACATGTTAAATAGGTGAGGGGCTACACCAAGGCAGGGGCTAGTTAAAGAGGTTGCCTAAGCACTTTCCTTCCTCAGGACTTATGTAACAGGGTGTGAAAAACATCTTCTGATAAACACAGAGTTAAGTTTATTCAAGTGCAGCTTTTTGACAGGACTCAGAAGACAACTGCAGGGATGTAAAAGGTGACACATTGTCCACGGTTTATTTTGCATTTTCTAATAAATCTGGATCTAAAAGTCTGAGAAATAAAATGCATCTTTTCGCTGCTGCATTATGTGTTGAAATAACCTGTTGGCAGCCAGAGTTCTCAAAGTTAACATCACTATGAGCAGAGTTGAGGAGCTCATTTAGCACAAAAATATAAACAACAACTTGAGTTGTCGGGACAGTCAATACCAACACCTGTATCGATAACGATACCATAATCGATACCGTACCTCTAGCGTTAACAACACCAGTGTTGGAATTGGTTTCCAATGCAGCCAACAATGAGTGTTCCAGTTAATGTGAAAATCCAATACCATCATTGATTAATACTTCCCAAAAAAAATGGACTGGTTTCAGGTGAATAATGACATTCAGATAACAAAGAACAATGGAACTGTGATAGAAAAGAGTCAGAAGAGTCAAAGGTTGTTACATGTCATCAATATGTGTTACGATCAGTTTTGTTTTTTGAGAGAATGGAGGGACTCAGGATATCTACAGGTACCCACATGTATGTATTTGGTCATTGGCATTGGGAAGATAAAAGTCATATCAGAACACTCTGGCAGTCATGTGTCTTGTTACATGTGCTCTCACCTCTGGTTGGGTCCGATGGGGGGATGAGCAGGCATCCCGGAGACAGACTTCCTGGGGCCCCTGTCCTTCTCCCCGTCGCCCCTCCCTCCCAGTTCTCCATCCCTGGGCACCGAGCTGGCCCGTTTGGACCTGTGGTGACGATCCGAGTGATCTTCGCTCCGACTGCGGCGGATCCTGCCCTGCGGCTCGCTGATGCTCTTGCTGCGACAGAGACGGTTGATCACATTCTGCTGGACGGAATCATCGAAGCGCTGCCGGTGCTTCTTGGGAATGAAGATTCTGGAGAACATGGTGGCATGTGAGGGAAATAAAAAAAAAAGGGGGGGGGGGTGATATTACTTTTTGTCCATCAAAGTTTTGTCAGGAAAAGAGTTAAGGAAATCTAAATCAGAAGTTGGTCCATTCTGAAAACATCTGGTCCTTTGGCACAAAAAAAGATAATTTACATGAGAAACATCCAGAACGAGCAGAGATCCAAAAGTAGGAATCAACTCCTCAGCTGCGACAATAATGTCTTCAATCCAACTCCACTCTTATGCAAATCAACAGGCTTACTTCTTCAAATGGTTCAAAGAAAAAAGCCCACTAAGAGGCGACTTCTTTCCCCAGAGACAAAGAAAAGAAAGACAATTTTAAATGGAGGTCAGGAAGAAAAGATCTTTTATCCAAGAAGCAGACACAGTGAGGAAATCTCGACATCACCCGCAGCTCGCTGGAGTCTCAATGCTGCAGCGTGAGGTACCAGAGCTCGAATACAGCTAGAGGAAAAAAAGGTGTGGGAGTGAGTAAGCATGGGATTTCTCTACTCCCTTCACTCTCTCTCTTTTTTCTATGTAAATTATCTCACTCTCACTCTCACTCTCACTCTCACTCCCCTACACTTCCGTTCCACGCCTCACCTCTCTATGTCAACCTGACAGCGTGAGCACCGAGCGGAAAGCTGTCATCTTGTAATTGACCTCGGGTCTCGCCAAATTCACCATTCTTTCTAGAGAAAATCAAGCTATGACTAATTAAAATTTATTAATGCCTAATTAACCTGATCAGAACTGTAGGCGGGAAAGATTAAACTAAATAATTAATTTTTATTCAAATTGAGAAGCCAGTATTCTTCCAAATGCTCGAGTCATTATTAAAATGCTCAGCTGATTCATACTTCAATAAATACTGACTACAAACAGGAGAAAGAATATCACAAACACCACACTAGGAGATCCATCCTCATTTATTTCCTTCAAGGTTAAATTCAAAGATTAAGTTTTGCATTATTTCAACTAGATGCAACTAGATTCAATCTGAGATTAGGCGCTGCCTGCCCTTCTTGCCCAGAGTTAGAAGAGAAGATCGATACCTCATTCATGTCTTTGTGGTAATTATGTAGTCATTCTCTACAGCTCATTAGTGACCATTCACATCTTGTTTGTTTCATTTGTAAACAAGCTGAAGAATGCTGGCTAGCCAGGCAGATGCTAGCTAACATTGAGGAAACCAAAGCAACCACTGTTTTTATACAACAACAGAAGCCAAACTTCAGTATTTACCTCACTCTAAACCAGTACCCCTCAAAGTATGGGCCGTGTCCCTGGGGGTGGGTGCAGAGACATTACTATTGGGGCATGTGTGCGCAGTGCTTCCACCTAGGGCTGCCACCCAGGTATATTTCCCACCATATGATCAGCATTTAAGACCAGAGAACTAGTAGGTCTTGAGATCTGATACCTGAAAACTACAAAACACACTAAAACATACATTTTGTGGCATTATACCCAGAAAAGGTCAAAGGGGGTAAATATGTTAACTGTACATGTTGATATAATACATGTTGGCTGTGTACACACAACAGTGCAGACTTTGAGAACAAAACAAATGAGTCTTCCCCCACACACAGGGACAACAGAAACAACATTTCATTCAAGTTCTGCTGGCAGGAGACAAAGCAAACACCCACACATCCATGCTTGAACCGTTTTATACTGTGAGGATGCCGTACCCCTCCAACTGCACTCTTTGTTTGTTCTCAGGCCTGGGCTTAAAGGACACGTTCACCTGTTTTTACAGTTGGCAAGGAAACTGATGTACCTGGATTTCTTTGAAATTTGTTTTGTCAGTGTCTAAACAGAAAATATCAGAATTTAGAAAAGAAAAATGCTTATATGATTCTTGGGTATAAAGTTAACTCTATTCTGGGAAATGTAAAAAAGAAAACATACATCTTAATTTTCCTATCACAGACTTAAGACAGACAGTTTGTGCATATAGGGGAAGCTGGTTTTTCAGTTAAAAAAGATTAAATTAAGATTCTGCAAGAAAAATGGGGCTACCGCAAGCAGTCTGTTAGCATAGCTTTAGCTTAGCATAGCCTAAATAGAAGAATCAACCAGCTAATTTAGCTAGCTTAGCCCTGTCCAGAGCTAGCTACATTAAAATTAGTTGCGTGTAGTCTGGTTATGTAATCTAAGGGCGCACTCACACTGGCAAAGTCCAGTTTGTGCTTAAACACAGTACAACTTTGCTAGTGTGAGTGCGCCAATAGACCCAGGCCAGCCTTTCTATGTCTTTATGCTAAGCTCACAACTCAGACTGCTTCTATATCATAATAGTCTGGCAACTAAATAAGATAAGATTCTGTGAAAATAAAAAATAAAAAATCAGCTACCTAATGTGGCCTGTTAGCATATCTTCCCATAGGCTACATGTATCTATTTCAAGTGGCCTGTAAGCATAGCATAGCATAGCCTAAAGAGAGGAATATTCTAGCTTAAAGCAAAGAGTTCCTTGTACTTTGGGCTGTGAAATCTGGATAGAGATAGGCAGGCTTTTCTGAGTTTAATGCTATGCTATGCTAACAAAATCCTGTACGCTTCTTATTATGATAGTTTGACTGTTTAGTTAGATGAGACTCTGCAAAAAAAATGCAGCTACCTCAAGCAGCCTGTTAGCATAATCTAACTAACTTTAAAGAGAGAAAATACAAGCTAGCCTATTGCTGCAGAGTTCGCTCTCTAGCAAAGAGTTGCTAGTAGTCTGGTTTGGGACACTCTGGATAGAGCCAGGCTATCTTTTTTTGAGGTTCATGCTAAGCCAAGATAACTCTGGCTGCTCCTTATTATAATAGTTTGATAGCTTAGTTAAATCAGATTTAGCCTGTGAGTGAACACTAGCATAGCCCAACGAGAAGAAACACACAGCTAACAGTCGCTAAGCACTTCTGAGTCCTTATGCTAATTTCAAACAGTTTATTTTAGTCAGCTGATCAAGCCCCAGAAGTGAGAACAGACCAAAATAACTGCATTTTAGAGGATTTAAAACAAAAAATGTGGCCAAGCCAAGGTTACTATGGCAGCCTTTACCCAGGCCCCGCAAATGAAAATTAACTATTAACTAAATCTGGAAAAATTAAAAATGTTTTGCCAATTGTTCTTTTCAATTCTTTTCAAAATGTTGTTGTCAATCTAATTACCAGACCTAAGTGAAACAATTTTGAGACTGCACTTGTTCAATTGGATAGAAAGAACCCAAGTCCCAGCTCATATATCAAGCCAGTGTGAAGATAATTATTTTCTGTTTCATAAATCCCAGTGGTTTTAAAATCAAACTAGCACAAACAACTATTTTCAATTCCACCTCCAGCAGTCTGTTGTGTTGAGACTTTGCTGATTCGCTGTTGATCTGCTGATCAGATGAATCAGCCACAAGCAGACTGAGTCTCTGAAAAACAAAATAAAAAAAAAACAGTACCTGCGGAGTAATTAGCAAACAAACTAGCTGATGGTGACAAGATAACAGCTACCACTGTAACACTGTACATGTCCACGAGATGCTAATTAAGCCGCATGAGCACAACTTTGACGGCTAAATAAAGTAATTAGGGCACTTTGATTGTAAAGAGGGAAGGAGAGAGGGGGGAGGAAAAACTAACTTCACAGCTAATGTCAGCCTTGTTCATTTCATTATGCAGAGATATCAACGCTCTTTGTTTAATGGTATTCAGGTAAACACAGAAGACCTCCAGCCCCGTGCTGTTCCTGCACAAAGTCAATAATGAAGGCTCATTTACATGTGGAACATAAAGGTCTCAGATTCTGGAACTATCTGCTCTCTATAAGAAGAGAGTGCAGCTGTTCAGTCTTTAATATGTGTACAGATCGGCCTACAAGCCAGACCAGTTCAGACTTTTGAGGCTAGAAGTATAGCACTTTACCGGTACATCATAAAATGCATATTTATACAATAATTTCTTTTTTTTTTTTTTTTTTGGTGGGGGGTTATAAAAGATTGCTGAACATATATGTTTGAGTGGAATATTTCACAGTTTGATCAGGAAGCAAAACTTTTCTTGATGGATCATTGCCATTATTAGACTTAATTATAAATGATTTCATGTTATTACAATCAGTCAGCATGTTGCTTTATATTCAGTGTGATATTGACTGACAATATTGTTAATCCTCATCACTAATGTTCTATTATTTCATACTTTATTTCCTTGTCTTTCACTCTGTTTTCAATATGTTGGCAACTCAACTCCTTGACTGATAAAGATACTACCCAAACATTAGACATGATATTCAGACATGAAGGAAGAACTCAAATCTTGCTGCTGTAGAAGCAGAAACTAACACTGCACTGTTGAGATGAAACATGTCAACACTACCATAAACTGAAGGCGGTCAGACACAGAGGACACAGATGTAACAAAATGCCCAAATGACTTCTTTAAAAGTAAAGTATTCCAATTTTCAAACATAAAGAAACAACACACTGGTTTTTAAATATTTGACCCGCTATGTGGGGTCGCATGGAATTCAAATGGAGTCGCCTGAAATATGTTTTCATGGATCAATAAAAAAATATCTTGTATATTAAAATATAGTGAACATAGGCTACTGTGGTCCATTGTCATCCATTGTGCAGAAATGTCATCTCAGCCTTTCTTCCTCTGTCCACAATAATATACATGAAAAATGCCTAAATGTGGTCTAAAATCATGTTTACTTGCACACAGTAAAAAGAAGAAAATGTTACATGATTGAAAACTGATTTGAGAATAAAGTGTTTTGGATGTCGCCAGCGTTTTGTGAAGTCAAAGCGGGGTCACGAGCCAAAAAAAAGGTTGTGAACCACATGTGCTACTCTCTTCAGAGGAGCTGTCCAGTCAGCACCACAACAACACGGGACAAAAAGCAGCATGCAGCAGCCAATTATTTCTGACATGTTTCCCTCACATGCTGCTTGAATAATGTATTTTTTTGTTGTACCGCTGATGGCTCACAGCAGGT